GTTGAACACCAGTTTGTGTTGAATCACGTATAAGCGTGGGCCCTATAAGCGGAAAACAATCAGATACGCATCATTTGTTAGTCCATTTTTTTAGCCGAAATATTAAGAATACCACGACTATGAGACGCATTTCTATATTCAATGTTCAAAAGAAAGGGGCGGCTCGGTATACATGCACTTACAGGCGGGTTATTATTGCAACAGTATTTTGCGTTGTACTAAATATAGTACATTTATATGAAAAATCATATTTAGATTTTATATAAGATTTAGTTCATGTTTAGTATGGACTGAGCATAAAAAGATTCAGGATAATACGTCAAACAAAACATTTATTCAAAGGATACTAAATACGCACGTACACGTATGTCCTGGATCGGGTACCGGTATCCAGCTTTATTCATTCCTAAATGCGCAATTTGAACTACTTCTGGCAAATGTAGTCGAAACGGTATGCCCATAAACTCTCAAACGCTTGATTCGTCTTTCTGGCAATGAATGTGAATATAAAGCAGAAAATGTAACGCGACGTTCTTCTGTTTGTAATATATCTATTATTAGTGGTTTCGTTTTGTTGTATTATTGTGGTTTTGTTGATGTTGCATTTACCGAGTATTCCTCTCCAAATCCCGTTTCGAAGTATCTGATTCACCATAGACCATGTTTAGTGTTATGATTTGCATAATATGATTTAACCGTTCAGCCAATAACCGGCAACACATTGCACCGGTTGTTTGTTAATCACTGTACTTCCGCGTTGAGACAGAATTGTGCTCAGGTGACCTGATGTCGCCGAGAAATATAATAGCTCTGCTTTGTTAGTTTCTTATCGTATATAATGGATTTTATACCAAATGAATGGAGCGTACCATTTGAAATGAATTTGTCGTACCCAATGCGTGTATGGATTTAGTTACATACTTGGAAGCTTACTTTTTATATCGATGCGCTTTAGGTTTGTCGTTTAATAGTGGAGTTTGAATGATGCTGTTCAATTGCTCCCTCTTGTTATGTACAGTATTATTCAGAAAGATTTTGTTTCCGCGTGTGTTGTATGTAATTTACTATTTTACTTTGATTTTAGCTTCTGAGTACGACGTCATTCGAACAATCACCTGCACGTGATTCATAAAATGATATACGAAGACAGGAATTCTTTCTGCGCAATTCATCCTATTATACTGCATTTATGTAAGTCATCCCAACCACGCACAAATGGCAATTCTAAAATTAAATGGTGGTTAGTTCACGCATGGATGCGTGCATTTTTTATGGGCATAGTAGAATGGCTTCGAACAGATCATTTTAGGTCCTAAATAACGTGTTTCGACGTCACGCAGCATTAGCCAAGAATAGGTTACGGGCAAAAACTGTCAATAACCGAGCAAAGTTAGCCGATAAATTTTGAATAATTATAGAAGTATATGCGAGGTATGGAGAATTCGATGAAATGTAAAACTAGCCGGCTTCTCGAACTGTTTCACCGAGAATTGGCTTCCTCGTTTACTTCCGTAACAATGGCTAATGAGTAAGAAGTCAACGATGAATAATATTAGCAGCGTTACTATTTTAAATGAGTAAGATTTCATGCATGTTTTACACGTTGAGTGGTATTCGTAGTCTAGTTTTTTGTCAGTTTTTGTTTTTCCAAAAGTGTAAGTATAAACCGAACCACTCAACCGCTGCTTTTTTGAGAAAGAGTTCAAGTTGAAAAACTACCCCAAATACTAGGCTAGTAAAATCAGCTACGACTACTTTTTTAAACAACATGGCATTTTGAAGATGTAAACGTGTCAACTCGCGGAAATACTCGAATTTTATGCATCAAAAATTTCGAAACGGTGAAATATGGGAAGAACTATATGTGCTCAAGCGTTGATCTATATAGATAGATATATACATCTATAGATAGTTGTAACATAGACCTTACAAGAAGGGCTTGTACTTATTGGTCTTTTTTGCAATTTTTACTGGCAATTTACAATAGAATTACCATGTTAAAACAGAATATTTTATAACGATTCTCTAATAATTCCAAATTGAACTTAATAATTAACATGACCGTGAATTTGTGACAGAGTGAATACCCGCAAGTCTTCACGTTTGAAGGAAATATTATCATGTTTGGTTATATGAAACAGAATGAATTCTATGTTTTCATATGAAAAGGTTCCTTCATTTCTTCCCGTAAATAATCAAGAACGATTCGACGTAGTTTTAAATCAATTCGTCGCATGACGAACCGAGCGTATCACCGAGTATAATTTACAAAATACATTTTTAGTATATATATATGGTTGATTGGAGTAGAGATGTACCGATACCACTTTTGTCGCCGATACCGATACCGATCCGATACCAGCTAAAAACGCCGATACCGATACGCCGATACTACAAAAAGGCCGATATTCCGATACTGATACTATGTAATTATTACTTAATTAGGTATGCTGTGTAGGGCAGACGGGTTAAAACAATGGTCTTTAAGCGTTGTTCATAGTACACATTATTTCAGATCGAAAAAAAAGATATATATATATCACATAATATGAAATTAATGTTTGGTATCCATATGCTGTAACTGATTAAGATACATTGTACAGTAACGCTAGTAATTTCGGTGTTCAATTAGAAAACTCATAAGCCGGGATGTCCAATTTGAATTTAATGTTAATATCGCGAGCTTCGAATATCGTTATTCGTGTTTAATAGAATATCGAATATCACCCACACATTCTAGCGCCGCCGTCCTACGTTCAAATTAAAAGCATTTTACAAATATTTAATTTAGTGGCTAATCATAATCGTCGACGCAATAAGTCAAAGCCAACATGAAAGAATATCAATCAGCACCGACAAAAAGAAGGCCCACCGATAACCGTTGAGGATGGTTTTTTACTTCACTATTTTATAATATTTTACAATTGTTATCATATATTTTGAGACAGTCTAGGGCTAGGCGGTCAAGTCAATATATCTATAAAGAAATCGTGTAGTTAAGCAGAATTAAAATTAATACCTGTGTAGTGGGATAATTGTGTCGGAATTTAGTTTATCGATGTCGACGGACTAAATGACACTCGTACTTGACGACAAACAGTCAGAATTTATACCCGTGCCGAAAGTCCATGTGCCGTTAATAAGGAAGGACCCCAATTCCACTGTATGATTTAAAACTGGGCGCCTAGTTGCTTTTTGTTATGTGCTGTGATATATTTCTTCAGAAAAACTATGTAATATTAAAAATGTCAATATAAAAATTTGACAGCGAAAATAGCCAAATTAGTTGAGCTAGTTTAGCTGATAAATAGCTAAAAACACGTGAATCCTATTCTCTCGCAGGGGTGGGGACATGTATGGCTCATAGCTCACGATCTCTCCAGACAAAAATAAATTAAAAAGTAGTATTCCAACTTATCTTTTAAAACATTCTGGACCATATCAAAAAGGTAGATATATCGGTAATATCGGCCTTAATCTAACCGATACCGATACATGGCCGATACCGAAAAAATGGCCGATATCGCCGATACCGATACATCGGTACATCTCTAGATTGGAGTAGCGAATGAAAATCGTGTCTTGAACTTCACACAGGCTTTAGGGGTGAACAGTAATAGGGACTATTATATCTATACCGACTAAAAACGAAAAGTTGAAGCCATTAGCCAAATCAGCATGCGGTACTGGTTTAAAAATCGGCACTCACCTTCAGCATAATCTGCATCACGATCCTATAAATTTATTTCCAAATCTATTAAACAGAATCAAATTCGGTATTTTAGATTTGATAATAAATTTTCCCGCATCTCTGACCACAAAAAGAGGGATTTTAACTCACAAAATATTTCGGGTATTGTGAATTGATGTAATATTCGCACAAGTATTTGGATAGGAAAGCAGTGATGTATGACTAAACAGACGACGAGGTTATGATTCGAATCTTGACCTAATCCAGGGATAGTCTCGTTGAATGGATTCAAGTATTCAGGATTAGGTATTATTATCGGAAATTTTTTAATAATAGCATGTGTAAGTGTTTTTGTGTGACGTCATCGCAATTTAATGATTTCCGGAAACGAGTTTTTGGTCATGTTCGTAAATAAGACTCGCGTAATAAATTTCAACTCGAGAAAACGTATGTAGCCGATATGAAATCCGAATCTGTATTATAGGAGTTTTTAAATAAAGCTTAAAAAGGTGAGTAAAAACCACGTGGAGTCTAGCAAACTAGCAAATTTCTAGTTGTAGTCAGGAATACGATTTACAATTGTTCAACCTTCTTATCTTACAACGAAGCATGGGATACATTTTTATTGGCGAAGCTCAAACACTCATATTTTGGTCATTTATTTGGACAATCACGCTTTATTCTCTGAACCGCAAAGCAGATTGCTGGTAACACAAGGCGAGTAGTGTAAATAAAACGTTTGGACGCCCATTTTTTGAATAATCTGTTTGTATAGCCGAAAATACGAGGATAGAATTTTCATATTTCTCCCATATATTATGATATGACGCGTCTGAAAGTAAAGTATTGACAAGAATGTGAAAGTAGTTTCAGTAGATTTGAGTTCTTACAAATCCTTCAAATGAGTTTACAAATGTGTCTAAGTTATAAGTGAAATTTCCACCTGTGCTCAAGCTATTTGAAAGGGGAATTTTTTTTTAAATTTGGGGTGAGCCGTGATGAGTATTGGCGGCGAAGAAAGGCTGATATGTTAATGCTTCAAATTCAATCTACGATTTAATGATCGTTTTAACATTATCCCCAATACTTTTTTTCTCACATTTTCTGTTTTGCATACCTGTAGCGAGCGTTATACACTCAGCAGGATATATAGTTATAAGCGACCCACCAGAGCTCAAATGTAAAAAAATTCAATCAATTGACATTAGCTATATGAGTATTATTAAAATGCTTATATTGGAACTGTTGAAGCTCTAGAGTTGCAACATTTTCATGAAATGGTATAATAACACGGTAACATGTTTTTAGATTGAATTCTCTATCGGATCTATGTATATATATAATATATGAAAACTAAAATTGATTATTGAGCAAGAAAACAATGTTACGTTTTTGTCTAATTGTTTCAAATGGAACCGGAAGCACTGTGGTGCATGGCGTGGTGATGACTTACGCCTGACATCTTTTAGTAAAGTGACGCCTCAGGTACCGGTACTCAGTATCAAGAAATCTCTAATGGCCAGAATGGTGCCGCGTAGATGGAAACGTTTATTCATGTTTTTCGCTTTTTTCTGCATCATTCATCTGATCATCATAGGAACATATACAGCGAGATCAAAGCGTTTCGAGAAGAAACCAATCGCAGGTGCTTCAGCTATGGTACACGAACACGGTACGGGTCAAATATTATTAACCTTTGAAACATTGTTTATACCAGTTTGTACATAGCAGAACACGGAAGTTCAACTTCCTGAATTCTGAGTCTTCGCCATCGCGATGCTGCCATTATAAAATCTTTAATGCTGCCATCATTGTGAATCGTGTCGTACTATGATTACTGGAGGTGTTCATAAGCTCCGCGTTCTGAAAGATGATTTCCTGTTTAGATATTTTGTCAGATGTCTGTGTGATAAGTAAATTTGTCACTAGGTTCTCCCCCTTCTGTTTGCTGCTGTCAACGACCAATGCTCTCATAGGCAATGCATTTTTATAGTACAACTACCAAGCATTTATTATTCTTTCCCGAACCCTGGTGCAAATCTCCATGTCTGTGGGATATTTCAAAAGCCTTTGCTCGAAGGATCCCGATGTATGATAAACGCTCGTAAAATAAGACACTATTTTAATAAGTATTGATCTGAGCTGTTGATATGTGATATTAGTGAATCTCGATAACATCGTGTATATATATGACCGTGTAATGCAACTGAAATATAATACTTTTTGCTATTTATTTTACTCGATTACAAAACGGTTAAAGTCCACCCACAAGAATAACACAGGAAGTGCGTTCACAAAACACTATTTCAATTACTAGATAAAGCTTCCACTACTGTTAACATATTTTTTAGCATAATTAATCATCTGTTTTCGACAGCAATATTGAAAATGAGCACAATGGTATATATAAGAAGGTCGTTTAATCACATAGAGTCTATAGAATAGACCATTACCATTTCGCTCTCAAAGTTTGCAATTAATCCAAATTTAGTTAAGTATTCCAATTTTCAAACGCAATTTTAAAGTTCAAAATTGCGTTTATAAGCAACGCTGGAATGCATATCGTGTATTAAGTAAACAACCCAATACTGGCGGTGTTGAGGTACAGTTATTTTTTGAAAAAAACTTACACACTTATGACATTATCATATATATATGAGAATTATCTAATTCTTTTTCTGTTTTCCAAAGATACAACAAGTAAATTTATGACTACATCGATGTTTTCAAGTAAAGATACCACAGTGATACCTGTCATCACAACTGCTACAACAGAATTGACCACCACGGAGTCAAAGTCAAATATGACCGAATGTGAGCTGCCAGGGATTGTACGAAACGGTGTGCCTTGGCCAAACTGCCTTGAAAAGTACGGATGGATGACACAAAACTGGAAAAGCCATAGTTGCTACGCAGAACATGGAGTTAATGGAGACCCATGCACAATTCTTCAGTATTTGTCACAGGAGGAAAAACACTGCCCACCGGTTAAGACTAAAACAAGAATACCGAAACTGGCGGAATCCTATGCGCAAGGTAAATTAGAATCCGCATATCGGTATATATTGGATATTAAACTCGTTTTGAAATTTTCTGAATGTCGGGTTGAAACGTGTGCGTATCTGCATTTCTTGACGGTTTAATTAAGAAGTCTTTTTCGCAGAAAATTAAGACTTTTGTTCTGCTGTACGGTATAATTCGCGTACGATATTTGTTACATATCACAAAACCTCACGTACCTGAATCTATCATGGAATGCCTTGCGTAACATTAGATTTTAAAAACACAATAAAACTTTTTAGATCGTTGTAGGCTACATGTTATAAATTGGTGATGTTGGCCATTTTATATCAAACATTTTACATTTCAAAAAACGTGTATATACTGTAAGCCGCAAGTTGAATCTGTTCAGGGATAGGTCAAAGTTAGTTACCCGGAAACAACTGAAGTAACAAAGCACATACACTTATATCTCAAACTGCTCAATTATCGTCAATCATCATTCCTTCGACTTCACACTTGAAGAAGCTCTAATCTGGCGCAAAGCGAGCAAACTTGAACTTATTTAAACTCAATCTCGTCTTTAATATGTTAACCCAGGCATTGCAGCTGTACCGCGTGAAAGTTTTCAACATCTATATAACGAATTTTCCGACATTGTCGATTACGCTTGGATGAAAAATCGCATCAAAAATATGGAGGAACTTTGGATTCAAAATTCGAAAGAACTGTTCAACGAACGGTCAACACCAACAGCTCGTAAAAGAATACATATTCATCTTGGATTGATGTCATTGGGAATTGGTAAAGACGCTTTTAAAGGTGGGCCACTAGGAGAACTCGTACAATGGAGTGACTTGATTGCTTCTTTGTTTATAATGGGGCACGATATTGTGGTTACAAAGACGAAGCCCGAGGTGACGTTTATTTATCAAGATTACATAAACGCCTGGGACGGATCACCATGTCCCCCATTGGCTTCTAATAAAGCAGCAAAGCCGCCATTTGATATCATATATTCTGACATAAGAGGGTATAAGGAATGGCTGCACTTGCTTGGAGAAAGTAAGGCCCAGCCATTGAAATGTCGAGTTAGAATTGTTGACAGTTTTGGTACGGAGGCAATGTTTAATCACCCGCCGTACAGAGAGGCAAAAAAACTTCCAAAATCGCAATACAGTGGTATAAATCTGAACCTCATGCAATTTAATGTTATGTTTCCACACACTCCCGATAATACATTTCTGGGTTTCGTTACTGAATTTGCAAAGACGAGAGAAAGCATTATGAATGTAAATGCATCGGATTCTAATGAGAGAAATATTGCGCTGATTTACGGTAAACTAGAAAACTTTTGGAAAGATAAAGAAAAATACATTGATATAATCAGCGAATATGTTTCTGAAGTACATGCCACCGTGCATGAGCCAAAAAATTTGCGACCTTATATTATAAATCACGGAATTGTCGGCCGTGCTGAATTAAATAAACTATTGGCCAGGACTAAAATATTCGTTGGGTTGGGATTTCCTTTCGAAGGCCCTGCACCATTGGAAGCAATACAAAAAGGTGCTATTTTTCTTAATCCTTACTTTTCTACCCCCATTTCTTTCTTGAACCATGACTTTTATAAACTAAAGCCTACAAAGCGAGCTATATCTTCGCAGAATCCATACGCAGAGAAATTCATTGGCAAACCTCATGTTTACACTGTGAATATAGAAGACGAAACCGCCTTGCGCGCTGCCTTGTCAGAAATAATGAATTCATCCCATCCTGGAAATTATTTAGCATACGAGTTTTCTGTTCGAGGGATGCTTGAACGAGTAAGTGTGCAAATTGATAGACAGCAGTTCTGTGTGAACGTGCCTTATCCTCCGGATCTCGAAGAAAAACTGCGTTGGCCACCCTTGTCAGCGTTACGCACACGAGTTTCCACGCATTCGAAATGGCAGAGTTGCAATGAGGTTTGCGACGAAGAAGGCCTGATATGCGAACCTAGCTTCTTTCCTATTCTTAACCGAAAAGAAGCTTTTGGAGCGTTGGGTTTTATATGCAATTCTACTATGCATCTACAAACTCAAGAGTTGGATTACCCGGCATATGATAAAAATAATGGTATATGTTATTTACAATCTAATTCCTATCTATTCAGCTGTGCCGGTAATTATTTAAATATGCAACGAATTTGTCCTTGTAGAGACTTCAGAAAAGGCCAAATTGCGTTATGCAGAGATTGTGGTTTAAAGTGAATTTTTATCGCGACTATACTGTGTCAGTTACAAATTCATTAATATAACTAAAATATCTTATTGTTTCTAAATTTTGTTTTAGTTCGTTTCCAAATCTTTGCACTTTGTAAAAGCAATTGCATTTTATGATTGCGTCTGCTGCCTAGCTAAAGCACTTCTAATAACACAATTGTTACTGTTTCATTGTGATTAAAAGGTAAACAACGGCTGTAAGAAAATATGTAAAAAATATTTTCTTTCTCTTGAGATGGTATTTGTATTTTACTCTAATTGATCTGATTAACATTAAAAAAAAAGCCACTGTTTAGTTTTAGGTTCCGGCTCATGCAATGTCTAAAAGCAATTTATTCGTCTTCACATGTCCTGTTTCCAACTTCAACCTTATAAATGTCTGCTCTAATTTTTTGCACTGTTGCGTTTTTTGCACTGTTTTTGATAAAGCGATATCATGCGTAAAGTATTTTCTGTATTCTTTCATTATTAATATACTTTCTTTAAAATGATCACATTGCTTTTTACAAAATAGTGCGATCAAATCTACTACGTGATAAGCTGAGCCCCGGCAATGATATGCGGTGTTGGGACGAAGCCCCTAAATCCCAAATAACTAGTCTGGTCGAGTCATGGCCTATCTGAGTCTGTAGTCGAGTCAATCTATGATATGAACATCAATTACTTGATTGGCTGAGCACGATTCCAGGTCACTTTTAGATGACCCACTTTGAGTCTTTGATAATGTTGAGTCGAGGCAATGATTTAACTAACCTCACAACATTGCTGACATTTCTACCCTTTGCAACCTGGGTAAGGAGATGGAGGCTGAACCAGAGATCTTTCAACCAACAAAGTTAGCTTCATCGCCAACTAAATTGACTTTAAAAATACTTTTCTGTTATTATTTTTAATCGGTATGCATGTTTCGTTTTTATATTTGTAATATAAAATTCAGATATCTTTAAAAATTCAAAATGGTTTAATTAAGAAGAGATTTCGTCAAAGGTTTTATCGGACCAGGGTTTATACACTCGCTTAAAACCATTATATTACTCACTCAATGTGGACGCTGAAAAAGATCACATTTTTTGAATATCATGTAACAGAATATAAAATAGCACAGGCAGAAAAGGCGGAGCTATTCGTATTCAACAGCGCTTACTTTTGTACTGAAAATTTAACTTGAAAAAAAGTAAAATTGCACTATTTCATATTATATTTGCATATGAATAAATGAGTTGTGGCCAATTTACAATATAAAGATTTACGAACTAACTTTTCAATATTTAACTGGCATTGACTGCATCATAAAAGCAATACAGGTTTGTATCGATATGAATCGGGCATGGTTTAAAATTTCTATTTAATCAACGTGAAAATCTGTGGTGTACAGTGAAATATTTTGTTCTCGTTTACGATAAATCAGGTACATTAAACTTTCGAAGCGTATCGGGATTTGGTTATAAATACCATCAAAATGCAATATTTCCCACAAAATAAATAATTCATGTTTTATAAAGTGTTTCAAATTGCTTTAAACTCAAGTGACACTTATGATCATTTCAAACGTTGTATTTAATTCTGGAATACATTATGTACCTATTTTGAATTTTATGTCCAATATAGACATTTATTGGTGGTCTGTGCTTGTGAATTAACCACTCCATTTGATGAGCATCGATGAATTGTGTAGCTGCCATAAAAAGTAAACCCGCTGTTTATATGGTAAATATCGCAGTGCAATATCCCTATACGGAAGAGTTCATTCTGATGACAATTCATATATCCACCACTACTGTTCTTATGACCATATTTTATTCATGTGCAATTTCTACACAAAGCAACCTGTCCTTTTATATAATCCCGACATGGACACAACCTTACAAAATCTCTGTTCTCTTCCGAACAGCTGAACTGTAAATTAGATGTTTGAAAACAACATGCTGCATCGTGAGCGTGATATGCTGGGTAAACCATGAAAGGCATATTGGTATAATGTTCGTGTTTGCATGGCATGCCAACTTCTTCAAATGTGTCTGGCGTATTAATGAAAGGGAAATATTCTGGTTCACAAATCAGTCCCATTCTCATACACGCGTCGTCACAGTTGCTTTTATCGGCGATAGCTATTTTTAATGAAGATATTGGCGGCCATGTTTTGACTGAACTGCAGAATTTTTGTTTCTCAATATGAATAGATACTCTTTCCAGCATCCCTTCAGCACTGAATTCGTATGGAAGGTATGGCATAGGCTGTTTAAAACTAGTAATTTTATTCAGTACTGACAGAACGTCTTGTTCATTTGATATATCCAATGTGTAGACATGTGGTTCTCCAATGTACTTTTCCGCGTACGGATTTTGAGATGTTAATGCCCTGTTAGTAGGTTTTGATTCGAAAAATTCATTCGCTTTTCTTCTATTAACCTTATTCAACTTTGGATTTAAAAATACTGCTCCCATTGCTATAGCCTCCAAGGGAGCTGGTCCTTCAAAGGGGAAGCCTAATCCAACAAAATATTTTGTTCTCTGCAAAAGCTTGTACAGTTCATTGAGAGAAAGTATGCCATGATTGATGACGTAGTACGGCACATCGTTCGTATGCCCTGAAACAGTTCCGTGGATTTCAGATACATATCTGCGTAATACGTCCAAGTACGGTTTTAATCCAGCCCAAAAATTACCATCTTTGCCATATACTAATACTATATCTCGTTTTTCATGAAAATTGACATCATTTAAAACAGGATTCTCCACCACAAAACCAAGAAATGTATTGTCGGGAGTGTGAGGATACATTGTGTTGAACTGTTTCAGATGAAGATTCAAACCACCAAAAGGATTAACTTTACTTGTTGGTTCAATATTGTATTGGGCTTCCGTCCCAAAACTGTCTAATATGCGAAATCGGCATTTTATTGCTGCAAATTTTGGCAACTTCATTGCAAAAAGTTTATATCCCCGTACATCGGTATACACAATATCGAACGGAAACGCATAGTGACTGGAAAGAACTGAGCATTCAATGTTCGAGTTTTTAGACTTGTATTCTGTGTATGCATAAAAAAGGTCAAGTTTTGTGCTAGTGATAACTATATCATGACCAAGAATATACAAGCTTGATATCAAGTCACTCCATTGCACCAATTCTCCTAGTGGTCCACCACTCATTGCATTTTTTCCGATTCCAAGATCCATTAATCCAATATGCACATGAATTTTCTTCTTATGCAAAGGGATTTTGAGCTTTGTTTGAAAAAATGTCGAAGCGCTTTTTATCCAGAGTTGTTCCATTGATGCAATTCTATTTTTCATCCAAGTAAAATCTTCATTTCCTTCAAAAAGGTCAATGATTGCGGTGAGATTTTTCCTTGGAGTTGTGAGAGCAGTAGAAGTGAAATCATCTTAAAAGGATTTGTCGTTAAAGTCGTTATAGTAAAGACAAACGAATTTCCTGATTGTTTTGACCGTGTGTCGATTATGGAACGGCTTTATATGGCGCTGTAGTTTAGTGTAAAGCAAATTTAGAAATCTAGAATCGCGGCACATTCATTTATATATACATATACCATTATACCAAGCAAGTGCATAACACCTACTCTTGCAAGTATAAAATGACAAGTGCTCAAATTCTGGATGTTATCTCAGTTAAAGCATACATTTTCATTGTTTTTGTACAATGAATTTAAAAAATGGATACATTGCTTCAACAGGCTAAATACAGAATTAGACAATTCTGAATGAAGAAAAAGTAACATAACAAGATAAATAAATAATGTCATATTTTAATGGGTTGGGTACAACAACAATCTCGTCAATGTCATTTTAATTTATTGTACATTATTTATAGGGTTACCATATTTTTGTGACCTCAAAGCGGGATGCCTCCAAAGACCATAGCTGTGATTTTTTTTTCTCCTTTAAATTTATCGATTTTACATTAGGGGCCTACATTTAAAACCATTCCGGCTGTCTTTCTTGACCATATTGTCATCGAGAGTTCATGCGCTGTCTTTCTAAATATCGGTTTCAGTTTAAAAAATAGTTTACGTTAAGCAGCCTCTTGGCTTACGGGGTTTACAAGTAACAAATTGTAGCAATTAATGTTAGCTGAAAACAACGAAACAAACAAAACCACGCATCCGCCTTCAGTAGATAGGCTAACGGTACGCTGCACAGCAACAACAGTATCGAGAACATGACAATTGCTATTGTTCTTGTATTATGCTGACTGGCTGAACGTCAAATCGGGACTTTTGGCTGACCGGTCGGGACGCCAGGACAAAACGTAAAAAAGTGGGACTGTCCCGCCTAAAACGGGACGCATGGTAAGCCTATTTATTTATACCCTATCTGCAAATATATTACCTTCTGATTGAGTTTTAGATTCTTTTATAGTTTGTGGACAGTAGTTTTCCTTCGCAGATAAATATTCTAAAATTGAACATATACTTCCATTGACACCGTGTTTTGCGTAGCAATCATCCGACTGCCACAACTCCTTCATCCATTCAATTTTTTCGTAACAACTTTGCCATGGTTTTCCGTTGATAACGGCGTCAGGAAGTTTACAGTCTCCATCTGCAATACGATCCATGATTAAAAAAGAGTAGTTGTCCACAAATATTAATTATGACGAACTATGGTATTAAAAAACTACGCACAATCAGAGTTCAAGCGATCAATACTTCGATATTTAGTTTCGACGAAAAGGGAGCTCTTATTACGCGCAACTTATTATGGTGTTATATTTAAAATGGAAAAGTTTCACCTTACTTTCCAATATGGATGGAAAAAATTTGCTAACGAATGAATGATGTTGTGTTATCGACAATTAGCAATTAATTCTCAACTGAGTGCAGTGCTATCATTACGACTTTCATAACAAAAAATAGAATTATTATGTTGCAGCTTAAAGATCGTACAGCTTGAATGACCATCTTAACTATTCTCTTGCACTGGAAACATGATAAAATAGTTTGGTCCAAAAATATTCAATTGGTCTTAAGACGATCTTTATCTTTTTGTTTGTTGCGTTCGTAAACTTCGTCAGGTACTTGCGGTGTCAACTAATAAGCCCAAATTTTCATTCCTGAATATGCCTCGCTCTCAACTAATTAGTAACGTTGCCTAGCGATGGTGAATTTAGGTATTCTATTTATTTAAAATTTGAGCATATGTGATATTTAACTATATTTAGCATTTTAATAGAAAAATTAGTTATGCAAAAACATTACTTCGATCCACGCCTGCGGCAAGAAATCTCCCACAAATAGAAAGTCTGTTGATTTTGCTTGCCGATAATCACTACAGATTTTTTACGAGACTTCTGTTTCGTTTCAACACAAATCACATAGCAAACATAATTTTGTCGATGTGTCACCCACTGCCCTTTCACATATTCTGTACTTTCATTTTGATTTCCACCGTACGAATCCTCTCTCTAGGAGTTAAGATTTCAATTATCTGTATTTATATATTTAATAAAATGCCTTTTATAATAAGAAATCCACGTGTTGATATTAGAATCATGTAAAGTTGTAAACCTTCTTACCTACATACTTGCAAATAATGTCTCAAATAGAGCAAAAGTGATTCTATAGTATTGAGAATGAGCCTTCACACTTACCTCGAACTGCAATTGATTCTTGAAGTGAAGACAGATATTCGTCTTTTGATGTCCATGTGTATTTCAGTCGATGATAGGGCTTAATCTTGTAATAATTCAACACAGAATACAGCAAAATACATACTACGCCTCCAGCAAACGCATATTTTCTTACTTTAAGATACGAACTACGCTTCATATCTGCACTGTGTGAAGTCAAGCATCGTTGTGTATGAGATCATTGCCAGAGGGTTTATTGTTATCATCGCGTTTTCAGAACTTGATACTAGTCATTTACCAAAACTTTCACGCGACGTTTCGTTGCAATTACAGAGAACGGTTTTCCGTGCACGTCTGGCTCTAGGCACATTGTGAAACAATCCCTACACCGGCGCATGTGCGCCAGGCCGGGCGGCTGTGGAGTATCATTTTCCCAAATAAAACGACTTCAATATAGCAAAGAATGTAGCGGAGGAATAGGCTCATCCCGTAGAGGAGTGGTCTTCAAACTTTTTGAGACACGACCCCATCTACAATATTATTACGTGTGATAAGCACTCGCGACCGCAAGTTATATATATATGTTCACCTACAGACACGAAAAAAATATTTATCAAATTAGGAAATTTATTAAAAGAACCCAACAACAACCATATTTAATCAGTGTGAAGAATGCGACTGCTTCCTTCCAACGAGATCTTGCATTCGTGGCTTGAGCTCAAACGCAAATCGTGTTCTACGTTTATCGTTTAATCGATTTCGGTGCTTTGAATTTAGCAGACTAATAGCACTAAAAGTAAAGCTTTCAAAAAGATTGATCATACGATATTTTTCTTTTATGTTTATCAGCCATTTAATAAATTGTAATTATCAATATGACGGTAGCCTGGAAAATGAGGTTTTGCACTAAAAGCAACGGCCACTGTACAGTACATTTAACGACATACTAACGATTTACTTTAAAATATAAATTACTGTCGTTACGCAATAGCCTTATTACAAAAGAAGTCACTTCAATTCGAAATATCGAAACTTGCTAGCCTATTGAGCGTTATTCAACTTAACAGTGCAGACTGCACACTGTTGTGTATTTGTGTCATAGAAGTTCAGATAGAACGCTGTTTTTCACACCGACTAAATTTGTGATTATGATGTCATAATTGATTGATCGTAATTGCTCTTGATATTATCTGTCTGCGTGCTTGTTATTCGTTTTTTTGTTTGAAATATCTAGCGTTAAGCCGAGAAGTCACACACATAATAAAAATAATAAAAGAAAAGACAACGATGGGCACTCGGCGACCCCAGAAATATTTAAGGCGACCCCACGTGGGGTCGCCACCCACACTTTGGTGATCACTGCCGTAGAGCAAAACATATTTAAGAGAAAAACAAAGTTTTGTAGTATTAACTCATTATCTTGAGATTTTATCGGCATTTAGCTTATCTTACTAAATCACTTAACACTTTGATTGTGATCAAGTCAAAAGCGAACGTCATAATAAAGGGTCGGTTGGTGTTGAAATCATTGTCTCGAGCACTCATTTGAATTAACTTGTACGACAAAAGCATGAGGCATTGTAGTTATGTTGCTTTTGTGAGTTATGTGTTTCGTATAAAACCACCGCAACTCTTATATCTGACCCACTCGACAGTTAGCAATGTTTAAGTTTTCATTTAATTTTATGTCGATCTGAAAATAAAATTTCCGTGAACTTCTCATCTTATCGAATAAGTTCAGATCACGCTTGGAATTATTTGGATTTTCTCAAATATATATGGATTTTTCACTTGTCCTCAATTTCCACGCGCATAATTGTTATACAATAAAGTCAAGTCCATGCTTCCGAAAACAAGTAACTGACTAACTAATCCCATACCCCCCTGGGCTGGTAACCGGACGAGGGGCCGTGGTTCGCCATATGATTAAGCCGTCTTATCGGCTTTCCTCTCCCCCGGGATAAATATGTAAATCCTATCCTATATTATTTACAAAAAATTTAGATTTCCCTTTATCATATATTTTGTTATAACTAGTTTTGATTACCATCAACAATAATATTTTACTGTGTAAAATTTGATATTATATATTTTATTTTCAAATACGAATAAAAAATTAGGTGGCCAAAAAGTGGTATATTTGCTTAGATGCGAGTTTATGGAAACGCATATTAACGTGTAGGAATTCTATTGTAAAATTTCCCACAATACTGTATTATAAAAACATATGATTTCTGACATTCCGTTGGCAGGTTGGGGTTTTGTTTTGCTTTGGTAGCGGTTTTACGTTCTATCTGGGGACAAGATTGTCGTTAGTGGTGTTAATTACATCATAATCTTTCTAATAGGAATTAAACATTCTGTTATTTCTGATAATTTATATGTTTGGTAGCAATAGAGTAGACTCATTGATTTCAAAACATTGTAATGTCCGAGAAGTTACAAGCGTTTCTCAAAGAACAAAACAATAAAAAAGGCAGAGGAAGTTTGCTAGGGTCTGGTACAAACAGTGGGAATTCTTCTGCGGCCGAAGGTGAGTCTGATACATCAAAATTGTTGTCATGGGTTCCATCAGTCTCCATCTCCATGCCAAAAGTATTCTCGGGATCTGAAAAACAGGAATCTGCCAGCAATACCAATTGGTTTTCTGAATCCAGTAGTGATCCAATATGTCCAGCATTGGTAAGTTAATATTAAAGAAAAATTTTGATTTAAAATGCCAATAGTTGCAGTTGCAGCAATTTATTCACATTTATTTTTTCACAGTCTAGAAAACAGAGGTTGATTGGATTTGCAGTTTGTGTTTTCACTGGAATTATGTGCTTTTCTCTTGCCGCAATGTATGCTCCTCTGCTTGTATTAAAAGCTCGTAAATTTTCACTTTTGTATAGTCTTGGAAGCCTTTTTATGATAAACAGGTAGGCTCAAACGTTTCTTTCATAATGGCAATGTCAGTCAAAATGTTTTTCTATTCGGTTGAATAGGAAATGCTATATGCTGAATTACTTTTTACAGTAACATTCTATATATCTAGTCTTCACGTTTTGATGAAATAATAGATTATTTGAGGTGAAAAACTACTGAATCTAGGACACAGAATACCATTACTGCATTAAGCGTTATCCATCTCATGTTTAAAATCTATGTATATTTCAGTATTTCTATTAATTGCAACCTTCAATATTCAGTACTCCCGTAGCGTCTGTATGGTTAGGCCATAATTTTATTCCGAGTTGCGGGAATGTTGTGTTAGCAAAGTGAATGTTCCCATAGGCTTCAGTCCCTTTACACAACTTGATGTAAAACAGGCAAACAAAAATAGTTACCTCCATATTGGTACACACACTTCTGGAGCGCCCAATATTTGACTCCATAGTTACATAAATAATTATAAGCAAGTCCTTTATTTGTGAAAATACTTTTCATGTTACCTTTATTTTTCAGTTTTTCTTTTTTGTGGGGACCATGGATACACATGAAGCATCTTTTAACAAAGGATCGTCTTCCATTTACTTTTGCATATTTTGGTTCACTTTTTGCAACTTTGTATTTTGCAATGTGGTTACGTAGCACAATTCTTACTGTTATTGCGGCTGTGGTACAAATTATTGCTTTGACATGGTAAGTTACTAAGAACAATTCATCACAACTCTTTGAAGTCAGTCATTTCATTGTTTATTTAATGGGAACAAATCTGCAAAGATAAGAAAACCTACCCTTCCTAACCTTGCTGAATGTGTCAGCAATATAAATTGTTTCTTCAGATAATAGGATTAAAAATTCTGCTATTAATAATTGATTTTGATCTGGCCAAAGTTATAGAAATTGAGAGTGTAGCACAAAACTCGGTCATTTATATACATTGATGAAGACTGGTACTAGTCCAATATATATATTTGAGTATTTTTTTTATACAGGTATATTGTGAGTTACATTCCTGGTGGACAAACTGGATTAAGATTTATATCATCATTGTTTACATCACTTGTCACAAAGACTTGTAAAAAAACCATATCGGTGTGAAATAAGTGGGAAGCCAGTACACCATAACTGATTTTTGCAAGAGTTCTAATGCTGACATATTGAAGGCCAAACTATAGTGTTGCATTGCTCGAAGTAAACTTTAATGTTTTGTCTTAGATGCTGAATTTTGTAATATATTTATCTTTATGAAGTTGAAGTGCAATAAACTGGTGCTTATTATGTAAGATGGAATATGTCAAGTGATTTAAAAGATAGTTGGAGCAACTAAAGGTGGTGTTTGAGGCTAATAAACAAAATAAAAAAAAATGCCAATGAGAAAGAACACTTTCAAAGATGGTTGTTAGTTGGACACTGTAGTTCAGACAATATTTTGCGTTGATGCAAGACTTCTATTGCACTTCATTTCTTTATATCTTGTGGTATTGACTAACTATAGCTCGAATAAGCCTTTTTTTTAATTTGAATTTGTCCTAACAGTATCTAGGAAACTTTCTCACCAGAATAAATTGAGGCTCCTAACCAGCTTCTGTCTGCCTGCAATACAAAGAAGCATTCGGTGGCATTGATCAGTGCGATGTATTTAGGAGATATTCTCATGTACACCCTATGACACATTGACTGACAAAACACAAGTGAAATAAATACCATCAATGCTTATTTATTCATTCCATCCATTTTATAGAAAAAAGGACTGACCGTTTTTCTAAAAATAACGTTGTACAAACAAGGAATTACATGACATGAAATACTTGCAGAAATTCGTTTTGCACTGAAAGATGTTAAACAAAACTGATTTATTTGATCCATAACATTTCAAAATTTCATTCAATTGAAAAAGAATTCTGAATACACTTAAACGAGAGTATGAAAGAAAAAATTTATGAAATTTCATTGAAAATGTTTTGATACAATATTTACAAACACTACAACAAGATAGCAGGCACTAGAAAAAATTATGGCAGTAAATATAAAGTAAAACAGAATATTTATTTTGACGAAAGACTACATGGCAAAAATAGTGAAAACTAATACCATGCAAATACGAATAAACAGATAAAACTGTCTGTTTGAAACAGTCATCGACAAATATATTGCAGTTTCATCATTGGTCCAAAAATCTGTGCAGGACCAATAGCATTTGTGGAACATGAGATGCTAATTCATCCATTTCTTGCAGTTAGATGCTCCACATAAACATGGAATTTTTCTTCCTTCATCTTCAAAATCAAACTTATAGTCGTATGAAAGCTGAATACCATAATAAATGGGTTAGGGATGGTAATAATCCAAGTTTGTGATTAGGAAACTTCGAAATACAAAATATGGAGGAAAAATTTTATCAAAATATATTACGAAGACAAGGTTTTAATGACAATTATCAGTGTCAAGACTGTCAACCATGATACTTGGAATTAGAAATCGCAATTTTCCTTGAAAAGGATGACGGTAGATAGATCAAACTGTCATAAGTCGAGAAGTTACATTATAAGGTTATGTGATTATCTGTAGTCAGCTTTATTAAACAATTCAACCTTCGTTTATTATACGTCAGGATTATGACCAGAATACTAACTCTTTATATGCTTGAAAAAAATATAAATTCACAAACCTCCTCTCCTTTCAAAATATGACGATTTGATACAATCATGATCTTCTTTTCTTTTTCAAAATTTACAACTTCTGCCACACAGTTTGGTTGACAGGAATGATTGATGTATCTGTGAAAAAAATCGAATTCAATTATGGGCTTGATTATTTTTGCTTACTTTTTCAAACAGATAATGCTGCAGCAGGATAGGGATTGGAAAACCAAGAAGAAAGCTAATCAACATGACCTTTTGTCTTGTTACCAGTTAGTCATTTTAGATGCATGAACTTGAGGCCGGTGGAATCTGTCCCCGACCAGCGATTACTTGAACTACCCCACAGTAATCTTGTTGCAGAGAATTATCCTCCTTTGTGTTTAAAACTGCACAGGATGATCAGAACAGCGTGTTTCGCTAAGGGCAATGCCCCAACTGACGAGGCAGAGCTAAATTTTAATGATGTAGCCACCATTGATTTTGATACCAAAATATGAACACGACAGCTCTTGATATGATTTTTCAAATCTTCAGTGAAAATTGTCAGTGCTGCAATTCAGTTTGCAATGTAACAAGAAGAACCATGGACAAATTGATAATAATTATATAATAATAAGTTTATGCTATGAAGTCTCTTTATAATTTAAAAAATTTATCATTTGACTCTAATTCTGATGAAATTCTACAAATGGTCCAGGGACTTTAAAATGCATTGAAAATGGAACAAACTGAGATCACTTATACAAAAACACACCTGGCTGGTCCACCAGTTACAGTCGCATCAACAATGTGGTCGGAGTCAAGTCTGAACATGTAGACTCCACGATTCTGTGCTTCGTACATTTTCTCTCTGTTTTCTGAAACTTCTATTCTGATAATATCACCGATGTATTCAATCACCATAGTACCAGGCTCAATATCCCGAGCAGAAAAAAGGCCGAGCCCCTGAATGTGAAATAAAAGACCAGATTATTCAGAGTAGAATATTAACACTAAGCGAGTAGAACAGTGGACCTCTAACTGTTATGTAACGCTGTCACCTTACAGCACTCTATAATCGTCGCCATCAGGCAATACAAACTTATTCACAAATCCCAATAGTAGATCATATTTTTTTCTTGAAACGACGATCTGATCTCCATTGGGCTTTTACTATTATAGACATTTTGGTTAAGGTTATGCATTAAGATACAATCACTCCATTTCTTCCTTTCGTCGTTTTGATAATCGGCGACAGCTAAAACCGCTTTTTCTAACACATATGATGTCGATAATGAAATAATCCAAGGTACTTTTTCATGAAACAGTGCCAAAATTTTATAACACCTATCTTTTGTAAAACTTATTTTAGTTTCGCGATAATTCTGAATTATGCTGCGAAGTGTGTCTGTAACACACTTAATGGACATGTGATAAAAACATGTAAATGGTATTATTACCTCTCCCTGACTTGAAATATCTGTTTGCGCAATGACCTTAATTTTGTCAACGTATTTTTTTCTGAAGGCCACAGTTGGAATCCATTACTTTTCAAGTTCTTTTTCAAATTTGGTGAGTAATTTGGAAGGAGCAAAGTTATTATGAATAAATAGCAGTCAAGTGGACAAGACAGTCAACAAAAAAAAGAATAAAATTAATATAGAGAATGAGGTCACATGAAAAAAAAAAATTTGCAAATCACTAGATATTACAAACCTGAATTCGTGAGCGAGCTAAATATACATTGGATCTCCATTCCAACTTCATTTTTCTATATTGTGATGATTTAGAATGAACAAATTGTTTTCCATATAATGAAGAAGCATCTCCGATACCAGATGATTCATAATATTCACTTATCAAATTACTGATCAGTGTGTGGGGCCTGAAACAATGAAAAGGATTTTCACAGTCTTGCCACATTATCTAATGAGCACACACGTGGAGTACAAGTAACGTAAAAAATTCGCTGTAAATAGATTAAGTTATGAACAATACTCTTCGTTTTTTGAGTTGAAGCTATGCCTTACCCTATAACTTTGTTATTGCTTTGAATATTTAAATATTTCTTTCTCGCTACTAAATAAAATGATTGAAAAATGACAGCTAATCATTTTTATTATACAAAACTAATTGACATGATTGCTTAATTTTGAGAGTGAAAAATCGCTTTGTTCCGCAACTAATTGACCAATCAAATTCGAATTTTTAATAGTTAAAAAGTGCTAGAAAGTTATTGCTTTTATTTTTTTCTTCTACCTATTTTCTCTTAGCCCCTGGGGCCAGGCTTGACCCAAAAATTTTCTGATTTTAGAACTGATATTCATACATATTAATATCACACACCATACTAGTCTTTAGCTCTACGCTTGTTGACTATACTACGATTGCCATATCAGTTATTTTCCTTCGTGTCCATATTTAAACATTGCTCCCATATTGTTATTAATATTATACATACTTTTTCCTGTGTTGTTTAATATGAGGTTCAGATCTTGCACATCCAGTGGGATTGATGGCCAGAGGAACTTCTAACAAAGGTGTTCTGCCGTATCTGAACTTGTATTCGGAGCATAACTCGATATTGGGAAGCTGAAATAATAAAAAAACAATAAAATATGCGTATTCAAGCAGGGCTGCGGTATCAGAGTACGAGTTTCGCCTATTTTTATTGACATTGGAGTTGAGTCAAAGTTGTATTTTCTACTTTTTCAGAATTAGGTGGCGAAACTTCGGATTCAATCAATGGTGAAAATCAAAATTCCAAAGTTAACTAAAAAAGAAATTTATTTGCCTAAGTACTTTCAACAGATTGAAGAAGGCTTGCATAAAAAATTCAAAAATTTTAGTAAGTCGTAGCCATTTTTGAATAGCTCATAGTTTTGAGCTTGGCACACAGCCCTAATTTCAAGACAGAAGTTGAGATTGCTGTAATTGGTACTTCATTCACCTTCACCTAAAGGTGTAATAAATTGAGCAGGCAATTAACCGGAAGGATTTCGATCCTTAGTAAATTGTAGCTTCTTGTGTATCAGGATCATACATGGCTGCTTGAAAAAACCCTTGTTCAGATATCACACAAAAAGAGAAAGTAGCTAGTTCACTCTTCTTTAACATAAAGACTAACTAACATGATGTTGAAACTTACAGATTCCAATATTCTCGAAACAACTGGTGTTGTCAGACCAAACAATTTCTCTCCATTAATAAAATCAGGAAATAACTTGAGTACACTGTGCTGAGAACGAAGTTTCTCAAGTGGCTTCAAAATATCCAACCATAGATCTAAATATTGAATAAAAAACTTTTCAAACAAAACAATTATTATCCTTATAAAATGACTTACATGAGAAATGCTATCGGAAATTTTGGCATTATTCCCACCAGTATCAATATAACAGTGCAGCCAATAGGAAATATCATTTAATTCATCTTTCTTTTTAGTGAGAAAATGGTGAGAAGTCATACTATCATTCTCATTACTGAATATTTAAGATCAAAATATTTTGATACAAAAGCAATGGTTTTCCTCAAAAAACATAATAACTAAAAAAATAAGAATCATTTTTTACCGTTCACAATCGAATTATCAATTTTGGTCACAGTGTCGGAATGTGTCAAAATTTTGTCAGGTTTATTTTTTCCAGGTAAAGCTGCATTATAATTCATTGTGAATAATGGTTTGCCGTCAACTTCACTGATGGTACATTCGTATTTGCATCTTCGCCTCATGTTCTGAAATAAAAATGGAACTTTGCATCAAATTTTTAGGATTTAAGAAAAGATTTTTTTGTAACAGAGTTTGGTAATCGACTGGATTGTCATAGACTTACACTTAGGGCCAAAGGAGACCACATTGATATTCCTACTTTCAAAGCACTTTTTGCCCCATAAGTCATCATAGAATTTTGTAAAGCCAATCGAGTAGCAATGACTTGTGACCGCTAAACAATTCAGATTGAATTCGATATTCCATATCCAAAAATATTTTTTCAAAATGTATTCATAACAGCAAATTATTTTTTGATTCAGGCCATTCCTGGTTGGCAACAAGATACTTCCCACTCAGAACATGAAGCAATTTCATTTTTTCCAGAAACTTGGTACTTCTCTGAGTTCTGGCCTAAGACCTTGGCAAAGGTGTTTAGCAAAAACGTAATAAAAGTACTTACGCCAGTGCTCCAATACATTCTAGTTGCTTTGTATCCAATAGGGTAGATAGCTGATTTACTGTGACAATTTTCCATCTGGTGTGTTGCAAGTTGTCCAACATTTTCAAATATTAATGCTCCAACACGTAGCATATAGTTCTTCTCACCTTTACCAAACCAAATAAGATTTCACAATGAGTAAGATGGGGGTAACCTAAATTTGTATCCAAGATGTGTTGTGATGGCCTAGTGAAGTTCAAGCTTAAATATGTAGGCATGCCAAGTTACAGATTTTGTGTTTGTAAAACATGTCCATGATTTCGTCTTGAAAGCAGAACTCAGAAGACTATACATGTATATTGGACATTTTAACCAGTCACTAAAAGCAAGGAGTATAGTGTATGCACTGCACATAATTATGTCCAATAGGATTTGGATGCGAAAAGTCAATTTCTGATTCATGTCACGTTATAAAAAATTTTCCAATTTCAAATACCTGGCATCAGTAGGATACACATATATTAGTAACAGATTAATTAACAAATCCATGATTAGTTAATTAAACAATTTCAATTAATATTCAATCATCCTATCAATATTCATTATAATTAAGATTAATATAATTTAATTCATTCATGTGATTACCCTGTGATAATTCTCCTTGTTGCATAATGCTTGCTATTTGTTTTGTTTCTGGTCTTTGAACATAAACTTTACGAAAAACTGCAAGTGATCGAAGCGTATCGCCAGAATGATAGTGATGTTGATGCATGCTGAATCCAGTACCTGATGTCGTCCCTGGTTTAGGAGCATGTGTTGGACAAAGAACTGTTTTATCCTGGACATAACGAAGAAAAATAATGAGTTATTCGAATAGCTACACACAATGTTACCTTAAAAGCACTTTGAGCGTAAACAACGTGAATAATGACACAGAATCAGAATAACCATTTTTAATCCAATGCCCAATATGTACTACTAAAATCGGTAAACAATTTTTTTCTTTTTTAAATAATTGGTGGATTAATAATTACTGTCGAACAATCCACAATTGCACCACAAAAACTGATGACTACAGGCATGGGTAGGGATGGACTGATCTTTTTATTCCCTTTGCAAGCGTTTTGACCCTTAACGATACAAATCCAATCATCGAGTGGACGTTTGGCACGTAAAACACTTCATTGCATAATTTTGCATGCAGAATTTATTCTTAAATTTATATGGATTCTCCATGGAATATAACAGATATGCCAGTCTTCTCATGTGAAATAAAAACCATTACATCTGTTGCAGTACAAGGTTAGACTTTCAAATATTCCCACTTTTTTAATAGAACACTTACCTTGAAGAATACGCATTTGATATCGAGAGCACATTGACAATGGTATGTGTTCACACATCTTGGTCTATGGCAATGTATAGTTGCTCCTTTCTTTTGACAAAGTCCACAAAATACTGACTCACTTCGACGTAATGCCAGGTCGACATTAATTAATGCACCTCCCTGAAAACATTTAAATACAGTGATTTACCGATTAACACTTTTCACAATTTATCATAAAACAGTAAAATATTTTGCTTTGATACACATTTCTGTGAATTCACAGCAACTCAGGTTCAAGTCATGTAATCACCATCTCATATAGAAGTTGCAATAAATTTTGTTAGTAGTTCAGTACATTTGAATATATACATACGACATACAACTTGAAAAAACGAAATGAACGATCTTAAAGGGAATTCAGACTTAAGACTGTACAGCCCTTATTCAAGCTGCATTGTTGGGCCCAATACAAACAAATTTAATTGAAACCTACCTGTGTTTCATAAACCTCAGCAGACCATAAAGCACAGTTGAGATGAACCCATCTATCCACATCAACATTGAGTAATCTAGCTATAGTATGTGTGTCTCCATCTCCTTTACCTCCACAAAATACACAAACACGACGATCGACCAACTCAGGAGATGGCTAATGATTGAGAAGAAAGATTTTGTATTATGAAGAATTAATTAAATAGTTCAATTTAAGATTGTAAGTCATAATTCCCAATAGTTTATCACATGGATTTTTCCAGCAGTAAGGATCATTGAAGTGTCATAGGTCAGAATAAAATCATATTAATAGGTAAGTGCCAATGCTGCTATTCTTTGCGTGGTATTTCCCAGATTAGGATGAGTTCGAGTTATACTTTAAAATAGCAGAATCTGATATTTTAATGTGCTATATACCTACTCGTATTTCAAATAACAGCCTAATAAACTCCATTACTGATTTACGATATAAGCACAGTAATATATATATTCTAATTCGCTCCAAATAATATAAAACTGTACCTGATTTCATAGTGCATTCTCAGTAAGAGAATACCCAAATATTATTTGTCAGACTTTAAACACCTTCACTACCTCGATTATCCCTATGCTTTTAGAGTGTTTAGTGCGTAAGTTATTAAAGTTTGTACAAACCATCTTGTGCAACTAGATACTTACATATCTCCTCTGACAAAGCACAATGCTTTTTTTTTTTTATTCGTGTAATTCTACTGTTAATTCTTTGATTACACCAACGAATTAAAACAGGCATGATGAAATAAATTCTCAACATACCTTCAAAGCAGATCCATATTTAGCCATCAATGCGTCAACATCAACAGGTGGTTTGTTACTAGATTTCACAACAGTTACATTAACAGACCATTTCTTCCATCTCAATCCTTTCCAACGTTTTGCAGCAATTTTTGGTTCATCACCTGACAGACAGAAAGAAGAATATAATTCATGTTTTAGAATGTATTGGAGAAATTCTAAATCATCTATCTCTTCTTAAAGAATTGCAGGCAGGTGACATCCTAGCAATTGAAGCGTTAGACTCAACTCTGAACTAAATCCCACGCTCACCACCATACCCAGAGTTTAATAATTTTAAGTCTTTGCAAAAATAGTATCTTATTACACATCGTCAGATACAGTGGCTGCTTCTACAGGACATGGTTTGGAGCAAAAGACGATAAACGTCCTATAAAAATAAAATTATTTTAACATTCAAATGACGAGTTAATTCCAATAAAATATAACACTAACCTGGACCTCTTCTACGTCCCCTTCCTCTACCCCTCCCTTCCCCATTAAAACCTCTGCTTGGATCATTAACCCCAGATGGAAAATAAGTTGATTCTACGCTTCCAAATCTTGTGTTTTTAGATGGTGTTAATGGTTCTTCATCCGGATATTTTTCCAGCAATGCAGCCATGGTAATTTTCTGTGTATGTCTTTGGTATATGTGGGATGCTTTGAATTTTTTCTTCGTTGGGGCGACAGAAGGCTATAAAGCGATGAAAAAATTATAATTGTGATCACATAATGGGTTCTCATTGTGTTTTTAGGCCAACGTAGTCTTGTGCATATTCCAACTATTTATTAGAATTGTCAATTAAAATAGAACAGGATTTGGTATTCTGGATTCAATTAAAGTATTCTAGAATTGCGCGAGCAGGTTGTTCCCATAATGGTTTCTGCACAAAGTAAAAAATGGCATATGCAAGATTCAAATACTGCAATCCTAATCAATATTGGAGAAAATCAACCTGATTTACACATTTTTAATTTTTAAACTCACCTTTTTCTCAAATAATTCACTTTTCAGGTAACAATCCTTATTGCAGAAAGCAACGTCCTCTTCATAAATTGAATCCTGTGAAGAACAATGGTTTATGTTTAGAAATAAGACAGTTAAATGACAGATCTGGGAAATTTGAATATCAAAGTACCAGAACTTTGGGAGTATTTGCAATGTGACAGACAGTAACAGCAGAATTCAGCGTCATTTTTTCAAACTTCCCCATAGTTGGGAGTGAAAAATTTGAATTCTTCAGAGTCGAAAAATTCTTAATGAAAACTAAATAAGCATTGGTTTGGCTAAATCAGGGGTGTCCAGCATTTTTTGTCCGTGGGTCATATAACCAACTTAGGATATCTAGCTGGGCCAAACAAAAAAATTAGTTTTCCATGTATGCAAAGAATTCAAAAATAAACTCCAGAACCTTGCAGGGAAGGCAATAGAAGAGAATGCGCTAGTAATAAGTAGTCTAGTAATATATGCACCGGGCAATCGATGAAATATTCAATGTAGCATAAGCACAAAAATTGTTATGTATGTATACCCATGTGAGCTCCTTTTTAAACATGAACTGACGAATTAGGATTTTAGGATAAGGAAAAATCTGAGTGTTGACAACGGCTACACTAAATGGCTTAACAGGCTGGGTTGTCACCCATGGGTCGCCTGTTGCACACCCCTGGCTTATATATTTAGGTATCGGAATAAAAAATAATTACATCAAACTGTGGTTTTCTGACTCCATTTCCATTGACAATAGTTGTACAATAAATACATCTTCTTTGTTTTGACAAATTGCTGGTGATAATCTCTTCTGGCTGGTTCTACATTGTCATAAATAAGGAAGATTCAAAGAAAAAATTCAATAATTTATAAAAAAAAAAAAAAGGAAAACTACACCACTGAAATTTCAAATTCAATAAAACAAATTATATTTTTAGAAAACCATGAATTCTGCAAACATTTATATCTCAGAATAACGGAATGCAACTTTAGATTTTTAAAACAGCCATATTTAAAGTATACCCTCAAATACCTTTCAACAAGATAGCAAAGTTTTGTCCATCATTGAATATAACAGTCTAACTGGAAAACATAAAGATGACTTAAGGTAAGTCAAATTTCACCTGGTTAATTTGTGTTGCTTGTGTTGGTATTGCTGCTGCTAATGCAGCTTGTTCTTCCTTGATAGCTTGATTTAGCTCCTGGAATATTTTAGACACAGACGAATGAACTCATAGAAAATGTTCAAGAGACTAGGAATTTACAAATAATGTGACTCAAACAAAATCAGTATATAACAAACAATTTTTGTGATTGCTGAATATAATATATGAGATGAATAAATAGGAATCAAAATAAAAAGTGAAATTTTTTAGAATACAAATATTTTAAAATTTAGAATCAAAAAGTAATTTGTATTAGATAACGAGCATACCTTCATTTTCTTATCTGGTCTTATCATTTCAGTAACATTATAACTGATAATAGATGTATCAAGAATTCTTGATAGAAGTGTCAGACTCTTTTCAATGCTCTGTAAAAACAAGTGAAATAATACAACAGAATGAAATTTAGAATTAGAAATACTATGATACTTTAAAGTTGAAAAAGAAAGAATATAATATCTCAAAATATATTTAATATTAAAAAGATTATTTTCAGATTTCAGAATGATATGAATTCATTGGTTTTAACCAGCTTTGGACTATCCTTATTCAGGACTGATTTAAATTTGTTTTTCATTCACAATTTTCAGATTTAATGTTTGCCAGACCCTTTTTCACTCAATGTCATTTTTTCATCCACCTATACCCATCTTGTGTTAATTAAACTAATGGATATGAAATAGGAAAATCTTACCTTTATATTAGCATTATCAAATTCAATGGTCACAGAAACAGAATCCTTATCACTTAGTGGAGGTTGTCCTCGTCCTATGTCAGTCGGAACTTCTAAAAATATAGAAGTGTTATGTTAATTAACATTGAACTCGTCACTCAAAAGGAACATCATTTGTTGGCACATAATACACCACAATATATCTATATACCGTAGTTTCATTATTGTGTGTCTACCCAGAAGTTTGCCAAAAACGGATGTGCTTAAGACATTACTAACCAAAGTGTACACTCTCATCCAAATTCTCCAAGAGTATTATAATACACAAAATATTTCTGTCGTTTACAGAATTGCTCAAAAAAAAATTCAGCATTTTACAATAAAACATTTTTTTGTAATCTCCGAAACCTTCATATAACTTACTTATTTTTGGACAAAACATGAGTGGTAAAGCTGGCGAGGGAGAGTCTCTTATTTTTTCTGATTTAATGTGAGGAGTTCTCATAACAAACTCATAATCATGGTTTCTGAGTGATGTGAGAGTGTGAGGAGACCAGTCATCTTCATCTTCCATCTCTGGTGAGGAAGGAGCCATCACTATGTCTTCTGCAGGTCTGAATAAAATTTTTGGAAGATTTTTGCTTTGTCATTGAGACATTTACCTTTTATTAAAAATAATATTCACAGAGAGCACGTCCTGGGTTCAGATGTGAATAATCGTCATACAAAATAATTTAATTTAATTTAGTTGATCGGCTGAACGAAGCCTTAGCTATATTCAATCGAGGGTTATCTAGAGCCAGCTTGAATTTTAGATGTATAACGTACAAACAAACAGTTAATTATTTGAATTAGTATTTGAATTGGCAATGTAGTACAAATTATTACTGACTTTATTAAACATTATTATGGTAAATCAAAAATTAGGTTATGTTTTAGTAACTATATACCAGAGACGGAATAAGTTATAACATTGAATTACCTCATAAGATTCAAATCATCCTTATCTTCAATGCCTTGATGTGGTGGTGTGGGTAACGAGTCCGGTACTTTCACTTGGGGTGGGTGAAGCAATGCTACACCTGCTTGACTACTATCATGTAGGGTTAGGCCTAATGGACCAGACCGGTCTGCCAAGGTTGATGGTTTGTCGGGAGTGCTAGAAGCAGGCGTGCTGAAAAAGGAAGATGTCGTCTCCGTTTTGGCTTCAATAGTTGACATTTTGGCTTGATTCTCTTGTTGTTTACGAGTCGGTGAAGGAGGAAGAGAAGCAGGTGGTGTTGGCGGATTGGGAGGTCTCGATTCCTCCTAGAAAAAATTGAAATTCAATATAAGAATTTTATTGAAGGCAAAGAAAATGTACAATATACATGGACGTGAAGGTTAATTGACAAATATGGTTTTATCAAGATTCGAAGAAAATTAGGGGCCAAATACCGGGTTCTGCGTAATTGCAAAAAATTTTGAAAATATAAAAAAAAGATTCGAGTCTTGCTGCACACTAACACAAATATAATTAGAGCTCGACCGATATCACTTTTTGGCACCGATACCGATAACGATATATCGGCCAACTAGTGACCGATAACCGATATCGACATACCGATATCTACAACCTGAACCCGCGATAAATACAAATAGAAAGAAAAATTCAGTTTCAGTCAATCAAAAGTTTATGTTGAAAAATAAAGCAGTCCTACACAGTGCTTGCATCATTGATAAAAGTTTCACAGCAATTAATAAGAACACACATTAATGCACAAAACAGAAGGCAAAGTTTGAAATAACCAAGCACAAAAGAAAAAGGGCAATCAGTAAAAATCTTATAGAAGTCCATTTTGATCCATACAGTAGTAGATGGGGACTAGGCTTGCACGTAATTTAGGGAATTACGTAATTATTTCGAGTTACGGAAGGGAAGTTACAAATTACGTAAAGTCGCCACCCCGTTTGAGCGATTGGTTTTACGATCAAAACGATATTATTATGAGCGTTATAACCGTAACGCAATTAACACCGACAGACTTTTTTGTCTTCACGATTTGGTATCTTTTTTATTCGGCGCTGATAACGATAAATAAGAATGTGTGATAGTTGATTGTAATTCCGGAAGGCGTATTTTTCTTTCTCTCCGTGAAACAGACATGAAACGAATTTTACCGCCGCTATGGAGCAAAGGGAGAGAAGGCTACTTTCTTTTGCCGACTCAATCACTTTTATTAATACAAATTACAGCACATTAAAAAACAAAATAAAATTTATTAGCATTAATTTACAACGAGTTACGGGTAAGAATTTACCGCCGGCTAAATAGTTAATATGTGATCTGAATTTATCGCAAATAATGTTATAACATTTAGGCCGCGAAATGATTTGATATAAAATGAAGCTTGGTAATCGGAATATCGTCAATAATTCAGCATCAATAATTATTGCAAAATGCTAACTAGGTAGCAAAGTCGGATAATGTAAAAAACGGAGCAATAACAAGTCTTCGTCGCGAGGCAAGCGCAGGTATAATCAAACGAAAGAATACGCTCGTCGTTGATTAATAACTTGGAAACCTGACATTTTTATTCAATACGAAAGTCGATTTTAAAAAAAGGCAACTATTGTTCCATAAATATCCGTATACCAGTGTTGGTAATGATAAAATTGATCGCATAAAATTGGGACGGTTAATTTGCGAAGGTGATAAAGGAAAATCAAATCAACATAAAAGTTAAAAATCAGAATAAATACAATTTGAATTCACTCTTTGGTATTTGTCTTTAACATCTGTCGCCGGCGTGTAGTACTGTCGGTGATATGAAAACCAAACTTCGATGTCCCATACGGAAAAGAAGTGGATTCAAATGGTTTTTATGATAGGTATAAATGCGTGAAAAAATATCGCAATTACGGGGTCATTACGTAATCGATTTTGTCGTAATTACGAAATTGATTTTTGTCGATTACGTGCAAGTCTAGTGGGGACGCAAGATATTCGAAGGCGAGGATTTTGCGCCGCACGAAGAGATAAAAGAGAGAAATATGGAAGAGAACCCTCTGTTCATTGAGAGGCAAAATGAGAGAAGCGAAAAAAAGAAAACGCTCGGCCGCAGATATTTCGCGGGGAAAAAGACTCATTTTTTAGAACGTGGAAAAGCGACTAAAGCTGATATATATCGGCCAGATATATCGGCCGGTTGGGCCGATATGATATATCGGCAAACACGCAATATCGGCCCGATATATCGGTTGACCGATATATCGGTCGAGCTCTAAATATAATTCTACCTTTTCCAACTTCAACAATATTTCATATAGGTCGGGAATTCCTTTATATGACGACGTTCCAATTTCCCCTCCAAGGAACAATTTACATTCAGTCAATCCTGTACCTTTTGGTACACACATGTGATGAGTTCTCCTCATATCTGGTTCGATCAATCTTAGTAGAGGAAGCTGGAATAATCAGAAGTGATTTGAATCGTGAAGTGAATTTATCGTTTGCCTATCTGATAGGCATATAAATTATAAATAACTGATAGTGCTGATAATATTATAATTTGGATTCAGACAAAAACATGGGGATATTCATTTCAAGCAATTAACAAATTAATCAGAAGCAAAAGTACTTTTGATTGATTAAGAAACAAAATAATTGGTGAATATATATTAAAAAATGCATACGGTATGCCTACTACATAAGATGACAGCTATCGGTCAAAACTAATGTAACTGTTGACTATCTAAAAATGGTTAACCAGTATACTCATAAACCGCCCTACCAAAAAGTATTTCAAACGAAGAGAAATATGTCAAAATCAGTTGTGATATAGGGCAAGATGCTAACAAACAAAATTTTATAATAAAAAAATTACCGGTTTCCATTGTTTTGCAATGTCTGCTGCACCAACTTGTCCTGGACTTATTTGTCCCACTGTTATGTGTCCACCAGGAAACTGAACCACTGTGCCTGGTTTACCACCAAGAGCTGTTGGTAAAATATACACAAATAATATGAATCACAAATTTGTATCATAAATGAAAACTATTTAAGTTACCATTCTAAATCACAACCTTAGACAACTTTTTATAACTACAAAATGAATCTTTCTTCTTATCAATAAAAAAATAGTTCGTACTTCGCAATGTAGCAGGACCTTGCATCATCATTCCACCTTCCACCATTGCACCAATCGGAAATTGTTGATTTGAATTTTTACTATCCTTTCTTCGTCGTCGTTTTGGTTTTCCGTCTGGTCCAGTTTCTTTCGAACCTTTCCTAGATCGTTTCTTCTTTTGTCCAGGATCTACGTCACTATCAGGAGGCTGAATATAAATTGCCATATTTTAATGAATATTATAATTATCATAGTGACATTGCAAATTGGAAATCAAGTTAGTCCTATGGTTAATTAAAGCCTAATCATTTAGGGATCCTAACCAAGGATTTCGAGAGCAATAACTTTGAGAAAAAAAATCTTTTCGATAACCAATACGATCAGGCAAATATTACCTCAATAGAGAAAGCAGGAGTGTGTGACATAGGTAATACAGGAGGGCCAGATACAAATAACTGGGTGAAATCCCGGATTGCACCTTTATTAAAATAGGCTTTCTAGTAATTGCAGGCACAAAAATTTTGGTTATTGATCCTTATGACAGGCGTTGTTCGCTTCGTACAAGCTAGCTGTTAGGGAATTGTGATAATAAGTTGGATTCAGGTATAGGCTTTGCATCGCAACGGAATTGGGATTACTCGCACATACCAGATTAAACTACCGTGAATTAAAAACTCGTTTCGTGGGCTGCACCATTTAAAATTCGCACTTCTCCATCGGCCGCACAATTTTTATTTGTAGGCCGCATTCGGTCCGCAGGTTGCACACCCGCGGAATATGGGACAAAATTATAATTGTAAACTACAATATCCTATCTTCATTAACAGGATATATTATAAGGATAAGGATATATACATGGTCCCAATTGCCACTTGCATGGTTTATTTCATGAAGAGCAATTGGGCTGTCCTATAGACAGCAGGTTAGATTTTTAGCACAGCTACACAATAACAAACGAATTAAGTATGAAAACTACAAATAAAATCCGCCACAATAATACCTTCATAGTGTACGACATCAAACCCATTCCGGCCATATTTGGATGACCATACGCAATCATATCTGAGGTTACTGCCTGCATCATGCCTGGATGACCATATGCTGATGACACTTGTCCATACATACCTGGACCCCCTTGAACACCCATAGACTGTAAAAAAATAAATTATGTGAAAGATTCCAATCACACCTATATTAGATATTTATATTCTTGATTTTAGAAAACATATTCCTTAAACTGTGGAAAATCAATCTGGCTCTCGCATATCTCAACTTTGTATTTTAGGATGAGGCGAGTCATAAAAGTATTCAAATTATGCGCAAACAATATTAGATCGAAATTTATCACAAACATTAAACTTTTTATTTTGGTTTAATTTACATAATTTTTTTTGGAAAAAATTGTGGTCCGCGAAAAATCTTTTAATGTAAAATCAAGCATGATAATCAGTATATTGCCAGTTAGTTGGTGCCAATAATTAGTATATGTTAACGATAACTTCGCCATGAGGTGTCAATCGTCGTTTTCTTATTCTCAATATATCGGGCGAGATAACAGTGTTTGATGTCTGTCGCATTTACGGGTTCTTTGAGAGCAAGCTCAAGTATAATCTGGTTTTTCTGAATTAAGCAACTACTTCCTTAGCAGTGGGGTCTTGCGAACAGCCTTGTTAATAGCAAAAAGCATATTGATACATCATATAAGAAAACTCAATAAATTTATATTTCAATTTTTTCAATTTTTTGTTAAACACTACCCACACAATGATAATTCAATATTCTGTTAAATAATATCATTCTAGAATGTATTTGAAATGATACATTATTCAGTTTTGGCCAACCATGTGTAGAACATTAACAAATTCTGAGATAGAGAAGACAAATCGCTTTATCTAATTACCATTGGTCCCTTTTTCAATAAATGTTTCAACAATTCCTCATTTGTACTCTTGCTAGGATCATTGTCACCCCCAGGCGAGCGACTCTGAATAATGAAGAGATGAAGTTATTAAAAACATCCATGCATTAGAAGTTAATATATCATATGCTTGCTGAAGTGAGGGCATAAACATTATGCAGAGGAATAGCAAGGAAGATACAAAACTTCTTCTATTCAGCCTTGCTCTAAGGAAATTTGCATTTCCAATAACTACAACAAAACGTGGGAAAATATGGTAGTATTCAGAAAATAGAATATTTCGAATCCAAAATTATAAAAACATAGAAAATCGGCATCATACCATTTTAATTCCCAAGCAATCTATTCCATATAAATAATGAAAAAACACTCCCACCACCGTACAAAATGAAAAAAAAATTGTAATTTTAATTCTTATTTTTTACAAAATGGAAATGAATATCACCGTGTTTTATGGTTAAAAACACCCAAAAATGGTAACTAAATCTCATCCACAGTATTTTAATTAACACAGATTTGGCGCAGGCCAAATCCCGCTCGCTGGGTGATTCAATCTGGCCTGCCTGATGGTGCCACAACCAACCCAAAACCCAAATTTTGATGTGATTGCGATAAAATTTAGTTTTGGCACGAGGCTTATTGTTTTCCACTTTTACTTTCATAACACTGTAAATATTGTTCATGAAATGTAATTTTTATGTCACACTCCCATGGCCCACCAGTCTAGGCGGGCAAAGTTTTTGGAAAACCTTGCCTGATATATAACATAACTATTGTTACCTCTGGTTTCTTAGGTGGAAATTTGGTTGGTTTTGGATCAAGAATCCACGGAGAAGGAGTTACTTGTCTTTCTCCGATTCCTTTCACTGATTCAGCTTGTAATCTGTCTTCATATTCCACACTCAGTCGTATCACAGTATTGATTGAACTGTCAATGGTGTTAATGGCCTTCAAATAATAAATAGTAAAACTTCATTAGTTTTTATTAGCTAACTAACCAACTCAAATCAGTAATAAAACAATATTTCCCAATACAGGGTTTTCAAATTGCTGTATTTGAAATATTCCGCTCCTTTTGAAAATAGTGGTCCCTTACTTATCGTTATATACCATTACCATTGAATGCGTGTGGAAGGCCTGATTCAGAGCAGAAAACATGAATAAGCGTCATACAATAAAAAATAAGATTTAAGCAAAAATAGAAAATGTTTCTGAATAGGATTTTTGGAATAGACCTTTGGCTTATTTATGAAAGTGGAAAATGGGTTGAAAAATACCTTTTCATCCATAACATATCCTTTCTTGACCCTTTTCTTTTTCTTCGCTTCGTCATTAGGACTGTCTTGTTCTCCGAATGGCGGGTAAAGGGGTACCGCAGATGGGGTGAGTGGGGCAGATAGTGGGATTTTCGGTGTCGAATCAGGATTAAGATCCGGATCGTGAGCCATAAGAATTGCAATCTCGGATTCGGAAAGTCCTTCAAAATTAGCAACACTGTGACCAGGACTCTGTGTTCTTGGTGAAGAGCGATCATGGGTCATACCTATAGGAGGTGGTGGATGAGATGGTGTTGCTGTAAATAGAAAATATGTATCGTAATTGTAGCCAGTCGGGAATTCACTGTCTCATGTTGAGTTGTAATTCATTATGCTATATCATGTCTCTGCACGTCAATATAATTTGAGTTAAAAAGAAGAACTACAATAAGAACTAGAGATGTCCAAACGATATGCAAAAAAAAAAAACTTTTGACAAATATATATAGATGCAATGGCTTAGTTGTTATTGAAGTGTCGGTCATAGCTATCTAGGCATCGATAGTTGGAAATATTGGATTTAAATTCAAGGCCAAACAACTCACCCTCGTTTGGAGTGAAAGGCATAAAGAAATCGACATATAAGAGTGTTTTTAAATATTATCAAAACCATCTATGTCAATATGCATGAAATCATACAAATTTTAATTGTAAATTCAACTTAAATCCTCTTATCTTATTTCAGATTCAAAAATTTCTTTCCGACTGTCTTCACAAACGAAAAAAACACAAGACATATTTTCTATTGAAAATAAAAAAATGTCACAGTCATATCACAGACAATCAATCCATAGATTGTTCGAAAGAAAAACTCTTTATGAAAACATAACAACATAACACATGGTGCTTGTACAGAGACTTAGTTGGAAGGGATGCATGAAATGCCATAAAAAAGGTAGAAAACAACAATCCCCTAACAAAAAAATTTCAAAATAAGACGGAATACTTACTAATACGAGATTGTATATTATGAACTGGAGAGATAGAAACTCCAACAACTGTGCTTGATTTGGGCGGAGTTACCTAGAAAAATATTTCAAATTTATCAACGAGACAAAGCATAGAGAAGCAATGTTTTTATCATGGTCATGTTACAAGTTCAAGTCAAATCTCAATCAGAAATAATTCATTTTAATCAGTTGTTACTCTATTCATTATACCTGTATAGGCCACGAAACTATATTTGATATTGATAAATTCCATTTGCAATTTAAAAAATGTAAGCAAGATGTTAGCAAAAACAATGGATCGAACCTTTTGTTTGTAAGATTGACTGGAAGCAGATGCAACTACTGCTATTGTTGGAGTGATGATCGGTTTGGATGGATCAAGTAACAAAGGAGCAGCCTGGATAAAAATAAAAAATAGAAATGTAACACCAGATATAAGTTAATTGAACGAGGACTACAACCTCACAAAATTGAATGATTTTTGAAAATAGGCATAGTCTAAATCTAAGAAAATGGATGCTCCAGAAGTGTGTGTACCAATTTAACTAATTTTGTTCGCCTACTTCACATCAAGTTGTGTAAAGGGACTGAAACCTATAGGCAGGGGGTATATTCACTTGGCTAACACAGACAGTCACCTAACTCATAAGAAAACTAAAATAAGGAAAATCGGAATAAAATCATGTCCTAACCCTAACCTGGTACTCTGATTGAGTACTTGAGCGGGAGAACCGAAAAAACACCCCAAGAAAATTTGAAAGCAATTGGCGGTGACTAGTTGGGAAAAAGAAAATTTTAGTCTCATTGGGAATTCAAACAAGAAAAAATTGTAAACTAATCAACTACCTGTGGCACTTCAGGTATGTTTCGAACTTGGCCCATAGCTGATGTAATGATTGACGTTTGCGGCGAAGACAGATTAGGTGACTTTGAAATTCCAACAGGTTTAGAAGAGAGGGTAGTTCCTGCAGTTGGTGAAACTTTTGACAAAGTGGGAGTACTTGCTAATAGTGGAGTTGGAGCGGATGTCGGGGTCATTGCGCCTGTCATAGGAGGACCCAAAGAAATTTGTGGAGATCCTGTAGGAGGTGGAATGGATTTCATCACTTTGGGAATCGGAAAAGGTTCCGCCAGAACTGGAGTACCGGTCGTCATCTTCGAAGTTACAGTCGAAGCTGGGACGCTGACAGGTAAACTTTGTGTCAAAATCATATCTTGAGAACCAATGCTGGCAGCGGATGGAGGCAATGTACCCGGTGGCATGCTTTGAAACGATGGGACCTGTCCAGGTATTGTCACTGAGGGTGACATCATTGGAAGATTGGTTTGTGAGGTGGACATTATATGCTGGGACGGTGGTTGTACAGATTGGATAACACCGGCTGGCATAGCAGAAAGGGTTGGAACCGAAGCAATATGGCTGGTTGTAGTGATAACCTGACTTGGTATCGAGTGCTGAGTTGAGAACTGGTTTTGCTGCAAAGGAGAAGGAGAACCCATAGGACCAGGGTGCATTTGTACGGGAACTGAAACCACCCCAAATCTTGGGTGTTGTTGTTGATGCTGAGACGTTATCTGTGGCCGCACCATCTGTGTATTCAGTGGTTGATTCATTGTCATAGGACCAGGTTGTCTGTGAAACCATGTTGTACCAGGTTGTGGTTGGTTGGTGATTGGTAAACTGCCTGGTAATGATGTTTGTTGTTGCATATTTTGCATCTGTTGTTGTTGTTGTTGTTGCATGAGGGCTTGTTGTTCTTCAGCCTCTTTCTCCGCTTGTGATTTTTTCTTTTTACGTCTTCTTTTCGGTTTGGGTTTTTCCGTAGTCTGTAGATAAGTAGTAAATGGGATTGAATTGTGCAAACATGTGAAGGTTTAACTACAAGACTCACACCCATCTCATTTCTAAGCACAGATACAGGTGACTACCAAAATGAATAGATCTACAAAAAACTATGAAGATTTATGGTCGTGCACGTGACAACAAATACAGATTGACGCAGCACAACTTGAAGCAGTTTAAATTCATATTGTTTGCATATTAGCAATGCTAATTCAAGCATTGCCTTATTAAGTAATATAGGCTTTCAATATATTCAAATTTATTCACTCCTATGATAAAGATTAAAAAAAGACTGTAAACTATAACCAAAATATATAAAAACCTGTTGAATAGCAGCAAGTTGTTGTTGTTGTTCAATCTTTAACGCCCTTAGTTGTTGCATCTGCATTTGCATCAATGCGTTATGCGCTTGATTGCCTGGTGCTGATGGAACTAAAGAAAAACAGATGAAAGAAATTCATGAAATTCTCATAAACCACTCCAATGATCAACAAGTAAAATGATATTTCTCTACCTGATACGGTTGAGTGAGGAGTACTCTGTTCTGGTTGTGATGTCATAAACTGTGGTCGCGGTTGATTGGGTTTCAACAGTGACAGTTGTTGTATTTGTGCATTCTGTTGTATTTGTAATTGTTGTTGCTGAAATTGGTGTTGCTTGTTCATCATGATTTGTTGAAATTGAGTTGGTTGAGTAGGGCTGAAGATAAACAAAAATAAAAAGGATATTATATATTCATCAGGTTCAAACCCACGATATCAAAGAATTGGGTGAGCAAAGCTGGTCCAAAGATTACCATTCTTGCAAGATCGTATCAATAGTTGCTTTTTACAGAACCTTTTAGAGTAAAAGTGTGGAAATGCCTTCCAAAAAAAAAGGTTTTATTGAAATAATGAAACAAAACGCATTATAAAGATGGTATCCATCCATCCTGAGTGACACTTTAAATCATTTCCTGAGCTGAGAGCTTCCTTTATGTGCAAATTCCTACCAGAGATATAGTAATCACAGTCGTTACGATACATAGTTTCTAGGGTACTGCCGTAGTATGTAAACCAATATGACGGACACCGGAACGTAGTATGTGTACCAGGTTAGGGTTAGGCCAATATTTGATTCCAATGTTCCTTATTTTAGTTCTATTACGAATTCAAGACTGTCTGTGTTAGCTATCTAACTTCACATCTTGGTTCACATACTACGGGGGTACCAATTATAGACGTTTCTTACATTTCCGTAGTCACTCATTGCATATACCAATTTGCACAATGTTATGTTACATTTGTATGTATGAACTTGATTGCATTGAACTCGTAAAAAAATTGCGACATAGAGGTTAAATGACTATGACAAAGGCCAACTGTTGCATATTCATTGTAAAAAGTAAAAAACTATTTCAAATCACAAAAAAATGTGCACACATTCATGTGTATTCACTGAAAGAACAATAGAAGATATCCAAGACTTAATTCCAACTAGATACGACTAATTTCAAATGCATTTCTATATTCAATTCTTTAGTAGTTCAAGGGTTGGATAAAAGTATGTTGTAACATCGAAGGTTAAGAATTTCAGGTCCAAATCCCGTCTTCCCCACCTCACCCACAGTGTGATTAAATAGTGTAGGCACTAGACAGTACTGAAATGGGGAGATTTAGCCCTTTTCAAATAAAAATCTCCTAATGTATCGCTTAGTGCTTGCAAAGAGCTTTGTTGAGAGTGAGAATACTTCATAAAAAGAATAGTTCAAGCAAAAAAAACCTTATGTTCAGTAAAAAGCTATTTTATTAAAATTATCCTAAATGGTCATTATTACCTGATTCTATTCATCTTCTGAAATTGTGCTTGAAACTGTTGAATTTGCTGTGGTGTTGCCATGACAACATGTGATTGTTGTTGTTGTTGTTGTTGCTGTGCCATTCCCATGGCAACCGATTGAGTAGAAGAGGAAGATGCGACACCAATGTTTGTAGACGCTGAAAAGTGGATAAATCATCAATAGTAAGTTTTCAAATGTGATTATTGAATATGCAAAATTATAACATAATTTCCACTTGCAGTAATATTTTATTTGACAATATATTAACTAATAGATTATGGGTCATGTTGTATGGAGTGTAATGCTGTGATGTGAGTTGAATTAACAACATCATAACTTAAAAATATCCTAAATTGTATATTTAACCAAAATTCATGTGTAATCAGGTAGGATAAATCAAAGATGGAGAGGGTATGGTCACTTCAGAACTGGTATCCTCTTGTGTTGAGTCTTGTTCATTTTTAATTGATAAAAATTCGAAATTTGCATATTTATTTTATTTCTTTGAAAATTCCATTTCGACTTGTCAATATTGCAATAAATTAACGAATTTGTAAAATTTTACATTGAGATTTGATAAAGGACTAGAGAGTAAGCAATGCTCGAATATACGGACACGAAGATTTGTCCGATTATTAGTTGAAGAGAAAGTGTTTTCTCCTCAACAACAACAACAGGAAGAATCTAGCAAATTAACCCATTGCCCACCTTGTAATCCTAATCAAAAAAGACAAATTCTAGAGTGCACAGCTTCTCAAATATGGAAATACCAGAAATACCAACCTGGAATATTTTTTATGATAACTTGCTGTTGTCCTTGTTGCATGATTACAAGTTGTTGTTGTGGCATGTTTTGTTCTTGACCACTTCCCTGGATGATTCCTCCAGCACCAGATTGTACTGGTACAACTCCTGGTTGCATGGTTGTACCAGGTTGCATATTACCAGGTGTTTGAAATGGTGGAACAATGATTTGATGAGGTTGATGTTGCATTCCAGGTGTAACTGTAAGCAAGAATTATATCAAGTAAATAATATTTGAAATTATAAAAAACAATTAGACTTTGCAGTTTTGATAATTATTTTTTTTTATCAGAGGTTACAAAACCTAGGGCAGGAAATGAATTTATTTGCTATGAATAATGAGCAAATTTTATTCAACTACCGGTATTATATATAATTCTATAAGCCTGATATAGGTAAATTTTCCTTTATGAATCAGGGACTGTGCTGTGGTCCAATACTTATATTTATTTCCATACAAAATGACCAAGCCAAATTTTTATTAAATAAATTAACTGGTAGTTGAGATAGAAAACAGAACCTATCCGATCTCGAAAGCAAATGCATATATTTTTGTATCATGTATGCCCTCACACATTATCAGTAGTTCAACAAATATCTTGTAAACCAGTGAACTCAGTTCAGTGAAATAATATACATAACCTATCCAAAGTCTGAAACTATACACTGAAGCGGAAAACACTAACTTTCATCTAAAAGTTACTAAGTACTAGCATTTGTCATTGTGAATCAAAACAAAATCTGAACTATTGTGCCTTCTGAATAAATCTTTTAAGATGGTATGGTATAACAACTGCAAATAACATAGGAAGCTCCCACTCATGGATAGCGTTATTATATTACTAGTGGGTGGGAGGTATTAACAGTAAACGAACTTCATTCAATAGGACACAGTGTTATTATTTAATGAACATCAATGGTTCAAAGAAGCTTCATACTCAAAATTTGTCAATGAATGATCAATTTTGTTCCACCAAAAAAATTGCACAAATTGCACAAAAAAAAATTGCACAAAAAAAAAAAAAAAAAAAAAAATTCCACAAAAAAAAAAAGGTTGGAAACTAGAGAACAGAAATGCTATATGAGTGTGTGATATGGCTTAGAAGTTAGTGCATTATCAAACTGAGCCCTCAGTCCTCCCAAGGGGTAGGAGTGCCATATGCATCGGTGGCTGATTGTACATAGCCTTGTTAAGAGAGAATGTATGAAACACACATGGAAAAATAGAAAAATAGAAAAAATATGTAACAGCATTTTGATAAAAACAATACGCTATGTCTATAAGACATAGTCAGTCAAGTCAGATTCAAGTTATGCTAAAATAACTCAAACATCGAAGTAAAATCAAGCCCTTTAGAAATAATAAGTCTAAATTTGAATTGATTAATGCTTTCAACAGTTCCTTCCTATGATAATTTCGAATAATATAAATTACCTGGCTGTTGAATCATCATCTGTTGTTGACCTTGATTATCAATGACTTGCTGTTGTACTATTGATCCGGGTGGACCTAAAATATATAATAAGTTATTAATCAGTATTATTGGTTGATAAATGAATTTGTCAATGACCATTCTGTTTCCAAATTATTCGATTTCCAGTTACATTTGTGTGTTTCAGTTTAGTTGGCTAAATTACCTGAAGCAGACAAATAATTTTCGAATTTATTTTTATGTTCAACACTTAAAGTTAGATATTTAAGATAACTATTGCTATACCCGAAATAGGCCGGTAACCTGACAAGAGGCTGTGTTCGCCATATGATTTATATGAATGAGCCATCGAAATGGCTTTTCTCTTGTCTCCCTGAGATAAACATGGAAATCCTCTTAAGACAGGGGCATAAATAGAATCCTACTCATGGCGATTTAGTGATAGCATGTTACAAATCAGATTCCTATTTTCGAATTCTGCAGTCCCATACACACTCAGAATAAGCAATTGAAATTGTTTCATGTGTACAAGGAAGACAGTTGGTTTGGTTGAAATTTCAACAAAGGACTCACCAGCAGACATGGCTCCCATCATATGTCGTTGCTTTATATTGAATTCTTGAATAAGCTCAGCATGTTGTTTTTGTTCATTACGAAGCTGGAAAATTTTCATTCATAAGTGAAAATGTTAGAATGCTTGGAATCTGGGCTGGAAGCTCGAGTTTGTCATTTTTTTATTTGTGTCTGAGTCATATTTTTAAACTCTCCTTAACCAGAATTCAAAATTTTGAATTCCATGAATTGGAGCGTCAAAATTTTATATTTGTCATGGCAATAATCGAAATCAAGATTCCTTACAGAAACTTCCAAAAAAATCAAGTTAACTAAGCATTTCTTAAAAGTCGGTCAAAGAAAGCTTGCTTGTGCCAAGTTTTATCAAAATTTGATAAATAATTCGATAATAACATTATTTATCAATCTTAATTTATACTAAATAAATGACAAATAAGTATGTAACTAATAAAAACCTTTTCGAGCTGTTGTTGTGCTTCAGTATATTGTTTAGTAACAACTCTTAATTCCTCTGTGTCATCTGCTGAGAATTCTTTTCCGTTTCTTTTATACTGATTTCTTTTTTTCATTAGTGATTGTTTGCGAGTTTTCTTTGACTGAACAAGCTGTTCCTGTTTCGGAACTTGAATCTAGAATTTAATTGTATTCCATAAACATGCTATTTTTGAGAGATTGGATTCAGTGAAATTTACCAGTATCGCAGCAAAATTAAGATTTGTTTCGTATTCTACAAAGTGAAATTTAGCATTTATCAGATCAGTGTTGGTAAAATTCCCGAACCCAGAGTTGTGAGTAAAAATCGGTTTGTGTTCAACAAATAGCACATAAAACAATGATTTGTTGGTTTTATTTTTTTCTCACAGTATTTTTTTTTTTACAATCGTCAGAAGCTAGAAAAATTTTCCATAATACTTTGAGACTAAATTATTCCTAAAGATAAGAATTTAAAATAGCATATATTTCAAATTTCTTCCAAATATTTGCATATGCACATCCCTGGCATATATGATAATCTGGTTTTTCAGCATATTATTTTATATCTCCTGGTTGCTATTCTTTGATTGAAATGCGTATATTCACATTTTTCCGAAAAAGTATTAAGATGGTGAAAATTTGTTGTCACTCACCTGCATTAGTTGTTGGTGTTGTATTAACCAAGATCTATATTTTCTCATTTCATTGTCATTCCCAAAACCATGAATTCCTGCTTCATGATAAGAAAAATTTAACTTGAATTTAAGCCAAGCAGTCTAATGTATTTACGAATACAGAATAATGTTCCAAGTTAATTTTTTCGTATTCCAAAAGTTACTTCACAAACATTACAAAAAAACAGAGATTTTAATTCATTATAAATTGATATTAACGATTTGTTTGATTTTGAAGTGTTGTTCCTATCATATACTACAAGTTTAGGAATAACATAATCTCTTTCTACCAAATAGCAAATATATTTAATAGGTTTCGTTAGATCATAGTCTATTATCTTCCTCAGACAAAACAAGATATGCCTTAATCAAACAGTGAATTAGATTTATTCATCACTTGTAATACTACATCATTCAAGCATCCTTATGGTAATGGTAATGTACGGATCCAAAGTAGGTAAAACAAGGACGAAAGACTAGCAATGTGCGATTACCTCTACTATTAATTAGTTGGAAAAATTCTATCAGACTTATCCAAAAAGTAATGGCAGACCAGAATATGGAATGCTTGAGCTAACTAGAATATGGTTGCATGTGATAACCAAATATTTGTCATTAGCTATAATAAAAATAAACATCCATAGACCAAAGTCAGACTAGAAAAATTCTCTTCTCATAAACTTATCAAAAGTTTGAATAATTATAATGATGACAGCCTCATACCTTGTTGCATACCACCCATGTGAGGAGGCCAATGTCCTTGTTGCGATTGTTGGTGCAATGGACTCGTACCTGAAGCAACAATTCCACCATCTGGACCACTTGGTGGAACAACGGGTAATCCAGCTTGGGTAGCCTTCAAAGATAAATAATACTTTTTCAGATTAAAAATGAAAACCATACTGTGTCGAGGGATGGCCAAAATAAAGAAATTTGCTATTTATTTCAACAAAGATAAACGATGATTTGATTGGTTCTTTGCCTTTTTTGTTCAAACTGTGAGACTTCAAATGCAAGAAATAATATTTTTTCAAATCTTTTCGCTAGAGTATCTAAAAAATTGTGTCTAAACTATAACCTCAAGTCAAAAAACGAGGGAGAGAGAGAGAGATAGATAGCGCCTAATATGAATCAGTTTTACAAATTGAATGAAAACAAGGACAAATAAACAATAAGAAAAATCTTACTTGATTCATTTTAGATAAGAATTCCATTTTAATATTGTCAATTCCGCTTTCAGGAGTTACCTTTGTCATTTCTTGAGGAACAGGCGTGGGAAATACACCTGGAGGCATACCACCAGGTTGAGGTACTGCTACTTGCTGTTGAAGTAACGTCTGAGAATGCCGCATTTTTTCTCTCCTAATAAAAAAATATTTAATTTTAAGAATGACTTTCACATCCACCAGCTTTCTATAATACTCTGATACAGATATAAGTTGTTATACTCCAAATTTTATAGTTTTCCGAGAACTTTCCATTAATTTTGATAATTATGGAAACAAATGCTCCAATGGAAAACATTTTGAAACAGGCACTAACTTTGTGTTCATATATTCATGCATTTCATCCATGTTGTGATTTTCTTTTTGTCAAATAACATCAAATAAACTCAAATTATCATGAATAACCATTTTTAAGCTGAGATCAAGTAACTTTTCAAGTAAGAATTTGAAACTCCAAAAAACACATTGTAATCCACATATATGGGTTAAGTCAAAACCAAAAAATGGGGAACAAACGACTGGACGAAAAATGTAATATACAATGTCAAGCACAACCTGCTAAAATGCAATTTATGAAGACACATACAATACTAACCTTGCTTTCTCTTGCTCTCTCTTTTCTTCCTCAAGCAAGTCCTGCAACAACAGAGGTTGCTCTTTGATCAATAATGGTTTAGGACGAGGCGGCGTGGTTGTGGATAACGTAGTTGCTGATTTACTTTCATCTTTACTTGGTGATATTTGAGTAGTTTGTGGAGGAGAAACTGAAGTTTGTACGGCAGGAGGAGGCATAGGTCGAGTGGGTGTCTTCATATTCTCAGCCTCTAATATTGATTGAGATGTCGGCACTCCAGGAATTGGATAAGGCGTAGTTAGTACTTCGGAAGAGATTGTCGCTGGAGTTATCATCGGTTGAAGAGAATTTTCAGTAGAGGCCACTGAGGTGCTAGGTGGTGCTTCCCCAGATTCAACAGGTTGTGCGACCTCCATTATTCCTGCTGTGTGATCCTTCGAAGTTCCGGATGCCGAGCTTACAACTGAGTTTGAAACTGCTTGCTCCATAGTTTGTGTAACAGAAGGTACAATGGTCATCGGTGTTGCAGATGAAATAGCAAATGCAGGCATTGGGAAAGGAGGAGCAGCAGTCATAGAATGAACAGAACTAGAAGCGGTAACTCCAGTGTTATCCTCAGATGAAATTTTGTCATCAGAGACAGAAGAGATAGTTGGGACTGAAACAGACAATTGAGGCACAGAAGGATCTGAAGTTTTCTGCACTGGCTGATCACGTTTATCAATTTCAATTTGTTTTTGTTCAACTTGACTGGTCTGGGCATCTTCTGACTCAGAAGTTTTTTGTTCGGTATTATCGGATGTAGCTAAATCTTTTGCAATGGAACTAGTTGTAGTGCTAACAGGTGAAATAATACTGGTTACAGATGTTGTAGTAACGGCTTGAACTATACACCCTGTAGAACTGACTGTGGTAGATGGTGTTTCTGTGTTTTTTGATTGTGAAATTGTAACTTCAGGTACCCCGCCATCTTCAGGATTTGAGGTTTTCTCAACTTCCATCTTTTCTGTTTCAACAGTTTGAGAAGTCGACAAATCTGTTTCTGGTTTTTGTTCAATTTTTTGATCGAATTCTTCTTTATCACGGGCGCTTTCTCTTTGATTTTGCTTTTGAACAGGAGGGTCAGGTATTTTAGCAAACTTCGCTAGATTACGTACAGGTGGAGGTACTGGAGATTTTGGAAGAGGTTGTATGTCGTATGAATAATCAATACTGTAACGATCTTCCTTCGATCGATCAATCCCAGAATTAATATCAGGAACAGCAGGTTGTGCGACTTGATTTCCAGAATCTGATTTTGAGTCTGGACTATCTTTTGATTCGCCTTCTTTCTTTTCTCTAACTTCGGATTCAGTTTTTTCGACTCCCTGCTCATTTTCTTTGCTTTCCTGCTTGTTTTCATTATCTTTATTCTCATTTTCAGTAGAATCATTCTGTTCAGTAATGGCCTCCTTACTATCTTGTTTTGATTCTCTTGATTCATTCGAAAGTGTTTTTGACACTGGCGTCCCACAGGGTGGTGTACCAGGTACTATGATAACATTACTAACATTTAGATCACCCGATGCTTCTCGTCGTGGTTCTTCCTCAGATGGAACAAACATTGCTACTTCAGAATCAGGAGGTGGCGTTAATCCCACTCCACTCAAACTCATACCACACTTGTCGATGTCTACATTAAGTTTAGGTTTTTCCTGGTCAATGTCTTTCTTTTCCTCCATTTTACTTTCAATGTTCTTATTTTCATTGATGTTTGATTTCATTTCTTTGCTTTTAAAATAACTGTGATCATTCTTGAGTACAACCGGCATGTCTTTGCCTTTTAAATCAGTGCTGGTATCTTCCGCAGGTTCAGTTGCTTTCGTCTCTGCATTGCCTTCACCGTCTTTTACTATGGCTTCATCCCCCGTTTCATGCTCAGACTTCTCGACAGCAGAATCTGCCTTTACAGCTTCTTCTGTAGATTCTGCTGATTTTTGGGTGCCGTCATTTTTATTTTCTGAATCAGGTTTTGTTGCTTCTGTAGCCTGAGCGGGTTTTGAAATCTCAGGTGATGTACTTTTTATCGATGTGTGAGAAGTCAAAGTCACCATCTGAGTCGATGATGAAACACTGGATGATGATGCTAAGGTCTGTGTTTTACCAGCTAAAGTGGTTGAAGTACCAGGGCCCTGAAAACCACACAGGTATGTATTATGCAAAAATGGCTGTATTATGTAAAAATGGTTTCACAGCGAAGAGACAAATATTCAAAAAATTTAAAACTTAATCACAACTGAAAAAAAAATCCTAGACACCAAATAAAACATTCTATTTTTTTATATATATGATGATTTCACGTCTCCACTCTGAATCAGGCTTTATACAAGCATCCATGATCAAAAATCTTTTCAGTTCAGCATTGCTTACTTAATTTAATTTATTTTATTCTGGTTGAAACCGATTTGAACCAGACAAATTTGACCTCCTATAAGCTTATTAGTGAAAAGAAATAAAAACTCCATTGTGAGAATGAAAATACCACAAAACGATCTTAGCATATACCTGGAAATGCAAATCTTTGAATTCATCACTTCTCAATAAAGCATCAAGATATTCATCATGAGGCAAATGTCCACCAGCAAACGGATCTTCTGATTTATGTTCACTTGTTGATGGAGCAACACCAGTTGGTTGCTGGACTGATACTTCAGCAGGCTGTAAAACATATCATCAAAGTTTAAAATAATTAAAAAAAACATTGATTAATCAATATGATACATTTGAAGGAAAGGCAAAGTTGAACGAAGTGATATTAAAACTGCTTAATCTATGAACACAACTATGACTTTGAAAAATGGGGCCGGCTCTGGCAAATAGTTAACGAAATTAGCGCTAGACTCCAGAGTTTTGACTTCGACAGATTTCAAACTTCTACCTAATTTGTGAGGAGTAGAAAAATACTCATCTGACTCTGATATTACCATGCCAAACTTTGGTTTGCACTAGTTACTAAATCCTCTAACTTGATATAAAAATATCAGGTCTATCAGACTATCACATTGTACCACATTTACCATTTAACAATTCAACTTAATCTTCAAATGTTTAAAAAAAAGTTCAAGAAGTTTTAAATTTAGTAACGTATAACATGAACCCAAGCAAAACAATGGATTTTCACATAAAAATTCTACTTATGCATTGCCAATCACATCAATGTACATTATCTAACATTTATTCTGGCTTTGAATATTAACTAACACAAAATATATTTGATTTTTTAAATTCAGATTCAAAATATTTCCTTTGTTTAAAATCTCATTGGTGTTGTGGAATCTAACAGAGCCACAAAAGAAAAATTATCCACCTTTGGTAAAATTGAGCTGGTAGTTGTTTTTCCTTCAGATGATAAAGATTGTTCAGGTGTAGCAACAGGTTGGGGTTGTGAAGGAGTCGAACCAGTAGAGCAGACATTTCCAATTCTCAATATATTTTGCCGACGAATTGCCGGATCAGTTTGGTTAGAATGTCGCAATTCAATGTAGGCACCTGGGGGATGCTGTGCAGCCTGAGGGAAACCCTACAAAAGAGATTTTTGTAAAGGAGATGAAAAATTTATCAATGGAAGTTAACGATTCGAGACTTTCAGGGAATCAATAGTTAAGCACTTACATGGTTGCAACAATAGAATAGCTATTGATAGTTTTGAAAACTGAATTCCTCACAGGCGAACTATGTTTCATTACTAATATGGTAACTCCCATTATAACACGCATACTATTTGACAAGTAAATTACGATATGGTTTAACGTTTCAGTCGAATTTTATCATTTTTGTTACAAAAACAAAATACAAAAGAAAATATAGCAAAAAGGATAGACGAAATTACTTTATTAAGTTGAATTATAAACCACAACACCATCATGCCCAGAGAAAAATAACCATTGTTTTATTTTTTTATTAAATACCGAGATTCAAAACTAATACCAAATTTATTGTATTTGAAAGCAGCACAATAACAGAACTACTCGAGAACCAAATTTACAGAAAATACCTTTACACCGTGCATATTAGGTGGAAAATTCTGGTGAGCCATTGCGTGTCCAGGTGGAAGAGATGATTGGCCCTCAAACGGAAATGCCATCATACTAGGTGGTGGCGTACGTAACATTCCATGAGCAGCTAAAAATATATATATATATATGAAATTAAACTCGCTCAAAAGTGTAAGAAAGTCACTCGAAAGAAGAGACACTAATAAAATTTGATTTGGGTATGTTTGAGTCCGAGAAGCACACTCCACACAACATAAGTTGAAAAGGCTTTATCGAATCTTCGCTTGAGTCTTGAGAATTGGAGAGAAAGTAGTAAGCCTTTTGTTGTAATGTTTTGATTTCAGATATTTCAGAATATTTGATATTTTGACGGATGTTAGCAAGCCAGAAGAAATGTTGCAAGGGGTTTTCTCTCAACCCAAGCCTTTACTCTTGCAATGTACAACATACTCACCTTGAGTTAATACTCCCACTCTTGGTCCTTGCATCTGCATCATTTGACCTCTCGGATACATAAATCCCGGGGTGTTCGGCGTTCCCACTGGTGCTTGAGAGGTGTGGGATGGGTATGGTGGTGGAGGAGGCTGAGATTGCTCCCACAATCTAGCACGACGTGAACTAAACAATATATATATATAATTACTTATAGGATAGTGAAGAATATTAAAATAAGTCACATATTGTAATACAACCAAATACAAGATGAAAAATCAAAAACGCTTTAAAGTTTGGTCAGAAGTATATCTTTTCCGCACATGAGGTAATAAATGCTGGAAATGAGAAATTTTGTAATTAGATTGTTCTAACATAGGAATTGAACCAGCAATGTGTAACCCGCGATGCCAACACAGTTAACTAACGTTTTTATCGCTGGGCCCATCTAGTTCTACACTTGAGAAGAAGACCTACTTTCTATGTGAAGACGGTTGATATATAACTTGTCTTATGTGAGCTGGAGTTGGTGACATTTGTATTTGTGGTTTGATATCAGTTTCCATAGGTGAGGACAACTGCAGTACTTGAGAATCCACAGATAAACGACGATTCTTGGCATCCATTGGTGGCGTTTTTGACGATGGGGTTCCTGGTGCTTTACCCTTCGGGGTACCGGAATGGGGAAACATGGATTCAGGAATGGGGGCTCCTACTGAAAGAGATCTGGTTACTGTAGCGGATTTTGTTGGTGATTCCTGTACTGTTGGCTGCATTGGGAATGCTTGTATATCGAGACTCGGACGACGCTCTGTTTTGGCATGGGTTATCTTTACTGGACTCTGAATTGAAAATTGAAAATTGTATATCTTCTGTTTGTGATTGAATATAAAACGTTCAGGCCACTCAAATTGATTCTCAGTTGATTCAAGTTATTTTGAACAATTATATTGCTTTTTAAAAAATCCGAATTAAGATATATGACGTCAAATAAACTTGCCACATGTGAAATTCCAACACTAACCACAAGGCGATTGCGGCTTTTGAACGTCTCAAGTCGAATCTTTTAAATATGTCAAGACTAATTTTTAACATTTGTGCTTATTAAATGAAATAGTTGACTCCATTTTAAAGACAAACTAGCTTTAGAAATCCAATTAAAATCATGTAGCACACCCTTCATACCTGTTTCTGAGATGTTTGAGCAGTTTCCATTTGTCCAGGTTCTGTTGTCTGACCAGCAAAGTATGCACTGACAGGAACAGTTCTTGGTTGTTGTTTAACAGTCGTGATATAATCTGGGGGTAAGGTTTGAGATGGTACTGTTGCTGATGGCAACTGAGCTGCTCCAGGTGACGGGGGTTTCGGTGTTGTCGTCCTGGAGTAAAATATAATATTATTAATATGATTTGGCCGGCCTTATACCCATGCGCCTTTTTCAAACCCCAGCACCCCCTCCCCTGCTTATTCCAGATGTATAGCATTATATAACCGTTTGACTTCCAAAGTAGAATTACTTTAATCGATATTTCGCACTCAGTTAAAAGGTAATAAAATGTAAAGGCTTCAATTTTGATTATGAGCCCTGTTCAATCCGTTTCGCAACTTTCCAATTTCGTTTCCCTCTAACAATTGCAAAAATGTTTCTATTTAAACATAGAAATAACACAGACCTGGAATCTGGTTTTGCGAATGAATGTTGGTCGCTACTCATCTCTATCTTCCCAGTTGTTGCATCAATGCTTTGTGAGATTGAGGATAGAGTAACTTGAGAAGATACTGGCATGGGAGGTGTACTATGTTGTGAAACAGCAGGTTTCATCAGAATATCTTCAGTTTTTTCTTGCTTTATGCTCTCCTGAAAGTAAATTGAATTCATACATTAACATTTCAAGTTAGATGTACCAGGCTAATAAATTATAGATTTTAACTTTAATGGACATTGTATGATCCAGAATGTTTTTTATATTCAAAACTCGCTGTAAATTATCTTGGGAGTTTAAGTCACACTAGTAATAAGTCTGGTTTCAGGTTCTGTTATTTCACCCAGATGACTCCAACACTGACAATTTTTTTGCCAACCAAAGCCGCTTTAAAGGGGACCCCTGCCATATCTCGATGAACAATAATATGGGTATAGTCTAGATCTGACATGGACAAACTATGGCCCGCAGGTCAAATCAGGCCCGTTGGGTAATTCAATCTGGCCCACCTGATGCTGTCGAAACCAAACTGAAGCCAAATTTTGATGTTTTCAGTGATAAAATAGCTCAAGAAATCGGTTTAGATTGCGATTAAATTTAGTCGAAGCTCATTGTTTTCCACTTTTGCTTTTGTAACATCGTATATAAAATTTCGTTCATAAAACGTAACTTTTTTCGTAACGCTTACATGGCCCTCCAGTCTAGGTGGACAAAATATTTGGCCCCTGGTCCAAAAACGTTGCTCACCCCTAGTCTAGATTAAACAAAACAAATAACTTATTCTAGGTTACGATGGCATTTCAGAATATGGGTGTCTCCGAATTACAGCAAATATTACAAATATTTTAATTCAATATCAAGTTATTTCACATAATTATAGGGAGATTAGATTTACTGTAACCAAACCAAAAAACACTTGTTCACCTATTTCAAGCAATTTCTTGTAACACATTTACATAAATGATTTTCGGTGCTCCCGAAGTATGCGAATCAAGATGGCGGACATCGGAACGTAACATAGGTAACAGGTCAGGGTTAGGCGATAATTTTTTTCAAATTTTCCTTATTTTAGTCCTATTATCAGTTCGAAGACTAGCCAAGAGCCTCCCGTAGTATTTATAGCTAAAATTATGGCCTAACCCTAACCTAGTACACATATTGCATTCCGATGTCCGCCATCTTGGTTCACATACTTCGGGAGCCCCTGATTTTCAGTCAACAATAAAATCGTTTTTGAAAATTAAATTAAAATTTGAAATAATATCATGGAACTTACAGTAGCTGAAGACTTCAGTTCTGTTTCTTCTGTTATCATAGGTGGAGTTTTATTTGTTTCCACTTTTCTTGTTCGACTTATTTTTAATAAAGATCTGTTGTCTCTTGCTTTTAACTGCAACAACACATAATTGAAATATAATTAGTAAAGCCCATTCTTTTTGGTGAAATATACTGAAAGTAGTAGTTTTATGTAGTTGAGTAATTGATTCGAAGCGATGGTTAGTTAGATTTAAACGATATAATACAGGCCAGTGACACCTGGTGCCTATGCTAGACTTGAGTATGTTTAATTTTTTGAAATAGTGAACCACATGGGGTCACGAGTTCAGAAGGTCCGAGGGTTATGGGTGATAAAAGCGTCCAGAAGGGGGCCATGAGCAATGAGAGGTTGGGAACGAGTGATATAGGTAAAAAAAAAAGTCGAATGGGCCGAAGGTTACACACAAAATCAGAAATTAAAGTTTTACCAAAAATGGTGCTCTGTCGTCTGGTGTAGCCTTTCTCCATAATTTAGCAATGTGTTTCGCTCTCGTCTGCCAGTCTGGCATTTCTTGTTTCAAGTTAGGGAATTTAACGTTTGCATATAATACAGGTGAAATCGTGGACAATTCACCTGAAAGAAAGGTTGAAAAAATGAGTAACACAAAAAATGCAATCAACAGTTGTTGCATCGATATTCAAACATAGGCATGGAACACAGCAAATGGAAATTACCAAAAGTCTTATTTAGGAATCGATTTTACAACTAGTTTGAAATGACGCTCTGAGGATATGGATACATGAATGATTTTGTATTATTGGGAGAATAAGCAAAAACGATTAGATATTTATTTTCAAATAATGGCAGCACTGTTCATATTATTCTGTACAGCATTTACGCTCAATTATATTATGGGAAAGACGTTTATTTCCAAAAATGATTACCAAAAATTCAAGTTTCCTTACCTAGAGGTTCATCTTTCTCCCACTTTAATAAATTCCTTTGATTCACAGACATACAGTCTCCATCTAACTCAGTACCAAGAGGCCAAGGTGGTGGAGCAGGCTCAAACAGGTTTGCATCACTGTTTATAAAAAAAATAAAAATAAATTTGGTTTTCAGACAAAAAAATACATTTCATATCAAGCCAGGGTTACAAATTATTGTCTTAAGATTGATTAAACATGGAGTTATCGCTCTCACTTGGTTACCAAGTTAATTATAAGTGCATTTTCAATATCTTTTCATCAATGGCACACACTCTTTCAGAAATGAATAAGATTCTTTTTTGAGCAAAGTTATTGGCGATTCCTTTAATGCAAATTGACACAACACGAAATGTAAAATAACAGTGAAATTACTACTTTTTAGACCAAAGTTCTATTTTAAAATGACACCATACATATGTCCACATGTTGTTGCTGACTTATGTGAAGACAAAACATTCATATTTCAACATATCAAAAGATTTCAAAACAAAAAAAAATCTCAAATATTCTTGGTCAGCTATTGTAATCCAAATTGGACAACAAATATGCAGTTTATGTTGTCCAAGAAAACTCATATATATGTAGTATTCTATACTGTACCGGTCCTTGCATGCATACCTTGAGAAATCAGGCAGAGGAGTAGAAGGACCTGGGAGAATTTCGCCAGATTGTGACATAGGTGGAGTAGATGATACAGGTACGGATTTTCCTCCTTGTGTTGAAACAGTTATTTGTGCTGGCATTGGCTGAACCTAATATATAACAATAAAGTATAAATCGATAGTTAGAAGTCACAATATAAGCTTCGTAAGCCAAAAATATTTTTGGTTTGTTCGCAGGCCATAGGTAAACAGTGCAAAACAAAGCAAACACTTTTATTGTGCAAAAACATTGACATTATTTGTCATTTATTAAGCTGAAAAAAAAGTCTTCATATATCTACATTTAGTGTAATATTTCAAGTGCTGTCACAAGGGTCTTAACTCTCTAACTACTAGGCAAGGGGTATGCAACAGGTGGCCCATGGGCCACAAACTGGCACGTCAGTGCCTTTATTACTGGAAGACTAAGAAATAGCCGCATTCTCTTCTCCTACCTTTCCAGTGGAGCTCTGGTTGTCGTTAATGTACATAGCGAGTATGCCGAATCTTATAATTTGTTGTGTATATGAAAAAAACAGATCTTTCGTGTGGCCCAGCAAGATGTCTGAAGCCCACTGACAAAAATGTTTTACACTGTACTATGCCATAACAACTTACCATAGACTGGGTTACAGTTCCAAGAGATGGTGGTATATCAATACCAGTTGCAGTATTCACTATCTCAGTTGATGTTGATACCATTCCACCATGAACAACAGGTACTGAAGATGATCTTTTATGTGTCGGGGCAGGCATCGCACCAATTGGTCCAACCATGTTTGTGACCCCTTGATCCTGTCCTGTCACAGATGGCCCGGTTAGATAAGCTTCAGGAGGAAGGGGCATTTTTTGACTTTGTTGGACTGGTAAACCGGATGGTTGAAATTTAGGTTGACCACCTTGATGTTGTGGGCTAGGGAATCTAGATGTTCCTTGATGTGAATGTACACCAACATTCTGTTGCATGCCAGGTTGATGTTGTACAATAATATTCCCACTGCTAGCAGTTTGATCATGAAAAACAGCGGGGGATCGTGATGCTGATGTCATTGCTTGTATGTTATGCATTTCAATGGTACCGGTTGTTGGTGATTGAACAATCATAGGTCGAGCCCCAATTGGTCCTGTTAAAAATCGAAAAGTTTAGTTGGAAAGATTTAAAGCAAAACAAAATCAAACTTAAATAAACTAAGGAAACATAACAGTTATAATCCAAAGTAGGCTACAGGAAAAAAGTACAGGGCCTGTTGATTCGCTGGTTTAACTGAAACACATTCATAGGACATTCAGTACAATTCCGGACATTGCGGTTGCAGACTAATCATTTACCCCTAGTGTTCATATATTATAACATTCCTCTCTTGCTAACTTCAAGTTGGTAATTTTGAATATTTCTTGTATGATCATCAATTGAGTAGCAAATTCATGATATATAAATGAAATTTTATGTGAATCAAGGTTTTGTGACGAAAAAATGATAAATTTACTACAAAAAATAATTTCAATAATCTGAATTTTTTAAAAACATCCTATTCAAATAACATGAGTTATGTCTCCCATTTAAAGTGAACATTAGGACATCCCTCGATCAATAATTCCAAACATAATGTCGAAGTATAAAATCATCGCTAACCTTTAGGAATAGCCTGACGTGGTCCCAGTTGTCCCTGCATTTGCATTTGCTGATGAATTTGTTGAATTTCATTCTGAACTGTATTTTGAGCTGTCGATAGAATTGGCATGGAAGTTTGTCTTGCGAATATAGGTGGTGGCGGGGGAGTTTGATGTGGACTGTGTCCTGGCGGAATTTGTTGCGACATGGGATGCCCGGGTTGTTGACCCATCATGGGTACTGGGGACATTACTGGGGTGGTATGATGAGAACGTGGTCGGGACGGATCCATGTGTTGGGGCATCATGGGCATTCCGTGTGGCCCCGGAGTAATGCTCGGCCCTAGAGCTTGTCGATTTTGTCCCATATTTATGATCTGATGCCCAGACAGGTTCTGGTCAGGTTGGTTCATTGAGAAGCCAGTAGGAGGAATGTTCGCACTCATTTGTCTCTGTATGGCATGTTGTCTGTGTAATTGCTGTTGGCGTTGTTTTATCTCAATTTCTTGTAATTCTTGTTGAATAGCAAGTTTTCTCTGTTCTTCTATTTGTTGTTGTTGTTGGGCAGGATCGTTTGTCTACAAAAACGAAAAATAAGAAACCAATTTTCAGTCTTCATGCCATTTTATTTCAAAAAGTTAGGCCCGTTTGCCAGTAACACTGGCCTTCCACATACAGCAGTGGAAAATAGTATTTCAAAAATAAATATAAATAGAAAGAATTGGTAATCTAAAAGATAAAACATTGGCAAATGTAACATAAATTAGAACATGTCAATGTAAATAAACTATAAGGCTAATAAACTAGGTCAGAAGAATGGAATTGCAACGAATAGAAGGCGGGTTGGTTTTTTGGGTTTTTCCAACTGGGTCCTCAGACCCTTTGGGAAGCCATGAGTAAAAACATTCCCTAGGTACCATTCGTAATTACTACATTAATCAAATTACAGTGATAGAGGGAAATTCTGATTCATAAAGTATCATATCAGAATGTATCTTGAAGTAGTAGAGGTAGTAGAATATTTCACTGAGCCATCGCTGCCTGAAACATACCTGTTGCATTTGCATCACTGATGTTGGGACTGATCTTGAATGCTGTTGTTGAATCATATGAGATTGGGAAGATTGTTTTACATCCTGTATTTTATCTGGAGACAGAATGCCGTGTTGTTGAACATTCGCTGCATTATCAGAACTTTCGCCATGTGATGCATTTTCTAGAATAAACAAAGAATTATTGAAAGTTTTTTTCCATATAATTTGGTGAAAATGTAATATAGGGATCATTTTCATCCCACACAACACAAGTTTTGTATAGCTACTCCTGGTAGCCGTTTCATAGCAGCCAAGGAAGATTTCATAGACAAAGACAAAATCACCAAGTCTGAGCTATAATACAAGATTTTAGGAGATAGCACTTCATCAATTTTTGCTGGCATGAGAGATTAGTGAACTCTGGTTTGATTGCAGATCAATCTATTGTTTGAATTAAGAGCACCAACTCAGCAGGATAAAAAAGAATTTGAGAAGTTGATTGAGCAAATTCATGAAAGTTAAATTTGGCATCAAAGAATGTTTGAGATAAATCAGGGTTGTGCAACATTTTTTGCCGGTGGGCCATTTAACCAACTTCAGACATCTAGACGGGCCACACAAAATAGAAGAGAATGTGGATATTGCCCAGCCTTCCAGTAACAAAGGAAACAGGCAAAACATACGAAGATTTAACGCAGCCACAAAAACAAGAAAAATTATGTATTTTTACCAATGTAAGCACTTTTTAAACATAAACTGTCGGATTCGAATTTTATGCTTGATGGGGAAGAATCTGAGTGTTTATTTTTTGTCTGGCTAGCAAATTTATAGATCACAATTTTGCAAATGAAAATATTCTGAATCATTCCTAAATCGAGAATGATGTAAGTTCTTGTTCACTGCACCTTAGGTATTTTCCGCAATTTTAGTTTCAAATAATTGAGCAATGAAAAATCCTTTAACTAACCTTGCTTTATGGTTCCATCCGGTTGATGTGTGAGAACATCAGAGAATAAAGCTGCCATATCACTGCTATCTATGTTTTCTAATCCATCTCGAACCATCTTCTCCAATGCTGAAGGACTGAGGATATTTTCATGTGAATCATTTGCACCTGAAAATTGGAAAATTATTATTGGAAAAATATTGTACCATAAATTGGAAATGAAAACAGGTCTTCACCAAACATACCTTGCGAAGAATAGCAGATTCAGGCACCATCGAATATTTAAAATTATTTAAATTGTTTACTCTAGTTCACTCTATTGTAGAAGTATGTATAAAACTTTATTCAAAATTTGATGGGTAATCAAAAGCACAAAAGCAGCCTAATAAAAGAGGGCATGTGTCACATACTTCCATTTTGAATCCCAATTAATTTACATATGAGCCAACAAAAATTATGTACTGTTTTCTAGTTTCTAGTAGTAGCAAATACATGTGTAAGTGTTGAAAATTTCGCTGAATATTCCTGTATAAAAGATAATTAATTTCAAATCTGTTTAAATATGTGATTTTGTTTAACATTTATAGGTTTTGCTAAATAACCTTAATTGGGTATTTTTGAAAACTTCAAATTAGTTTTTTGGGTTGATTCACCTCATATGTTGAACAAAAATCAAAATAAAATGTTATTTCCTCGTTTCCCCCCCTTAACAAACATCGACAAATGCTGACCTTGTTCTGGTTTGAGATCAGATGTGGAAAACATGCCAAGTAATTCATCATCTTTGAATGGTAAATCTGGTAAAACACCGAGTAAATCTTGTTCGTTTAACATCGCATCTTCATCTTGTGGTTGAGATGGATGTCTCTGTGATCTTGTGTTACCCTGAAAAAGTAATTTGACTCCATCAAGCTAACTATATTAGAAACATTAGTAAGAAATGTCTAGTCTAGAATTAATTTGATGTCAAGATATCAGAGATAGAGTCATATACAACAGGTTGAGAACTAATTAGTGCAATTGCCACAGCTTATATGGCGTTCTGCACCTAGGCTATATTTATATTTAAGTTCATATTAAAGCATGCATTTGAGATATCGATGTAATAAAGTTTGAAAGCCACCAAAAGTTACTTTTATTTTCTTTCGTAGTAAGTGGTCAGCAAACTGTGAGCTGCCAAGCATTTTCTTGTGGTCCAATAAATTTTCAATTATGGCAGTGATACACAAAAAAGTTCTATAATTCCAACATTACATATAAATTTTTTGTCAATTGGTTCTTGTTCATATATCAAACGATCATACAACTAAACAAATTAAATTAAGGCCAAAAGTACACATTAAAAATCACAAAGGTGCTCCCGAAGTATGCGAACCAAGATGGCGGACATCGGAATGTAACATGGGTAACAGGTTAGGGTTAGGCGATAATTTTTTTTCCAATTTTCCTTATTTTAGTCCTATTATCAGTTCGAAGACTAGCCAAGAGCCTCCCGTAGTATTTATATCTAAAATTATGGCCTAACCCTAACCTAGTACACATATTATATTGCGATGTCCGCCATCTTGGTTCGCATACTTCGGGAGCCCCATCACAAAATTGAGCTTTATTCAAAAGCACGTTTTTTTTCGTGCAGGTGCGATGTGAGTTTTTTTCCGTGATAATTTGGCGACGCAAGATAAAAAAGTTTGGGAACTGCTGCCTTAACAAGTTCATTTTGTGGTTAAATTGTAAATTTTCAATGATAATGTTGGGACTTTTCCATTTTACCAGTTAGACCTCAATTAAAAAACTTACGATAGCTAAACATTGGCCTAAGTGGTTATAACATTGGGACTTAGCCATGGATATTGTTGATTTCTGGCAACACTGCCTGTTTTTCATTTGCACTGTTATTGTTATATGCTCGATTGATTTTGGAAATAGTTCGTCCTTGCTTTTAGATATTGTAAGAATGTATGGTATCATATCATATTTTTGTATATACTAAGTGACAACAGTCAATTTAACACAGATCCCCATGAAAACATAGTAGCCTATATAAGAGTATGAAATATAAAAAACCAAATAAATAGAAACTATACATGAGATGAGGAAGACTGTCCTGCATTGGCTAGAGAAGCAGCTTGGTGAGCAGCCTGTGCTTCTAATCTTTGTGTCAATCTGTCAGGAAGGATAAGACGAGAATCACTTCCATGTTTCGCTCCATAGCTGGAAAAAGAATAAGTAAATAAAAATGAGCTGTGGAGCCTAATAGAGTGCTAAAGAGAAATGGCATTATGTTTTCTATGATATATTTAACCAAGTCCATGAATTCAAAATAAATAACTAGTTAACTATTCACAAACCAAACCAGGACTCAACGAGAGGCCATGGTTCACCATAATTATGACAAAGCTGTCTTGTAGACTTTCCTGACCCTCAGTATAAATATAGCAATCCTAACCTATTCAGTGATAACGATACAATTGAATATATAGTTACCCTTCTCCAGGTGATGCTGGTTGTTCATTCAAATCATCTAAGGGACTTCCTTTCGCTTTAGCATCTGTGATTATCTTCTTGCCAAAGAATGCATCCTGAAATAAAATAAAAAACTGATTTATGCAAACTCTCATATAAAAAATGACTTGCAACCACTTGCGAAACTAGAACAACATATAGGCTTTGGTTCAGTGCCCAGGGTCTCAATTTTATACGAGTGGACGTCACTAAGATACGTATGTTGATCACAATTGACGTATTATAAAATTTCTTGGGAATTGCGATTCCCTCATCTCCTGTCTTTTGGAAAGTTTGAAAAGACTCCATAAAAGTATATCAAATTCCACTTCCACCGTCCTACCCTTGACTATGTCATAAATTGATCGTACCTGTAAATATGGTGGAAACTGATCAATCAATTTCATCCTCTTCTTTCTTTTCTTAGTTGTAGACGTAGTTGTAGTCGGTGATGTGATTTTTAACTTGAGCGGAGAAACCAACGACACATTTGGTTCTGAAATATTTTCAACATTTGTGAATTTAAATATTCTTTTAATGCATGCAAATGGCTCACAGTTGAAGGACACAGTAAAACTAACCAAATACGTACGTATCCTATACACGAATTCTGTATGCGAAGATACCAGAAATAATTTTAAGTGATTCAAAAGTCTTGCTCTATGTGTTGCTCATATTTTAAAAAAACTTACCTGCAGTTAATGGAGGGTTGAACTGAGGTTGGCCAGTTCCACCAGGTTGAGAAGATAATCCTACTGCAGGAATAAAGAAAAAACATATTTTAAATTGGCGATCGATGCATATAGTCTGAGACTTGAGAGACAAGAAAAAGTGCTAATTGCGAGAATATTACTTTTGGAAAAATAAAACAGACTTCTAATACAATGTAGAATATCATTATCTTTATGAGTTCGACATAGACGAAAAAATTTTGAAGTTTGGGGGCTGGGGCAGCGAATGGTCTACTATTCCGAGATAATATTCTCACAGATTTTAAAAAATTGAAAAAACAAGAAATTGAGTTAACGTCAATTATTCAAAATGATAATTTTTCAAATAAAACTATTCTTAATAATTATTCCTAGATCAAGAATGTATAATATTGAAAACGTTTCTTTTGAATATTTGGTCTAAAAGAAAATGTGAACCAATAATTGATGACATTGGAAGAATGTTGAATGCAATAAAAACAGAAAAGCACAATGACGAAATGTTGGCTTTTTCTTGTTAAAATATTATTTAAAAAATTCTTCTTGTAGGTAGCATAAAGCCTGACTGATTCTACAAAAATTCCTCTTTATTTCCTACCATTGCTTCCGCCTTGTCCAGACAAATCATATGGAACATGTAGAGGTGGTCCTGTTGTATCACTGACAGTTTCCGATCCAACAGTGTCAGTCCTTGAGTCATTGGTTGAAGTTTTATCAGTGACAGTAAGTGGTACGTGAGCAGGACGTCTACTTCTTGGTTTTAGTAGACCACCTCTACCTCGTTGACGTACAGTAAATCCCCCAATACCTAGGTAACGAAATAAACAGTGAATTATTATTACCGGTAAGTTCTATTATTAATCACATCTTGGATAAAAAAAATAAATTCATACTTGGGAGCTGTCCCAAACCAATCGAAGAATTTATAAAATCGAGGGTTTCAAGACAAAATGGCAAATGTTGAAAATTCCAAAAATATAAATAAATTCTGGAAATATTACAAAAAAGGTTTTATTCAATTTGGTATCTAATCATAATTTGGAGCCATATTTATCCTGAAAACTATAAAATATGGTAAACTATTCTAATAAATGTTAACTTAACTTGCCAAATTCAAACACATTGAGTTTACAGTTATTTATTGATAATGAAAATGTATTCGGAACGTCGAATAGATAGACTTTAAACAAAATTGATTTGTCATTGCAGGTTACACATCCCTGTAAAAATATCAGTAGATATTCGAATACCCGGTCTGTACGGCTTTCGTCTTCTTTTCTCATCTTTCTTAATACCGAGTACTTTTCTAGTTGGGTCAACAACCACAGGTACACTAGCTTCCATTTCAAATTCCTCACTTTTCTGAATTCCTGCTGTCGTGTCATCAACTCCAACAAGTGGTGACTTAATTTCACCAGGCTGTGCAGATTTATTTTCTAAAATATAAAGCATAGGATATAGGTGAAAATTTTGGTAATCTGGGCGTGCACGGCTGGTTATGGATATGAATGTCAGAAAAGTATGACAACATCAGTAAAATTCCTTGTCTTATAAAGGTGTTCTCATATAAAATTTAAAAAAAAGTAGAAAAATGTGGGGTGGAATACTGGGAGTCGTACTATTCACAAAAAAATTCGCAAAAGAGCAAATGGATTTGACTTCTAGGAATTTTCATTTAAAAGTACTGGAAAGCAATTTTTTACAACAACAACACCACCTCACACATGAACAGCAAGTTAGCTTAGTGTTCCATATGTCCACTGCATCCAATAATAAATTACCTTTCTCAATGCCTTCCATTCCAGAGTCTTCAGTAGCTGTTGCAGTAGCAGATGACAAGTCTTTTATTATAGCAGTAGATACTGGAAGTTGAATAGGATGACCATCTACTGGAAGTTCGGGAGCTATGAAATAATTTGATTGTACATACAAATACACTAATAATAGTCAATATAGCATATATATATTCACTGTATTTTCCACTTTCAAGCAAAAGCATAATGAAACCCGATAATCATATAAATCAGGATTCCATCACAAAATAGAAAACAGAATCAAACATGGTAAAGAACATACGTTTTGTTGTAGATTCTTCATTTGCATTCCTATTCACATCTCCAGGTTCTTGTAATGCAGTGACAGCAGCTTCTACATTGATAGGTTGACCTAACGATTCCGCAGGTTTAGTAGCATCAGTCACAGGTTTGACAGGAGAAGGTTCAGCAGTTTTGCTCTGAACTTCTGACGATTTTCTTACCCTGAAGTAAAACAGAGATTTTCAATGGTTAACTAATTGGGATAAGCATTAGGAACACGTTAGCCTTCACACCACTGATTACCCTGCATGGGTTAGCAGGTTTAAAACCAGTGGGAGATAATTATGTACAAAAGGATTGCTGCCCTACCCATTGCAAGGTGGTTCACATACCCACTTGAGGGTTATGGCTGTCTATTGTCTCCATCACCAATGTACATATAATTGAAGTAACTATAAACTATATTTATTACTGACTTTAACTGGTGAAGAGATGAAAGGCTGCACTTATTATTACACCATATTATTATTTTTTTGGTTTTGCTTTCCACCGGGATAACGATTTAATCCTGTCCTAATCCTAATAATACCATACCTAAATATGGGAATGTCTAGCCAGCTGGTTAGTTAGCCAAAGGTATTTGAATAGGTAATACAACATTTTTTGGAATTGAATGTAACATATCATACATATGAATAATCATATATTTGTCAGTCTTGTAGTCTATGAAATATCGATTTATACTCTCAATCAAAAATTCATATTTGGAATTCACGACTTCCTATCTGTTTTCCTAAGCTACAAATTACCATCAGCATGCTAAAAACAACTTAATCTCGTGCCCCACTTCATCAAGATTAATGAAACAAATTCAACCTACCCTCTGGGTCCTGCTGGACGTTTCTTGTATAATCCCATATACTTTTGCATTTGTCGTTGAATATGCTGCAATCCACTTATAGTCAGAGATGTATAATCTTTTTGGAATTCCTAAAAAAAGATAATAATCAAATAATTATTCTACTACGGTTTATAATCACTCCCCTACATGCATTTTAACATTCAACATCTCACAAAAATTCACAGAACTATTTTTCAAACTCAATTGAAATTTTTGAACTTGCGTTGCCGCAAAAACGTCCAACTATTTACCCAAATTGAGTTAGACTATAATAGCGCATGGTAAAAGGTTTACCATAATGATCCAGGGAATTTTTTTAAAACAACAACATACAAAAGACTATTTTTCTAATTGCAATCTTTCACCACTTCTTGTTCTAAAATTTTCTCAAAAATAAAAATAAAGTAAACAATAGAGAAGACAGACCTTAACAGTTTCAACTTCTGATCTTGTACGGCCCAAGTAAACTCCAGTTTGACTGCCTCCATATAAGGGATCAACTGATGGTCGACCTAATGTGAGATGTGGTGGTGTCGCGTCTTTCGGTCTGCAGAAGCAACAATCGTATCCTTTCTCTAAAACTTTTTCTATGTCAGATTCAGTGAAAAGACATTCACAAACTGCATGCAGCCATCTGTAAAAGATACAATGTTGTTTAAAACAATATTGAACTACCCGTAACCACAATATAAACTCAATGTTTTTGAGTGTCGCAATAGATTTCTTAATATATCTAATATGATTTTAATAATTTGTCTAAAATTTATATTTTATTATTCACAATGCCACTCAAGATACACAAAGTAACTCTGTTATTAACTGATAACATTTGAATCAATTTGAAATTTTTTGTTGATTTTAATTTAATTATTTTTCGCGTTCACCGGGGGTAGTACATTGTAGGACATATGTTATTGAGGACATTTAACGAATTTATTTTGAAGCTTATTGCATCGCCAACATTTTTTATCATAATAATATATTCCCATATTCTACGTTTTAGAACGAAACAAAATAGGCTACATTCCAAATTATAACCAGGTGTAATTTGATGGTCTCAAGAGTCCAAAGAAATTCTACATTGAAATAATTAATCACTACCTATGAAATTTGGTAGCTTATGCAAACTCGTATATATTCGTCAAACTAAATAAGTGTACATCTTTTTGGAGTAAAAATACAAACAAACTGTTAACCTATTAACTGGAAATCTAACAATTTTGCTTTATCTTAAATCAAACAAGACAGCGTCATTTCTACCTATAAACTTTTATTTTCTGTTAAATTCTTCCGATTTGCTTAGAAAATCAACAGAGCAAACAAATATTACCGTTCGCAAGTTCCACACTGCATAATGATATCTTCATCTTTGTAACTGCGTCTACATTTCGGACAATGATTTAATGAAGCACATGGACCACATGATGTATAATTTGATGCCCATTCACAGTTTTTTCCTGGCGAAGTCGTCCCACAATGTACACAACGGACACACCTATTGAAAGACAAACTATCAGTTCATCTCAAGTTTTGAAAGTTCTTAAGCTGTATCCCAGGAAGGTAGAGACATTCTAATGAAAAATGGACTACAAATTTACTTCATTACAATATATGTTTTTAGAGAATATGCTCAAACCGACTTGCCGCTCACTAACACAGAAGTAAAAAGATCACTGAGCAGAATTATGGTTGACCGCTTGAATGTCAGAAGAAAATGAAACTATAATAAGTATATAAATATGTGACACATCAAAAAGTCAATTGACTGTTATTCCAAATTAAAACTCAATAAAGCAAATAAGAAAACAATTTCAATGAAATTCATACCATTTGCACTTCCATCCTCCTTTGGGTACATGTTGTAATGGAGGTCGTAAACAATGTGTATGGTACGATATATCACAGTCATCACAAAGCAAAAGATGAGCTGGATCGTCTACCTGGCCACATTCTTCGCATACCTGTGTTGAAGAAAGAAAAATAAAGCATTAAACAACTTGGACCTGGCAAGGAATATTAGAAAATTGAGTAGTTCGCAAACTGAACAAGTGCATCGTAAAATATCAATCCATTATCTAAAAAATTATTTTTTATCTGGCTGTGTTGAGAACTATGATGAAATACTTCAAATTATTGTTGGTAGAGAAGGATGACTGGTTATATCAAACATTCAGCCATGTTATGATGGTTTATGTGAACAAAAACATGTTTGTTTATCGCATTGATGATAAGTTGCTCTTACCGTGCAGTCTAGACATCTCCATCCCTTTCTTAGAACAACTTTAGTTAGTTTCAGATTAACACAGTAAGGATGATAACATTGTCCACATTGAGAACAAGAGATTAATCTTCCTTCTGATCCTTTTCCAAAACTTCCACAAATGACACACATATCCTGAAAAAAAAATCGAAGCAATCGAAGTAACAATGACCATTAGGTTTTTACAGCTGGGGTGTGGCGTTGGAGAACTGTAATTTCAGAGTTATACTCCAAACTCTGAGCCGTTTAAAATCCACTCCAACTGCGGATTGACAAATATTTCAACCATGACTCTGTCCCTCTTTGACTGAAAAAATTTCGATTTTAAATCCAGCTTCACACAATAAGAAAGCAAACATTGGTAATAATAACTTTGCCCTACGAGCCTCTAAAATTATATATTGAAAATACTTCGTCAGAAAAAGATTTTGAAGTGTTTCGGGAATTCTGACTCAGATTATCACTTTTAAAACTTTTTTTAAAAATCCGAAATTCAATACTCAGAAGGTCCAATATGGATAGAATATACGAATCGATAAGAAATAAGTTACGTTCAATATTTTAATATTTGGAATAGCTTCATTTGAAAATTGGGTATTCGACATCTGGCAGATTGGGAATAAATTTTCTTAAACATATTGTCTTCTATCTATACTGGAACAAATTGCACTTAAATGAAGACATTGTAATATGGATTAGCTAACCTGTGACAAAGTGAATGTATCTTCTGTAGAACACAGTACAACAGTATTATGCATAGAATCTCCATATTCATCATCTGCCTGTGGTGTTTGTAACGCAGGCTCAACTCTTGTGGTTGGCGATAAAGGACCTGGATCTGAAGAAGGAATTAACAGTTGAAAATGGAGTTACCGAAAACATCCTAATAAACTGTGGTAATTTTCGAATCCGAAATTCTAAATATATTTCAAAATCATTTCCTAGTTTAATAAGACCAACAAAATAGGAATTTAGCTTTAATCAAAGTAAGGCAGAAGTAAATAAAAAACATATGACTTGTGTTGATGTATGATTGAAATTTAAAGCTTTTCTGTTCCTAGGTAAGAATAGAGAACAAGGCAATCTTCATCAATTCATTTCAAAAACCTAGTCATTTTTGAAGATTATTATGACAAAGTATTTTGCTTTCTTACAATTTTCTCAACTTGGCCCAAAATATTCAAAAGAGCACTCAAAAATTCTTCCTTCACATAAAAAAGGATTTTCAATAAATTTCATCCTTCTTTCAAGGTAAGGTAAAAACAAAGTAGTCCCATTACCTGCTGGAGTGGAGGCAGTGGAGCACTGTCTTTGAAAACCTCTTCTTGCTCGACGAGGAAAATTTCTATCAATACCAGTTTGTGGCATTGAAGCCCCTTTACCTGCCATACCACCTCTTGGTCTCTTTTTAGGACCAGAGAATCCTGCCCTTTTTTGCCTAAAAATAGGAATATTTCTCATAAGAAACTGAAATAAAAAAGCATAGTGAATTTTTTGAAGAGTTCATAGCCTTACCCTTTTCCCTTTCCCTTGCCTTTAGATCTGGCTGCAGCTGGTTTTCGTTTATGACCAAGAGGTTTTCCTTTTCCGTACATCCCACCAGGTTTACCCAAACCAGGACCAGGTGGTTTGGATGGTGGTGAGCCTGAAATAGGATATGGTAAAATTATAGGAGGAGAATGTTATTCAAAACATGGTATAAGGCATTGCTTCCCTAGGGGTCATGACCCAAAATTGGGTCGCCTGGAAATTATGAAAAAATTTAAAACCTGCCAATTTCATTTTCTAGTAGATTGTATTGTTTATTACTTATCGATTTTAATAGGTAAGAATGTTGATATGAAAATGTAAGAATGTTGAAGGTATTTGTCTGTCTGTTTGTTTGTCTGTTAGATGCACGCGATATCTCACGAAAGCGAGATTGAATCTGCTCCAGATTTTGCATGTGCATTCATCATATGTCGTACCAGAAGCCTATTGATTTTGGATGAATTATGTCGTATAATTAGCGAGTTATTAATTAATTAGTGATGTGACACAAGGTGTCACTATAGAGTAAGGGCACTGTTTTGGGGGATCCCCTAACTTTCGATCGATAAGTCTTCGGTCTCTGACCGATATTCTCGTTTTCTATTCGGTATTGAAATGTTCGCTCAATAGAAATTGTATATATGGTAAGTATCACAGGATAAAAACTTGTCCAAGTTCAAATTTCCTTTAATTTTAACCAAGAGTTGGGAGTTTGAGTCAAAATGTCAAACAGGAGTCGGAAGCCGGAATCATTTTTAATTGGCTAATACTTTGGATTCAGAGTCAAACATAAATTTTACCATTATCCATGAGGGACAAACAACCAATAAAAGTATAGTGGAAGTTAAATACAAACCATATGAAGCTGGGCTTCCCAATGGTGACAACGATACTTTAGGTTGACCAGGAGAAACAAAGGTGTCAGGTATTTTATACGATTTGCCATCAGGATTCATCACATTGGTTGAAGAGATAACAGGAGGAGGTGTAGATTTTAAAGATGTAGAATGGGGTAAGGACTCGACCCCAAATAGAGACATTGCATCCTAAAAATCATAAATTTGATGAAATGTGAAAAGAAAACATTGAAATAATTTTGAAAAAGACAAGCTCTTTTACAAATACAGGAAGTGGGATGGCTAATAAAACTCAATAAACCATTATTTCAAATACATTCTAAAATAATATCTACAATATCAATTATATTCTAAACTGCCGTATGTTTAATTGAAGTGTGTAGAAGTCAACGAATTTGTTTTGGATAGTGAACCACTTTATTTTTTCATTTTTTCCGTTTTCTCTTATAAAACTTTATTCATTGTTTCAAAAGATTAATTTTAACAGCAAAATGAATGAGGTTGTTATAACTTACTTGGGCGTTTTCATCAGTGAATAGTGAACTCATATTACTGCTTTCAGCTGAAGAATGACGATCAGTTTTTTCTCTCGTAGAAATAGCATCATCACTACTTAAGTGTCGGACTTTTCTTGGCGGAGATCCAACATTTGATTTCGATAATGAATGTGGATCGTTCACATCACTAGCACTATCTTCACCAACACATAACATTGGATCGAGACTGCTACCTGTTAAGAGAGTAAAACAAGTAGGAATAAATAAAGAGGCGTTTTCTTTTTAAATAGATTTAGTTAATGTGTGATCTGCCTCATATAAATGTCAAAAAAATTCTGTTTCAAGGTTCAAAATAGATTATATTCAAAAAAGTACCCTTCAAAAGGGTAAATTCAGCAAAATTTTCAACTTTTCCTGTGAAATCAAATTTATGCCAAATTATACAGGCAGAATTGTCTCATCAACTGCGAACATTACAAAATCATGTTGTGAATTCTAAGTATTTTTTTTATTTTGTTTATTCCAAAGAATTTGACACAAAAACAAACGAATCACTGAGGAAAGTTACTGAAACTACATAAAATTATATCAATCCATTACATGCCAGTAAATGCTGTCAGGCAAGAGATCTAGATTTGTACCATCTCTGGCGAAACAAATATCTAATAAAAAGTGAGCTTCATACCTCACAGACCTGTGGAAGACTAAAATCGAAGTTATTCTATTGCGGAGAGACACGATACACGAGAGACACAAAAACAGACTAAAATGGTAAGACAGAGAAACCCACTAAAAAAAGTTTATTTACCTTTGAGTGCAAAAGTTCCTTTGTCAGAACCAATGCTTGACGATGTGCTAGCTCTTTTCCTGACTGTTGGTGTTGGAGATTGCATCGTTATAGGTGGCATTTCTGATGCCACATCTTTTCGTTCTTCTGCCTCGTGTTTATCTTCCTCCATTTCCTCTGGTGTTTCTGTCTTGCTTGTGGTAGTTCCCTCTATGAGATCTTGCGGTGCAATTTCCGCTGTGTGTGGATCTGTTACAAGTCCTTGAGAAGACATTTCTGGTGGGACAGGTTGAGAAGAAGGACTAGAAGTTTGTGACAATGGTACAGACGATGGGTTACGACATCTTGGACATTTGTAATCTTCAGCTGGCTTTTGACAAGATTCTAACTGTGATGGATCTTCACAACCCCAGTGCACCTAAAAAAAAAATAGTAGAATTTGACTTTAGCTTGACTTGCTCTTTACCCTTTATTACAAGGCATTTTTCCACATCTTCATTCTAAACAAGATTCTGTACAAGTCAATGCTACTGTTTTAGCTTAGGGTTTGAATCGTTGAATATTTAACTTGCAATGCCAACATAATCAATATACATTTTTAGTCACAATACTACAAAAAAATGGTCAGGAAATTTACTTTAAATCTACCAACATAAGTCTAAACATTTTCCGTAACTCTTGGAATATCAGTGATCGCTGATATCCATAAAATTTCTTGAAAAACGTCTCGTTGCCTTCTGAATAAGTGTGCATAACTTTGATTTGTGCGAATTTTATAAAAAAATCTTTGGATAGACAAAATAGTTTATGAGATGACAATGTATGACATTCTGACAGTCTGTTTAATATTTACTACGCCAATTGTAAATGTTGGATTATAAAATTTCTCTGGTATACCGGTATGCTGAGATTCAACTAAAACAAGTGTATCCTTAATTTCTCATCGTCCTAAAGATAGTAAAGTAAGTAAAATAAATGATGATTTGAGACAGACAAACTCACCCATTTTTTACATCCAGTACAATGAGTCATCTCCATTCTTCCACCAGGAATATTCCGATATGCTCGACCACAAACAGGACAAGATGATCCTTTGTTGCGAAGTTGATAACACTTATCACATACCTGCAGTGTGGGGGAAATAATTTCAAATTCCAATTTACAAATTTGTTCTGACTGAAAAACAGTTTGAAATTAAAACTAATCATATATTCAAATTGATTCAAAATTAATCAATTATAATCAATATTTTATATTCTTGGAACCAGTAATAATTTAGATGTTTTATCTGAAAATTATTATTTTGTTCAATCCTGGCTAAAAACGGTAAATATTCAATATTTGAAGGGAGTAAACAGACAGTAGATTATCTGACAGAGAAAGAAATAACTGAGAAAAGGTCATAATATCTATTTATGAATTCTAGAGGAACAGTGGAATTATGATCAGGGGATATCCCATCAGCAATTGCATATTTAAGATAGAGAAGATGTACTTTGGCAAATATAAAAAGAGAAATTTGTTCAAGGTAGTGATTGAGATAATGACAACCTGATGCAGATGCATCTTATCGAATGAAGACGGCCTCGGTAGAAGATCCGTTGATGTCGAAGAAGAAGAATAGTTAAAAAGTTTTTTTGTCATAATTCTCTTGGTGAATCATAATTAATAATTGACTTGATATTTAATCTTTACAAACACATCTAGTTCTTTAGAAACATAAGTACATAATATCAAACTCCACAAATTCAAAGCATCAGAAGAAGGACAACATCCTCCAGCACCAATCAGTTGTTATACAAAAAATCCATCTGGTCTACAACTAGACAAAAATCTTTACAAAAAGATCAACCCAGTCCTTTGCTCAACAAATAGTAACGACTCCTAATCTTAAAGTCACTAGCCTTTCTCAAAATCTTTCGGTGGTGTTTCAAATAACATAGGCTAGCATCTTGTCAAGCTATCTTTAAGACAAATCCGAGAAATAGATGCTTAGCGCACTTGGTACATAGTACTTTTGCATAATTTGTCGTTGACATCTTTAAATATGACACACAATATAGAATGGTCATTTGAATATCGAAAATTACCTGATAGTTGATATGCCATCTTGAACTTGGCCCATTTCCTGGAGTCCTTGATCCACAGTCCGTACATCGCCTACAGTTCTGAAAAATTGATCACAAGCTTTGAAGAATTTTTGAAATGGATAGGAACAAAGATAGAATTTTCATATTTATCCCATGGGAAAGTAAATCAGATGAGGATTTTGCGTAGGAAAAACATGGCTTTTCGTTAGGTTATCAGTCCATATCAAAAATAGTTGACCAAGATTTATTTCTGATTCAGAGTTTTCTACGGTGAAGGAAGCTGTAACTGACATAATATCCTAAACAGGATATGAAATCGTGAACCCCCAATTTTATCGGAATGACAGTGGCAAGCGTGTTCCTAGCACATTTTCTACGATTCGCCAATGATGATACCAAGATCGTTTCGTTTTTCTATTAAATCCCCTTGCATTTCAATAATAAAATGATTTGAAATTGAAATTGAATATTACCTTACAACACCATCCATTTTTTGGTATAAATGACATGGCTGGTCGTAGACAGAAAGTATGATATCCCTTATCACACACGTCACATACAAGCATTTTATTGTCATCACCAGGTTGCCTGCATGTCTGACATATCTTGCACTCAGGACATTGCCAACCAGCTCGAACAACCGGATTGACGTCAACGTGCGGATCCAAACAATCACCATGATAATGATGACCGCATGATGTGCAAAACAACAGATCAGAGATTTGACCTTGAAATAGTAGAGAAAAAACATAAACAACCTGCAAGGCACAAAACATGGTATTTCTATATTTATGATGAAAATTTGTTTTTCCATATTTACAGTACTGAAAAATGGGTTCATTATCGAGCCATTTCCAAAAAAATTGGGACATACCGTAATTAAAATATTTATACATTTATACAAAAAGAATTTCAGAAATAACTTATACTTCATCTGAAATAACATAAAAAGCATCCTACATACCAGGGTCATCACAAACTGCACAATTTAATTCATCTGGATCTGCAATGGTTGGTGCAAGCTCAAGATGATCAGTGCATAACAATGACATTGATTTGATATCCTAAAGGAAAAAGAAAAGAAAAATATCGAATTAATTCAACTTTTAAGACATTGTGAGCAATAATCTAACTGAACATCTCAAGATACTCAAAGTAGGAATTTCCATATGATAGTTAAGAAAATTTTTATTTCGTGTATTGTAATTTTTTGTTAATTTATCTTATACTATTTTCCGCTTTCCAATTTATTCTTCTTTTGTATGCTTTGAAGGGTCTACTATATGACAGTCAATACAACTGCACATCTCTACGTAAAAAAGTTGTACCGTTACAATTTACTGTATCGCAGATTCCATTTTCAGGTAATTTATATAGTTGTCTCTAACTCAAGCGTACATGTAATTCAAATATTCTTATTAAAACACCTTTCATTACCTGATAACATCCACTGCCTGCTGCACAAGGATAGTGAAAAAGTCTCTCACACTTAGGAGCCCTGCATTTAATTGTGGCCCCATATCTCGAACAGGAATGGCATCGCTGGGACATTCCTGAATGCACTGCCTATAACAGAAGACAAATATGATATAAAAAACTATAAACAGTCGTTTTCTGTTTAATAATCAAAATATCCTACATAGGTTTACTGGTACTAACAACCAACAATAGTTACATAAATGTAGTTCATATTATGAACAGCTTGAAAAAAAAGGACTTTTTATAATTTATGTATATTTCCTCATATGATGCTAAATATGAGAAAGAGAAATAAACGTATCTGAATTTACATATCTGAACTTGAAAATATGGTACAGCAGAAAGAAATGTTGATTCAGTAGGAAAATTAAGGCAGTCTATAACAGGAATGGATAATAATAACATAAATGAGTTTCTGACTATTTTCCCACCGAGTAGCACAAAAAAATGACACTTCTCACGAAAATACCAGTATTTATTACCTTATCCACACAGAGTAAGTTATAACTCTCATTCTGAGTGACACCTTCTGACCAAGCAGCACAGCAGTGATGAGCAGTAACATGACCTGAAAATTACCAAGTAAAATAAACATATTAATTATCTTGATTTCTAAGATTGATTTCTAAGATAATGATAATAATAAAAATAATGTTTTCAGCTAAAAATTTCAGTTAGCTCCGCAAGATGAGCTGAAGAATCTTAAATTGAAAACATGCATAGGTAATTAAATATAGCCTGGTAGATATATTCAGAACGGAATTGTGACAGGAATGAAATTAGTATAACCATCCATATCATAACAAATCATAGCAAAAGTACGAATATTGAAAAACCTGTGACAATGAATCGAATATTTGAATACATTTGAAATTGGTTGTATTCAAAATAGTAAGTTGCTAATATTGAAAATAATTTGAAAAAATTTGGGCATTTGATCATGTCTCGCAGAGAATATATTGCAATAAACTGCATATTTTTCTCAATAATTCTGCATCGCTAAATTAAATTCATACAAAGATGGTCCAATCATAAAATCATCTGTTCAAGGAAAATAACCCAATACAAAATGTATCCAAGAGTCCATATTCAAAAATATTATTTCAGAAAATAATACGAGTAATTCGTTATAGTAATTCGTTTGGCCATATTATCCCATTTTGGCATTAAAAGTAAAGTGAAAAATTATGAGTAAAAATTTAGTAGAATAGAACTTCAATCTGAAAGATAATATTACCTGCAGGTTCAAAAACAAGAGAAACATCCAGCATTTCAGAGCAACCCACAGTTGATAATTCATCAATATATTTGTCCTCGGGTTTAATAGTGGGTTTCACTGTATCTCTCCTGTTGAATATTTAAAAAAAGGAAAACAAACAACGGTTTATAGCAATAAACAAAAACAGAATTTCGTTCCACAAAATAGACAATAGGCATAATTTTATGCTATTTGATATAAATATCCCAATTTTTTCCAAATTCAGGAATCATATTCAAAATTTAAATAATTTCAGGCAAAGAAGGCACGAATATACAAATTTCAGATATTGTGGACATCACTGATATGATAACTAGTTGCATAACTTTTTGGTGTTATTTCCCCTCACAGAGATGATTATTAATAAAAATGGTTGCAATTTTTTTTCTAAGCTTAGTTGAAAAATTGGCAAGCTAAGAAAATATATATTGTCTAATTGGCTGACTAATCTAAAGCATTTGAAACCAACGAAATTACTCGAAAATAGGATTTTTTATAAGACTCATTTATACGTCTTTCACTATGATAAGTCTCTGCACAAGCACCAACTGCAGTTTGGAATCTTTCCAGTTTAACATTAGCTACCCCATGTATAACACTCTTGGTAAGGTGGTGGACATGGGATTTGAACCCAAGTTTTTCTTCTAACTATTTTAACAATTTAAACCCCTCTCATCTAAAAGGTGAGGTGAACTAGTTCTGATTCTATTAATTGAAAAAAGCTTAACAAAAATTACATTTGTTTGCTGCCTCTCCGTTGAACAGCAGCCGTTTTTGTAACCTTCTCTCCAGTGTTATAACTGTCTTGAGAACCATTAGAACCCGGTGATGATCCATAAAGTATCTCTCGACTGCCTCTTGCTCTCAGAGGTGGTTTTTTAAATGGATTGAAACCAGCTGTCGGGCTGTATCGAGTCAAATCACCTTGTCCGAGCAAACTCTTTTCTCCGCAATAACACAGAGCACATGTGAAACCTCCACTGAAAAATATGAAAGTCAACATTAACATACGGCATGTATGGTAATTAAATTTGCCTAAATGTTATTGAATAAATTCCCTGTCACTGCTAGGTCTCAAGTGTGACACAATTCAGCAGTAAACTGCATTACAATTGGTCAAATCAGATCAAAACTGTTTAGATATATAATTATGGATATACAGTGTATTCATATTTATAGAGTCCCAAAGCAATTTCAATTTTCGATATTTCAATCAGTGTTTATTTGAGGGTTTGTTTACTTCAATTAATACACATGTAGTGACCAACAAACTATATGTAGTATTAATTAATTCCCTTTGCAATCTAAAATAAATTTTATACGAACATTATGTGTATAATGACTTTGCCAGCAATTTCGAATGAACACAAAAATTCATGCACTTTATGCACCATGTCCAAAATGAATCGAATATTCAAATCTATTGAATGAAAATCAATTCAATTTGATTTCGGGAAAATTTCGAATAATTACGTTTGAATAATTAGCATTTTGAGGTCTATCAGTATATCAAAATTACCTTCATTTAATTTCTTATAGAAAATATAAAAATATATAACTAATCAAGTCTTTGTTTATCTCGAATTTTCTGCATTTCCAAATGCATTGTTGTTTGTAAATTAAGCAAGACCCAAATTAGAATATATTCAAAATTCCATAACTACAGATAGTTGATTAGGCATAAAATTAAAGACTTACGAAGGAAAAATTGGTTCATCTGATCTTTCATATTTTGGAGTGGAAGAACAAGAATTATCATCGTCATCAGCAGGATAATCTTGTTCAAAAAACTGACTTTCTGAAGCTGTTGCCTCTTTTTGTTTACTTCGACTGCGACGTCTGGAATTTAGAATGGAATTGCATTACAAGAATATCAAAATATCTAAGATAAACAAATGGAATAAACATTGGTGATTGGAATAATTTTCAGACATATGCCAAAGCAATTTTAAGAAACACAAAAAGTCTTTTCCATTTGCGTTACATGCTTGCAATTTTAGACACCGCAACACACAGGTGACAGATTTTTTGGGTTTTAATATTAAAAATACAACTTTACAGAAAATAGGAGAAAAAATTTGAATCACCTTCTCTTTTTCTCCTTCCCAGGCCGTGATGTTGAACTTCTGCTTCTTGAATCTTCATCAACAGAAGATTGAGGAACATCTTCAGCAGCAGACATTTCGATTCTAAAACGTCAACATGATGAACAATTTTAAAAATCACTGTATATATGACATAGAATATACAACACTCTGAAATTCCAATAAAATAAATTTTCATTGAGATAGCATGAGTGTAGAAAAGTGCTGAAAAACTATGATGCTCAAAACAGAATTTTTAGTTTAATTCGATCCATTGTATGACATGCGCTGTATTACAAAATGTAATTGGATATGCAGTCTGATTACAAAAATAGACTCCAGCACCAAACAAGGCAAAAACTGTATACAAGACTAGGCTATTCTGAATTCATTCTACGACAATATTAAAGATATGCTCATGTTTAACAAAGAAAGTCAATATACGTGCAATGAGTTAGAATCTGAAATTTTAGATAAACAGGCATTTATTCGGCTTCCTTTTATTTACACTTTTCACAAACTACGGTAAATGAAATTTTTGGTCTATTATGGACTTCAGCTGCTGAAAATGACAATTTTCAAATGAAACTATTCTAAATGATTCTTTAAAATCAGGAATTCAAAATACTTGATATAGTTAATTTAAAAAGGATTCTATTCGTTTGAATGATCTTGTCCACCATGACCTGGATTTAACACTTACTTTATGGGTTATTTAATGTACATTGTGTTTCCCCCTACCTTAGTACATGGATAACAATACACATGAGTAAACAAACAAGATACTTACCATCAACACAGCTTATTAAAGAAAAAAGTGATTACATCGTTCCAACATAATAATTCAACTTGATTTATCAGTAAATTTTTTTTTTTTTTGATCGTAGGTGAAATAGAACTTTATGATTATGAGCTTATGAAATTAGCAAAATTCTGGAAATAAAAGAAAAAATATTGCACATGAATTCTAATATCAGGATCGTTGCGACGAGAAATAGCTTGTTCAATTTCAGGTGACCGTCTGCACGTCTTGGATGACGGTTCGTATAGTTTGCAGGGCCTTATTATGTCACTGCACTAGAGCACACTATCCAAATTCAAATAGTGTCCCGTCATTTGGTTTAATAAAACAAACACTCCAAGCCAGTGTCAGCCAACACTCCCCCGATTATTTTTCCTGAGGTATTCAATGATAACATTTTTAGATTGCGAATCTTTGTAGTTTTTTGCGCAACCTCATTTTTCTGTATTTTTACCGATATTGAGGGACAACAATGTCCAGACGTTCCCCAAATGAGGGGTGTTTGTTCATCGGCAAAATGGGATTCTCTGAAACGAGACAATGTCTCATGATCTGTAAAGTATGCCATACTGTACTATGATGTCGTAGTGACATCATTTTTGATGATGTAGTCGGGTGGGGGTTAGGATTGACATATGAAAAATCTCTATGCTGCGCCCACTAGAAGTACTTGAGGTACATAACTACACTAGACCCGACATGCCCTTCTATTTTAAATGAGAAATGTGACTGAAATACAATAACATAATTTAAACTAAATCTATATTTAACCTGTATTAGGGTACCTAATTAAAAATCAAACACTAAATTAATCAACTGAATCTGAACTTACTAATAAGAAGTTTTGTTTCACTGTGATAAGACAAATAACAATGAAAGGGTCTCCCTACCGCCAGGAAGTACTTCTAGTTGACATAGCATAACGATTTTATTAATATAATATTCCTAACCCCCACCTGAGTACCAACCCAAAAATTACATCACTGCGACATCACAATCGTGTCATAGAGCTTGCTGAACTATAGCTACGATCGTCCGAAATAATATCTGTGCCTAAAATGAACTCACTAACGTCAGCGATCTCTTTCTTATCGGTATCATTTCGACAAGAAAATGAGAGAAATAGCTTGCTCGATTTCGGATGATTGTCTGCGCGACCCTCCATACCGTATACTTTCAAACTTTGAAGGGCCGTATTATGTCACTGCCACTTTGCAGTGATGTAATTTTTGGATGACGTAGTCAGGTGGGGGTTAGGAATGACATCCCTATGCCAGTATGCAAAACTTGTTGAGCCAGGCCAACTAGAAGTATGTGCGGCGTGTACCTTCAAATTCAGTGTCTCCTGTCAGCCTGTAGTTTCGGGGTCTAGTATATTTAGTACCACTGGTACTTCAGGGGGGCGTAGCATAACAAATTTTGCATATGTCAATCCTAACCCCCACCTGACTATGCCATCTAAAAATTACGTCACTACGACGTCACCATCACGTCATAGGGATTGCCAAAGTATAATTACGATCGCCCGAAATGACATCTGAGCCGCCGATAACGAACTGGCTAAAGCCGGCGATCTCTCTCCTATCGTGATCGTTGTGACGAGAAAACGAGAGAAAATGCTTGCTCGATTTCGGATGATTGTCTGCGCGTTTTGGACGACTATCCGCATACTTCGGTGGGCCTTATTACACCACTGTGACATCGAAATGACGTAATTTTGGGTCTGGTATAGTTTAGTACCACATGCACTTCTAGATGGCCTGGCTTGACAATTTTTGCATATGTTAATCCTAACCCCCACCTGACTACGTCACCAAAAAATTACGTCATTTGGATGTCACAGTTCAAATTCACCAACGGCAGCGATCTCTCTCATATTATCAGGGTTGTTGCGACGAGAAAAGGAGAGAAATAGCTTGCTCGATTTCGGATGATCGTCTTTGCGCCTTGGATGACAGTTCGTATAGTTTTAAGGGCTCTATTACGTCACTGTAACGTCGTAGTGATGAAATTTTTGAATGACGCAGTCAGGTGGAGGTTAGGATTGACATATGCATTGTCATTGTTGGGATAGATATGTAAATCCTATCCTGTTTTTGATATTCTGGTGGAATCTTCAAACATTTGACAATGCTAATAAGGATAAGAATTAAAGTCCAAAATGCCCCTTACCCTGATCCCTCATGTCTTTTTGATTGAATATAAATTTTGTGAAAAGTATTTATTTTATTTTATTTTAAGTATAAAGTATTTTTAAGTAAGTATTTTTTTATTTTAATTTCAATGATAAAGAAGTTTGTTATATTACTAAGTTTCAATATTTTCTTAGCTTGGTTTCAAATTTTCGCCATGTTGTTTGAAGCGCTTGATCCGCTGTATATATATTTTTTCCTTTATAGATAAATTTAAAACGTTTACATAAAGAATTATTTATTATAGTTTAAAGCCGACTGATATTATTAGTGCAACCAAGTTTCCAACTATATCTCATGTTGACTTTCATGTTGTTGATTTTTCACCTTATTATTCTTACCCGTTCAGGTTATATCGTGTTTATTTTGAGTCCCAATTCATTATTAGGTATAATCTGTTTACATTTATATTATTTTTTGTTCCTAAAGTATGTAAAAATATTACTGGTCTAACTTTTTCATTAAGTCATCTTAAAATTTAAATCTTATTCATACAAGCGAAATAGGTGGGAGTTGACCTCGATGACCGCATGGTCGTATCGCTCCCTCCTGTCCATACCAAAACAATTTTATTGTTACTACTTTTTTACTGTATTGATGACTGCAATTTTTTTGGTTGACAAATTAATAAATCTCTCTCTCTGTTGTGCTATGCCCGCTAGAAGTACCAGTACTTAAGGTACGAACTACACTAGACCCCGAATTCGTTGCTTTTTTTCTGTTTCTAATTCCAAGAGATGCGGCATATGACCAGATACCATCATTGCATCAGGGGCCAATCTCAAAATCTGCCATTGAGAAGAACCTGATGAAATTGCATGTAGGGTCTGTAAATACAATACCTCACAGCCTCAAGCTAGTCTGTCTATTTACTATTTCCGCAATTAGCCTCCCTTCGTAAATATCTATGGTCAGTTGGTACGCGACGCGCTGCACTATTTTTTCCCGGCCTTTTTGATTCCGGAGCCCACCCACATCTGCATATTGACAATCGTTTGACCTATATTTACGGTTTGACAAGTAGTCTATGATGATTCTGATTTCAAATGATTGTGCCTGTTTCAGAATGTGGTTTAATTCAATACGTTAATTCCTTTTTTGTTTACGATTACTAAGAAGGGGAAAAAATGCAAAATTGAATTTTAAAAGAAAATGTGAAATTATAATTTCTTTCTCACGCCTGGAAAACTAGGGCTTACATATCGTATATCTTTCCAAGCGTCGCCTGCGATTCATAATCATTTAAAGCCGCCAAATATTTATAGTAATATGGACCAGTTAACTGAGGTTACACTTATCTGATTATAGCCCGAATCTGGCATTTTCATTTACACTATGCAGTTGTGTTGACGCTTGTTCAATGCCGCCGACCCGACTAACAACTCACGTAACCAAGGCAATTCGTGAAGTTGGTGACTTGTTCTTGAGAAGCAAAAAAGTGTCTGCGGTGAATTGTTTTTGGCAATCATAATATTTTGCTCTCATTTTCATTGTTACGTCTCATAAAAGCAATATGAACCAGGAACCGTCGAATATCTTGAAATGAAAGGTCAAGACAGACAACTGAAAAGCATTCTGCAGACTAGGTCCACGGATAATTATTAATTATACCGAGAAGGGTTGTGGATTCTCTCGGCAATTGGGACGTCCGACCCTGATTAAAGTTGGAGCTAGGCAAATCAAGAAGTGTTGACTTGTCACGTCGTACGTTTACCGCGCACATCCCAGTTGTGCTCTGTTTTTTGTTTGTGACTTGGCGCGGCGGTGTGGCTTATCGTGCTAAGCGTTGGGAATACCTTTGCCACCGCACCTCTAATTACTCTGCGTGGGTTCGCAGGTTCGAATCCCATGCGGGATGGTTATGTGCGAGAGGATTGCTGGACTCCTCGCCGCCGCTAGCCGGTTACGGCTTCATCTACCATCAAGTCCATGCTTCCGAAACACAAGTAGCCTAACTAACTAATCCCATACCCGACATGGAATGGTAACCAGACGAGAGGACGTGGTTCGCCATATGGATAAGCCGTCTTGTCGACTTTCCTCTCCCCCCGGATAAATATGTAAATCCGATCCTATATTATTTGTGTTTACAATGTTTCATGCACGACAAAAATAAATTATCTGAATCCGAGTTTTACACTAGTACCACTGATTATTCTGCTTTGATTTGAATCCGACCGGGGATGATGAATATGTGACGCAAAAAAATTGTTTATCTCAATAACTGCGACGTACAGAATTCTGACTAGGATAAATTAATGATTTTGTACAGTTACAGCGCCCTCGGGTGTAAATTCATTTTGTTATTGAAATGCAGCTGCGCGGAGCAAAGCTTGTAAACCATCTTGCATGGGTGTATGCCTTTTGGGCATTTTTTCTTGTGTCTTGCTGTTTATCTGATATGGCGTGGCGTTCGCACGGAAGAAATAATGTAGAATTAGTGAATAATCTTAGAAAAAACAACATCATAAAATCTGATGCTGTATTCGAGGCCATGAAGGCGACCGATCGTAAGCATTATTGTCAGCAGCAATCTTACGTTGATTCTCCTCAAGGAATTGGATATCAGGCGACTATCAGTGCACCCCACATGCACGCTTATGCGTTGGAGGTCCTGCATTCTCAGCTAACTAGTTCTAATAATGCAAGTGCGCTAGATGTTGGTTCAGGAACTGGATATCTAACTGCTTGCATGTCACGAATGATGGATGAAAATGGTGTGGCTGTTGGAATCGAACATATTCCCGAACTTGTAAATATATCAGTTGAAAACGTTAAAAAAGATGATGAAACATTGCTCACTTCTGGGCGGGTAATTTTAAAAAAGGGAGATGGTAGATTGGGATATGACCCAGATAATAAAAAATATGAACTTTATGATGCGATTCATGTGGGTGCTGCAGCTGCGCAAGTACCGCAAGCATTGCTTGATCAACTCAAACCGGGAGGGAGATTGATTTTGCCTGTTGGACCTGCTGGCGAGACTCAAGTTTTCCAACAGTGGGACAAAAATGCTGACAAATCTGTTACGCATAAGAACTTAATGAGTGTTGTATATATACCCTTAACTGACAAAAACAAACAGTGGCCTGGTGGTCGCTGGTAAGACTATAAACATCCTTAACAGTGTTTGTGGAAATCGTTGGGAAATAATGGACCGCACCCCCAGAATCAACGCTTTGTCATTTGTATTATGAAAGTGTTCCCTGCCCAATTTTATTTGAGTGAATCACTTTTTCAACTGCCTTGTTATCTCATCTTATACCAAATCGTTTCTATTTGCAATTTGCGAGCAATGTATATTGTATTTTGATTTAATTAAAAATTCAAATATGTTGTAAACACACCAGATCTATTTGTAGAAAAAGCATTAGTATTATTGTATGTACATCATGGCGATGCGTTTTCTCCATCTTCTCCAGCACACATGAGCATTCTTACCACAGACAAACTCGAGGAAAACAGTGTATAGATCATATAGGAATGTACTGTTCAAATGATTTTATTAATTATTCAATGTACAATCATTATACGACACTAAGAACATTAACACAAGCAATACAAGTGAAAAGGCAGGCGAAGACTTGATTGGTTCGCTCTTCATTATGTTACAAAAAAAATCGTCCACATTGAAGCAAAATGGCGCATGGATAATCTTGCTGACGTCGCCAAGTTGAAAAAGAGAATGTTACAATAACAGGAATGTCCAGACCTACACAGAAAACCTTCTGCAGATTGGCATTTCCATACTAGTACTTGTCTCTATCATTCGAATACATCTTAACACTGTCAAACAAAAAATTGGGTTTGAGGTGAATAATTAAAACGATGGTATTCACAGTAAACATGAAAAATTTGACATTTTTCTAGGTGTCAAGCATCCAATCTTATTTACCAAATTATTACATCTATAAGAAACTTATTGGATTACTGTAAACCATTTCGAAACTCCGGTTACAATGTTGTCAGGGCAGATTTATCTTTTGAGAGACTAAGATTTGCTGTCATTTCTCATATAAACAACAAAATCACTAGTCTTCCAATAAATAAAATGCAGCTCATTGAAAATGTAATGCCATATTCATACGCCTCTGCGATTCACTCTACACAGCTTATCTTTTGCGGTGCGACGGCAACGCAACTCTCATGAATAACTCATAGAAGAAAGTAAATAGAATAGTCAATACAAGCACCTTCTCTGAAGTAAGTACTGTGCATTCTGAATCTGTTCTTGTGACCCAATAATGGTGATAATTCTGTCATTTGATCCAGGCAGTGGTTCATCGATTTTGATCTGAGCACCACAGTCCTGAAAATATCAAAGATTTATATTACAGTGAATAAAAGACATGAATGCAGATGATTACAACATCGATTCCGAATATGTCGAATGCTGCCAAGCATACCTGTCTTATTTGACGAATTCTTTGACCTCCTTTCCCTATGATAGCACCTGCCAAATTCGTGGGAATGGTAACCTTCAATATAAAACAAAAGAATTTCAATATCACACCTATATTAAGCTGGTATTTAAAAATTAAAATGAAATCCTACCTTTGTGGTTTGTTCAGGTCCACCAGCTCCGCCGCCGCCTCCTCCAAAATTCTGAAAAGACAAATAAATTCACCAGGAATAGAAATATTGTTATCAAATAAATGATCAGATTTATTTATTTTCAAAATGTCTTCCACTTGACCTGTTCGCAGTAATAACAGTATGCCAATTTTTGGTGAAACATTGTCTAAAATGTCACATGCATGCTTATTAATAACGTACCCCTCTCCCACCACTATTCCCACCGAAGTTTCCACTGTAGCCACCTCCTCCGCCTCCAAAATTGTCACGTCCAAAATCGTTACCACCTTGATTACCATAAAAATTTCCACCACCGCCACCGCCCCTTGGTCCACCTCCATATCCACCACTGAAAAAAATCATCAGAAATGTTAAATATTATAAAAAAAAATTATACCATCACAAAAACATCCCCTTTCTAGTAAACGTCAATCTTTTGTATATTCTCTGCAAGTTGGCATAAAAAATTGAAATAACCCTATTTACTGGAATGCCTCTTTGGTAAAAAAATTTTACCAAATCATGTTGACATTTTGATACTTTAAATTTGAAAAAATGTACTCTGAAATTGTAATACAAAATTTCACTCCATTACCTGTGGCAGTAAGAGCACAGTAACTGTTGCAAGTAAACCTGATCTTACTACTACATTAATATATCATTGTACAAACTCACAAGTCGTCTTCACATCAAAACTTAAAGAGTAATCATAAACTTGCTACACCATCTTTAGACATAACTGATATTATATTTCAGCTATTATGATATGAAACATACACCCAATATGAGTTTGGTATACATGCAGGACTCAACACTTCCCTACACTGCCCAGCTGAAAGAACCCCAGAAAAGAAATAGCTTGCTTCAATATGGTAATAAGTTTCGAAATTTGGGAAGCCATCTCAATAAAGAAATAAAATCCCTTTCTCTTTGTTAGGCAATCCATCTGCTCTGTAGCCCGTGAATTATTGAATAGAGTGTAAACAAAGAAAAAGGTTGAGAAAAGTGTTCCATAGAAATAGAAACATAAAAGTAGTTGAGATAATTTTTGTAGGAACTCTACTCAGGTATATTCATGAATATTACATAACTTAGACAAAGGTACGACGTATAAGGACTAAATAATTCAAACGAATGCCTCTCAGGATAATCACTCTATTGATATGGCATTTCAATTTTGAAGAAAAATAAAGTGAATAACGGATAAAAGAATTCAGTTGAGTCAGTTCAAGTGAATACAACTCATAATTAGATAAAACGATCCATTCAACAAATTTGCTTACATCAAATATGAACTATGCGCAATTGCTATGTTCAGATCGACTAAACGAACAACATGAATGAACGATTATGCCCATCTGGGGCTTTCAAATTGTTCAGACAAAATTACGCAAGAAGCATCTATATATAAAATAATATTTTACTTTAAAGAAGTATGAGCCGGTAGGTGTATGTGGCCAAAAGCGGATTTATGCAGCTACTGTAGATATACTGATAATTTCTGAACGAGTGTGGAAAATATGACAATATATAAAGAATCAATGAGAAAAAGCCTCATAACTGAGGTTAAAATGTAATTTAGTATGAAATTATCCTAGTATTGGCCTTGGGCAAATTACCACCAAATTATTATCTTCTTCTCATGAATATACCATCTAATTTTACTTGAAAATTAAGCACAGTCTGAAATGCATGACTAACTTATACATCCTTCACTTCTCAATTTTTATTGCAAAACTGGGAACTTGTGCGCAGAATAGAACCAGAAATAACTACAAAACATACTAATACAGGACAATTTACTCGGGAATCTACTACTTGGATTACTTGAAGGCTGAAAACTATCAACAAGTTGTAATTGCTATTCTCTATAACAGTTTGAATATATATTTTTATTCAGCACGATCGATTTGGGTATAGGTACTTTCGACTTACCCTCCAAAATTGCCCCCACGACCACCTCTTCCTCTCCCTCTTCCACCTTGATTCATGAAACCTTAGAATATGATGAAACAAATAGTAAACCAGAGAGCATTGCTCAAATGGACATGAAAGTCAGATGACCAATATTGTCACAGCAATAACAGCAAATTTCCAGTCAAATTCAATTTTCAAAATAATTGTAGCAAATTTGGTATAAAGTTGTGTCTGTGATTTATAGAAACCAGAATAATATAGGGTCAGATATCGAGGCACACAAGGATCAGAGAAAATATAAGTAATAGCTAGCTAGCTAACTTCTTCCATCTTGAAAACTAGAAATTTAATGGTCCATGAGTACTTTGTTAACTCAAAATCAACAACAATTTAGTAATGATAAGTCTCCTTTGTGTTCAATATTATTAACTACAAATACCACAAACATATAAATCTAAAAAAATAATTAATCTCACCTCCTCCTCCTCCACCTCCTCCCCTACGATCGCGGAATCCACCTCTGCCTCCACCGAAACCACCTCTGCCCCCACCCATGCCTCGACCACCTCCACCAAAATCATCATGTTCACCACTAAATCCACCATATTCGTACATGTCCTCCATGCCACCCATCATCAGACAGTTTGGATCATATCTCTGTACCATTCCTTTGGGAGGAGCCTTGATATAGATTCATTTTTACGTTAATTAACAAGAGAGCAATGCTCAAATAAATGGACACAGAAGTCCAGTCACGAACCGCAGTACCTGAAGCCTACAAGACTTACAAGCCTACACTGAAATCCGCCATCTGACCATCGAAAAGTTTTAAATTAAACTTAGAAATTTAGTTTCACCACAGTGGCAATATAACTGGGTATCGGTGTCTGCAGCTGTGCAGTGACTCTGGCTTTGACAAAAAGATGTTGGGCTGGTCTAATGTAATGCCACATGGAAGCATAATATTCATTGGAAATTGGAATAGCAATTTGGGTAGATCAGGTATCATATTGATTAAATATGCATATACTATACAACATTCCCTTTAAATTTTATGTGAAATAAATGAATTTTCTTTGTAATGCATTATGACCTTGAAAATTTGGGAAAACTCTGTTATTAGAATGCATCAAAAGATTCTGCGTATTTTTAACATATTCACTTTTTTATCAATTTTTAAGGTTTCCTCAGATGCTGATTATTATTAGCATGGAAATGCTTAACATCTACAGAATATTCTCTGTAAGAAAATAAGTGACTTATTCAATAACTTAGAATATCGACAAATGTAATTGGAGAGGTTCATTTATAACATTTAGTATGATCCACTCTTATCCAATGACCTATGATAATATTGAAAGCATACATTATATAAATTACTTAATTTCTCTCGAGATTACTTAGAACATTCAACTGACTTACATCTTCCAGCATTTGCAAGATGATTCTAACGCTGTTAATGATGAGGTCATTTGCACCTCGAATTTGACAAATTCGATCTGTCGAGTTAGGACAACAATCCTGAAATACCTTGATTGAAGCACCTGTGGTCTGTAATAGAAAATGGGTAATAAAACAGTTATTTTTCCATAATTAAGATGGCAAAAACCAAATAACCTACTATTCCAATTACATTCTAAAGCAATATTTATGGATATGTTCAGTTACGGAAGATTCAACAAGTTTGAATTTTGAAATGCAAAAAAGATATACCGGTACAATGATTTGATTGGTTTTATATATTAGCAGTTTTCAAAAATTGAATGAAGGTTTTATGGTAATATTGTGAGACTTCAAGTGATCCAAACAATAATTTTTCAAATGAATCTATTCCATATTAGAACTTAAAAAAGCAAATTAATAATTTCCAATCGATTCGTTTATTTGGCTCATTGTCGACTTCCTTATACTCAGACTCCATTATTTTGGCATATTTAGCTTTTTACAAAAAAATTTTACTACATGCATAATGTGCATCTACCTCTCTGAGTTCCTTGATTTTTAAACCTTTTGTTCCAATAATCGTACCGGCTTGTGACTTATGAACCAACATTCTTACTTCCTGTGATTTTGAATGGGGACGCTGAATATAGAAACATGAATTGTTTTTTTAAATCGAACTGAAATAGCATCTGATATAACGAACAATAATATAGGATCATGTCATTATGATAATCCAAATCAAAAGTCAACAACTTTTGAAATATTGAATACCAATTTATCAAAATTTTGTGACTTAAGATAAGATTTATTTCAAGATCTTCATCATTTCAACACATTCCAGCAGAGCTGAGCAAAAAGTTTTAGGAATGACAATTCCTCATTATTTAAATAAGCCCATAAGAAGTAGTATTCTCAAATCCAAAATACCCTAAATCCATTTTCTCAATAAGATCCAGAAATTATTCAAAATTTAAAAAAATATTGCTTCCTTCCTAAATGTATAAACAGAAAGATTGTGGTCCTTTCGAAATTTTATCTTTGTTTTTCTGTTAGTGCCTGCTTGCAACTATTTTGCCCTTTTGAAAGGCAATCAATCAAATCGAATAAGATTCAAATTTTAATCCAAATATTATTGAAAATATTAATACTCAGCATTCAATTTTAAACTAAAAAATAAAAACTACTTTGTTCACAAATATTGATACATACCTCACTGTGTACACATTCTGCAATTCTTCCACACAGTCTACTCAAATCACCAATATCAAAAGCAGATGTATTGACAACTCTTTACAATATATAAAAAAAGAATGTTAGAATACCACACAAATGAACAGTATTAAGAAATAAAATATTGAAACGAGATTGGCATAGAGGATTAGGGTTACATACCGCTCTACCCCACGACTGTCGGGGATTTGGACGCTTGCATTATACTGGGAGGGAGAATCCAGTTGGGCAGTTGAATTGGCGGGACAGGGACATCCGGAGGTCGCAACATCGTGTCAATTGGTCAATTGTGGACAGGGCATCATGATGTAAAAAAAATCACAGGAATAATCATGAGTTGGAAAGAAAAGTATTAATGTTATATTCATAAGTACAATAATAGCACTTGGGGATGTCCGTAACAAATAACTACGATTACCTGGTCTACTTTATCCATATGAATCAAGAATCACTACATAATACTTGATATTTACGCCAAGCACTGAGAGAAATTTGTACAAATTTCTCAAACTTTCATTAAATGGACATCCCCAAATAAAAAATTTGATATGATTTAGAAAATAATTTTCACTGTAGCACTATTATAGTACAAAGACTATAATGAAGGGAAGGAAGCTGAGGGATTAAGACAGGCTTAGGAAATGGGGACGGATGGGTTAGGAAGTCGAAAATTGTTCTTTCCCAGTGCAGGCCATGTATGAATCAAGCATGACCAGTATAACTCAATCATAATATGACTGAAAACGGTTCTGAACAATTCAAGATATGGGTACAATTCAATATTCAAAGAGAATAAGTAAATATTACTACCATGAATTATACACATAACACATGTTTTACTATCGTTAAACAATGCAACAAACTGGTTGTTAGCTTTTATACCTGCTCTCTCATTTCTCGAATATTTGAACCTCCCTTTCCAATGATAGCACCTGCAGCCTGAAATTATGAAAAAAAAGAATTCAATTAATACCTTATGTTTTTAAAAAATTATATTTTATTTATCCAATATAAGAGCATCAATATCATATCCCAATGGCACAAAAAAAAATGAAATGAGAAAAATTCACAATTCCAAATTTATAATTAAACAAACTCATTGCATTCTATCTTTTTTTAATTTTTAATTTTTTATCAGAATAAACACAAGATATAGTATCCCACAAAATTTTCTGATATATGAACATATTATAGCATATTGTAAGAAAGTAGTTTCCAAGAATTTATTTTCCTTAAGCGACATAATATACTAACGGAAATAGGAATAAGAAGTCGAAGTTCAACTCTTCCACCGCCTTCAGAATATCGCCTGGATTGTCTCGCCCTTTTTGCACCAACATAATCTCCACCTCCATCTAATGGTCGTTTGGCTAATTATGAAACAAAAGTGTAACATTGTTAAAAATGAAACTTTTTCATTGAAGTTGCTCTGGCATTTTTATTTTTTGTTGAAAAAAATGGTAAACAAAATAAAAACTTTCATCTTAGTCTAGTCACAGAAAATCTGCAACAAAATAAAAACTACTGTCTGTCATTTTTTACTAGATCTCTATCAAAAGCAAACGTGGACAGGACACAAAAGACAGCTTTCTTTCTTGCATATTTTAATCTAATCTGCTTTTGTTTACTTTGTTTGTGCCGGCAGAGCTAGTATATTTTCTGTATCATCGCATAAGTACTGACTTCTGACAAAAAGAATCATCATAAATTCTAATGCGCCAATTTTAATATATGATGTGGTACAGTTTTCACATTTCACAGGCTTTTATCCTTTCATTGATATCATATAATTGCCTCAGCTGGTATATGTACCAGGAACCAAAATGGCCGACACCAATGAACTTCTTTGAATAATGCATTAACCTGTAGCAGCCATACCAGTAGCACTCAAATTAAAACCTATTAAATATTCAGGTGTTTCACAGTATGTTTATAGACACAGGAATATTGAAGAAGAAATAAACTTGACAAAAGAAAAAGGCAAATTAAATGAGGTAAAGCTATTAGGACAAAGAGATTAAGTTTACAAAAGCAGAAAAATATGCAGACATATAAATGGGTATCACAGCCACATCTGCATGAAACAGGCAAGTAAAGCCTTGGACGGCTATATCAAATAACTGAAAATTTCAATACTATTTCATCATTTATCTATTTTTACAAAACTGTTATGAATCCACAACGTGGGCCTTTAACAAAAAAAAAAAATTCCAATACTATCATAAAATCAAATTGATGTTCAGAATTATGTGTTGTGGCAAATATGCCTGTGAAAAGCAGCTGTTGTTAGACTCAAAGCTATTTGAAATACACAAAACAGGATTCTAGAAATAAAGACAAAGACAGAAATTTCTATAAATAAATGCATTTCAAATATGAGACTTACATCCAATTTCATCACCATTGTCTCTGTCCGCCATCTTCAATATCCTGCAAAATGAAACAAGTTTATAACATAATAACTAATTTAATAATCATTTCTTCAAAATTTGCTAAATATACAAACCTGTATGTCTTTATTCAGTACAGAAAAGAAGAATTTAAAAAAGAAGTCTATTGCATTAGATTATATAGTGTCTGTAAAAGCTCAAACGATTGAATGAACATTAGTATCAGAGTGTATTGCGTGGAAAAATAGAATTTGCATAGCTTATTCAAACATGCACTAAAATTAAATTTGTAAACAAACCACAAGATTTTGATTACAACGATTCAGTACAGTCCTACTATCGGGTATCGTGTAGTTACGTACATCAAGTACTTCTAGTGGGCGTAGCATAACGATTTTAGCATTTCAATCCTCACCCTGACTACGCCATCCAAAAATTTTGTCACAACAACGTCATAGAGCTTGCCAAAGTATACCCACAGTTATGTGAACCACCCACCACCCAGCGGCGAGGAGTCCAGCGAGCCTCTTGCACATAACCATCCCTGCATGGGATTCGAACCTGCGAACCCATGCAGAGTAATCAGAGGTGCGGTGGCAGGCGTATTCCTAATGCTTTAGCATGATGAGCTATACCGTCATTTGTTACATTGAATATATCATTCAAGAGTATATAAACAAATTATTCTCATTTGTGTATGTCATAGCTGTGCCATATTTCAAGTATATATTAGGCTTTTAGTTTGTCATAGCACCACACACAGACACATTACGATCTTGTTAACTCATACTCTCTCTCTCTCGAGTTAAATAAATATTGTCAGACAATATACAGATATAGGTACCAAACACAAAAGGTCTTGATTAGTTCGAGCTGATACTTTTGGATCTAGTGTGGTTTGGCACCACAAGTTCTTCTAGTTGGCTTGGCATAACCATTTTTGCATATGTCATATAGCTTGCCCCAAAGTATAGCTGTATCTGAATCTATAGAAATGTGAAACGGCATCTGCGCCGACGATAACGAATTCACTAACCCCAGCGAGCTCTAAAATATCGGGATGGTTACGATGAGAAAACGAGAGTCAGGTCAGGTGGGGGTTAAAAATAACATAGAAAAAATTGTTGTGCCAAGGCCACTAGAAGTTATTGTGGTATGAAACTACAAGAGACACATTCTTTTTTGTATATGTGTATAATTTTTTATGGGATTTCAGACAGTCGGAGACTCCTGGACTCGGAGTATGGCAACTGGATACTGGGATAAGGCTGTGTGGTAGACTATTATAATTCCAGAATTCTGTAAAATTCACACTTAGCATGTAACAAACGAAATTCAACATGGGGTACTGCGGTACCAGCATACAGCAGTACAGACATAGCCTACCCGGTGAGTCAGTACTGCAGTAAGTTTACATTATATTCAGATATTTCAGTATTTATAGTGATTGCCATCAAATGTAAATAACCGCTTTCATTTTTATCCAGTCTGGATTTCATGGCCTTTTTGAACGAGAAATCGGGCGTGCAATCAGAAATTCCCGCGTGCAAATAAGAATTCCTGGCGTGCAATTATAGCTCACGACGTGCAAAACAACTGCACTCGCGTGCAACTGACTTTGACATCAGATACCTCTCAATACATCCGCGTAAAATTACCGGTATCGGATAAAAAATACGTTGAATCAGAGAAAAAATGGACGTTTGACCTTTGACCCCAAACATTATTTCTACAGTTTGTCGCTAATTTTGAGAGTGTTTGTGCGACTTTGGATACCGGTACTGTTCAGTACATCCGCGTAAAATTATTGGATAAAAAATACGTTGAACCAGAGCAAAATGGACATACTTTGTCATTAATTTTGGTAGTGTTTTTACGTAGAATTAATGGATAAAAAATACGTCAAATTAGAGCAAAATGGACGTTTGACCTTTGACCCCAAACATTATTTTCATACTTTGTCACTAATTTTGGAAGTGTTTGAGCAATTTTAGATACCGGTACTGTTCAGTACATTCGTGTAAAATTATTGTATGAAAAATACGCTGAATCAGAGCCGTACTTGGCCATTGGTGCGGAGGCGGTCCTTTCGTCCATAACTATTCTCACGGGATTCCTATTTCCTATCATTCAACACGATATGGACCTTTCCCCGAGCATCGACTTCCTTGTTTACTTCGTGACATTGGCCAATCAGCAAGATGCAAAAAAGGACGTAACAATGAGAGGAATTTTTCGCGGGTCAAAGGTTGGGGAAAGGTCCATGGTCTTTTTGCTTCGCAATATTTTGATCAGACCAAATCTTGCAAGCTGGTATTTGTCGACAATTGTGGAGTTATAATATTTTGGCATCTTTATATTACTGGATTATTGATTTAAAAACCATTTAAACCGATTTACATTGGTGAGCAATTGCAAATTTTCGGCGTGCAAAATTGATTTCGCTCGCGTGCATTTTTGCGGAGCGCTAGCGCCCTCGGGCGTGCACCTGCCATGGAATCCAGTCTGGATTTTTATCACTACAGTAGAGGTACCGGTACTGGTACTAGGCATTAAATCTGTAAATATAAAAACTGAAAAATACGGTACCGGTACTGACAGACTGCAGGACTGAAATAGTCTATCAATTCAAATTCTAGCATACCGGTACCGGTACCGCCGTACCGGTATCCCAGCATCCAGATATCTGCATATCGTTGAACATTGCCTAGTTTTCAGGATGTGTTTTACTGTTTTATTTATTTTTTCATGTTTATGTTTTATTTTTTTATGTTTTCACTGTTCTATTGAACTATACTCTTACTGTTACAGATTCCGTACTTGTATAGTACGCTACTGGTACCGGTATCGACGAACCGTACGGCCAGCAAACTCAGCCCGAACGCGCTTTGTAATCTGCTATAGTGGTAGACATTTGGGGACACACGGAGTGTATCCGATAAAAGCAACAATAAATACTCATACTCGCCGATATATCGGTACGGTGATTTATCCACCTCCAAATAACTAACCTTTAACATTTAAGAAATGGTAATATATCAATATGCCGGTTAGAATACCGATATAAAATATATCAACAACCACAATATCACAACGTTAAACTTTGCCCGGTTGTTGTGCTATGCATTCGAAGGAAAATGATTTTTTTTTTGTTCCATGCAAATCAAATTTAGCAGTGTGCAATGCATTAAAACTTATCACGTATCCGCCGTATCGTCTTTGTTTTATTGGCCAGAATTAGATTCTAGTCGGTATGTTAGTCGTTGATTCTAGTCTACCTAAACTTTTCACCATGTTATGATCTTGATATATCTAAGTATTTGATTATCGTTATCAAAACCTCATGAACCTCGATGTAAATAAGAATCAATTGAGAATGGAGGTTCGGAATCTCCCTCTTATACTTCTCACGAAAAGAAGCCTTTTGATAAAGTTGAGTTTAATACCTAATTCAAAGAAAATAAATATTAATACTGATTAACTACAGCCAACGACTAACGACTACAGCCAAGTAATGCTAGACTTCGGCCACTTTAACATATATATCTATATCAATGTAGTCAAAAGATATGTCCTGAAAATATTTTTATATCTCGCTTTACGATCTTCGCATGCATCAGCATCACATGATGAACCCTTCCATACATTCATTTTATACTAAGCCATATACATGTTTCATTTAAGTCAGTTAAATAAGCTTTGCTCGACTCGATAGAGTCGCGATAGTGATTATAGATTATTTGTTCATTCGGGCTATTAGAATATATACGGACGTGTGGACGACTCAGGAATGGCGCCGGAGGTAACAACTCGAATAATCGACTTGGAAACAAATGAAATACAAAAGTTAGAAACAGACAATATGTACACTAAATCAGTGATTTTAAATTTGGACGATATTGCTCACCAGGGGGCGAACATCCAGAAGAGAGCGATAAGGGGCGAGTGCGCATTCCCGAAAAGTCATGTATACCGTATGTATGTATGTTTATTTGCCCCAAAAATGAAAAAGTATCTGTATAATAGTTAAACGATAAAAAAGAGACGGGATGATAAGATGATTTTTTCATTAGCGACGATCCAACGAAGTAACTGTACAAAGCTAATAAACCATAAAAATATGCAGGAACTAGAGACAATAGATCAGTGGGTTGCCCGAGACTTGTTTCCTGAGCAATGGGAGTTGGTTGCATCCACGATGACATAGTTAGTCAAACGGAGATATTTTTCATTTGCCAGTCTTTTTTCAACTTTTTTTTCCCAATTATCAAAGAGCCCTTTGTATCTGAAAAAGAATACCTGGAGAGTAGAATGTCCTTACTGCACGAAAGTTAATATAATTCCAATAAATGTCTTTTAAGTTTTGATCTAAATTCGGACGTTGTTTTTGAGCTTTCAATACTGTTAGGCAGTGTAATCCACAATTTAGGACCAAAACATGTGATCGATTCTTGTGATATTGATTTTCTCACATACGGAACAAAACATTTATCGTGACTTCTGCTATTTCGAATATTATTACGAAAACATGATCGAAGCAACTAGGGAGTTGATCAGTAGAAGATAAAAACATCAATGTGCAAATCTCAAGAATTAGTAAATCTTCAACACGTAGTAGGTTTTCACTTTTGAACAAATCCGCGACACTATCTCTCCGACCCCTACCAAAAGTCATTCTCAAGAACTGATAAAGACACTTTGAATTTTTGCTGTAATACCTTTTTGACGTTGCATCCAAGTATGTATGCAATATCGTATATGACTTTCTATTAATGAGTGGTATATATAATGTTAACTGGCATGACTTACAAAGGTTTTTATTGACTTTTGAAATAGCTCCGAGTGCTGTCCTTGTTTTGGATAGTACCAATTGTGAGTGATATTTCCATGACAATTTGTCATCGAGTAAAACACCCAGGAAACGAATTTGGTTTACTCTTTGGATGCACTTGGACTGCAGAGTGCATAATTAGAACGAAACTTCTGTACTGTACTGTACTGAAACGCTGTACTGATCATGCGCATTTTTTTATCTGTCTCAATAATTTGAAAAATCTATCTGGCTTCAGGTTTGATGACGTGACGAAAAATGTCGAAAAAAATTGTAAAGAATGAAAGTAGTGCAGAAGGGGGGCGATCTACCATTACGAAGATGGGGAAGACACTGGTGAATCCGGAAAGATTTTAGTTGCATGTTTTGACCACGAGCAACAGTTATTAATGGCATGTGACATATTGTAGAGAAACCCAAGTGTCTATAAACCTGTTATAGTCACTTGTAATGCTATAATAGCAGCAGCGGCGCAGGCACATTTGCGTTCCACATTCGAATAATTGGTCGCATTAACTATTTAATTATGACAATAATTTGAAAATTCTACCCCTTTTCGACGACTCGACAGGAAAGAAACTCGCAGGCATCCTTTTTTGGGAGGCGGGGGGGGGGGGGGGGGGGCATTCACGAAAGTTTGGAAACCACTGGTCTAAACGTTCATCAGTTGTCAAGCAAACAAAGATACTTCCATTTTTGGCAATTTATTTCCGAAAGTGCTTTGCTATTCTCAAAGAAACAGTTGCTCACATAAAACGCAAGCTATTCCCATAAAAATATGTTACACGTGTATTCTCTCCTTTAATATACGCTAATACAAAATGAGAACTAAACTGGACATAAAAAAATTAATTGAGTGAAAATTTTGAGAATGCAACATGAAATTAGTTATTCCGAGCTGCTTGTCACTTGTGCTGGAACGGTAAAAGAGTGACGAGTTTTTTTTCGGGTATTTTTTCTCATCTTTATTCAGAGCTGCTTTTTCATTTTTTTTTTCACCCCTATCTGCTTGGTATTATTCACCACTACTACAAGTCTCCATGTTTATTCATTCCTATTCCCTACAGCCTTTATTTATTTATAAACTTGCTTACTGATTGTTGCTTTTTCTATTTATTTCTCCTCGATTTGTTTTTTTAATTTTACTCTCTCACTCGTCAACTGTTTATTTATTTTTTATTGCGCGGGTCACTGATTGTAATTGTCTCACTCATTCGTTATCTTTTTATTTATTATTACTTTTTGATGAGTGATTGCCGCTTCAGCCACGTCGATTTTTACTATTCTATATTTTCACTCTCACTCGTCTGTCTCTTCGCTGATTTCTATTATTGCCCTCATTTTCACTTCGCCATGATCGCTGATCGACTTGGACCAGATGGAGCGCCCTGCCGCTGCCGCTCTATTTTCGCTCACTACATCTGTATTTTCTATGACTGGCCCGCTGGCTTTTTTTTTTCGAAGGCTTTCGGCTGGTCTGACTGTTGCTGGCCGCTTTGGTTACTATTTCCTTTCCATCTCTGCCCTACTTGGCTGCTTCCCTCGTAGGCTCCCTCGACCGCCTGCCTTGTCTGCTGGTTCATCCCTACAACTCAGTACCTGTGGGGTTCGAACCCACCCTCATAGCTGTCCTGATGTTTGACCACGTCCCTGCGCCACGCTACTGTTGTGGATCTTTCTTAATTAACGACGTCACGCTTGGCAGCCGACGACGAAGCTAATTTCCCCCAAAAAATTACATTAAACATACTTGATTCAAAGCAGGTGTATTCATGTATCAATGAAAGGCGTTCATTAGGAACTATCGCGTGCGCTGGTTCAACTATTGAATGTGTCGCGGTCTATTTTAGTTTACTTTTTACAAGAAAAATGCGTTAATATGCAACCATCGCCACAAGACGCATGGGATAATCGAAGATTGAATCTGCAAACTAAATTTCTGACTGTCAGTGGAGAATACTAAGACTGGGAGACGGTTCATCAATTTGATTTTTTTTGTCTCTTGTGCTAAGCTAACTGACCGTCGTATCTCTTATTTTCTGTTTATAAATTTATAAAACATATCAGATTAAATGCGCTATGCTCTTTTGGCGATTGCAACGGTACACTAAAAATAAAACGAAAAACACCGTGAATTTGGTCTAAAGAGCTCCGCTACCGACCGTCTTCGTCGATGTCCATACGCCATCTTTCCCCCAATTTTGATGAAATATAAGCCAATCAATGTAAAGTAGGCTATGGACCTATGGTCAATCGGTTTTTCATTCTATAATAAATGCATTCCTTGAGATTTGATTGCAGGTCATCTGAGAATTTATGCAATGACCTCTTTTTTTTGATGCCCTATAAACACGTGCTTATTTTGCTTAATGGTTAATCCAGCACTGCACATCGCCCAAACAGTCTAACCCAAGGAGTTGTAAAACTAGGTTATGTCTACTCTGGGGTCCACGGCGACGTACTATGGAAGCCACGAGCAGAGGGCTTCATTTTGAAAGTCCCGTTTGTGATAACTACAATAATTAAGTGTAATTCGTTTGATTTTTTGACTTTGATTTGATTCGATTTCTTTCGTTTGTTGGCTTTATTATTATTAAACGCGGCGCATAAATTAACTGACTGAAATACGTTGGAAGCAAAGCGAGGCATTTTGTTACAAAAAAGGGGGCTACAACTCTACAAGTGTTGAAAGTTTTTGTAAGAGAGCCACGAATCACGAAAGTTTTAATTTGATCTCGGCAAATATGACGACTAGCGTAAACTACTTGCTTTCATTTATTCCTGTTTCTCGCTAGAAAATATGAACTTGACTATAATTCCAATAGATATTTGGTATATATAATTATTAACAATTGATACAAAATATTATTTAGAAATCACTAAAATAGGTTCGATAAATCAAGAACTAAATATGAGTAATAAGTGGGGTAGATATTTACTCTAATACCGTACTTTTCTCATAAAATACACCAACCATAGAAAAATGATGAAATAACTTGTCGGTCTTTTGTCGTCTAATTAAATCAGTGATCATGATAGATAGATATATTAATACGATATTGGATATTCATTTATTGCCTTTTTACCTTGGCATAGGATACAGTCAAATAGAGTGAGAATAATATACAAAAAGTTTAACGACACAATTATATATACTGTTGGTAGACTCATGTTTGCGGTCTAAACCACAACAGCGCTTTTTTGAGACCATGTCCCGCTAATGCCGAAGCTGGCATTACTTCCCATTCAATATTCTTGAAAGTGTTTTCTTTTGTCAGTTTTTCTTTAATGTCATCGGGCTTTATGGCACCGGATTTGTCCTGTTTGTTTGCTAGTACTAGAATACGCACATTTTTCGCTACTGGGTCTTTTGTTATATTCCACAATTCAGTGATAGCCTCATCCAGTCTTCGAACATCGGAACTGTCAATAACGAATATTACTCCATGCTTCCCTATAAAATGATACCTCCACAAGGGGCGAATATTTTTTACACCTCCAATGTCCCACAAATTGAATGTCGTATTTCGCACTCGTATATTTTCCAAATTGTAACCAACAGTTCGTTTTACGTTCCAAAAATCTTTTTTCTTCAGATTATAAAGAATAGTTGTTTTGCCGCTACCATCAAGTCCAACCATTGCCAGTTCAACTGCCGATTTCTTCCCAAAACGAGATACACAGTCTCCCATCGCTGCTTTGGAAATTATGACTATTTCATTTAAGGCAATTCAAGTCACGGATAAATATAGGTCTAATTGCCAAGTTTCTGTTGACATCACAGTCGTCATATCGGGCTACAGGTGGTAATTACATGTTTCGAAAGAAACTAATTATACGGACGCAACTCATCGAATTAAAGGTGATTTTCGCCTTTATTTTGGTTGGTCTTGAGCGTTAAACAATGCAATTCACAATATAATAGATTGAATGAAATAAAATTTAAAAATTGTGTTCCCTTAATAGTCAAATAAAACAGTTCGCAATACTTTGAAAGTAGCAGACATGAGTAATGAAACTTTTCAAGCAAAATCTACAAAACTCAGAGATAAATTTTTGAATGAATGGAATGAAAATTACGCACATTGCTGAGAAACTAGCAGCATGTAATTTGAAGACAATGATTACAACTATTTATCTTGCATTTCATTGAAGTTTTGTTATTTTTCGAAGTTGTCAGTAAAATAAATCAAATTGAACAGTAACAACGCCAATGCTAATGTGAAACAATATTAAAAAATGGTTTATCACAGTTAACTGGTTTAACATTGCTTTGGGCAAGTCAGAATGCAAAACCGCTCAAGTTCATTGGTGCGTCTACGAAATTGCTTACGCTGTTATTAAATTACAAATTTGTGGTTATACTTATTTATACCAATATTCCTAAAATTAAATAAATAAAAAATTGCAGAAAATAAGAAGGTTAACTCATACTGTAATTTTACATTTTCAGCGAGTTTATGATATAATTAAGAGGAGATGTATGATTTCGAGCACGCTCGCGTATTGCGATGCAAATCAATTTGTCTGATGTTAGTCGATGGTCTGATTGAAACTTTACGAGTCTACAACTTCGGTTTAGCACATTGATAGCGAAAAATAAACCCACTCAATATGGAAAATAAAGAGTAAAGCAGTAAAATTAGCATAGATTCAATAAAGAAAGATGGAGTGTTTTGTTAAAGTATCATAAGAGTTTAAAGTATGACAATCATTTATTAGTAAAAAACTAAAATTAGTAAAAACTTTTTCCCCACGTCTAGAAATTCGCTGTCAATATTCCCGCCCCATTAGGTTCTCGCAGATAGCAGATGGATACACAAAAAATAAAAATGAATTCTGAATCTGGAGAGCGAGCAAAACTCTTAATAAAGTTTGAAAACATAAAAAAAAAACTTTCAGCTTGAAAATGCGACGATAAGCGTGTACTTATGCAATTCAGTTACCGGGAGGGCGAGCATAACCTGTCATATGATAAAGTTAAATACGTAGTGTTGATGATGGCTAATAATGCCTTGTCGAGTAACGTCCCTAATAAGTGATTGTGCTATCTGTCTAGTGCTAACGTGTCGCAGTTGCGTCACTCGCTAGTATGTTCTGTTGCTGTAAGCATTTTATTACTTAATCGATCTTAAGATCGGTAAGTATGTTGATAGGTATTTGTTTGTTTGTTTGTTTGTCTGTTAGATACACGCGATATCTCACGAAAGCGAGGTTGAATCTGCTCAAAATTTTGCATGTGCATTCATCAAAGTTCGGAACAGGATCCTATCGAATTTGGATGGATTATGTCTTATAATTAGCGAGGTATTAATTAATTAGTGATAGGACACACGATGGCACTATGGAGTAAGACCACTGTTTTGGGGGAGGCTTAACCTCCGATCGATAAGTCTTCGGTTTCCAACCGAATTCTAGTGTTGTGTGTTATGCTGGTGTAATAGAGAAGTGAACAACGGAACACCATGCATTTAATGAAAATACATGTGATTGATGATGCTGTCGTTAATGTATATACTTATTTTCCTATTTGTACATACATGTATGTGTCCCTTATTTTATTATTTTATCTTATTTATTATTTAATTATTGAAAATTCCCACTTTGTTGGAACCATAAAAAAAAAGTGTAAGCGTATTCAGTTGAACCCTTATTCTATAATAGCTTGGGTGTAGAACTTATCATCTAACCAAGATATTATTAACATGGTGGCAGCGGTATCTGAAATTCGCTTACCGTCGACTCTTGATCTGAATGATGAAAATTTATCAGAAACATTTTTAAGAAATGGAAGAGACAGATCGATGTTTTCATGCTAACCAGCGGTTCTACTAGCAAGTCAAAGGAAGAACAGAAGGCAATAATCTTATATTGCGCAGGTGCTTAAATGATTAAAGCTGCCGAACACTTTGTATACAGTAAGACTGAGGACGAAAATGACCCTAAAGTTCTACTACAGAAAATGGCTGAACACTGTAATCCTCGGATGAATGAGAGGTGATGGAAACTTTTCGCTTTTTCAATATACAGTACAAAGACAATTTTGATACATTTCTCGTTGAACTCCGTAGTAAAGCCGATTCCTGTAGTTTTGAAAACAAATACCGAATGATAAGAGATAAAATCGTATTCTCAGTAAGCGGTAAATTACAAGAAATTCTGCTGTGGGAGACTGATCTCAATATGTCAAAAGTCCCAAAGATTTGCCAAACATATGAAATGTCAGAAAAGCAAGCGACAGAGATCCGTGCATCTTCTGAAAGCGAGCAACGAATTTTGTCGACTAAAAATAGACAATACCAAAATACGGAGAGAGCTCTGAAGCACAACAAGCAAATTCCAAATGCATACCAAGAATGCAAATTTTGTGGACGAAGACACAAGTTCGGAATATCTTATTGCCCTGCCTACGGAAAAACTTGTCACTCGTGCAATGGTAGAAATCATTTCCGAGTGAAGTGTAGGAACGCAAGCTATGTTCGACAAGTGAAGAAACATGACCAAAATGAAGAAACGCTTGAAGAAGGTCATCAGCGTGTCCAGAATATAGATAACGTCAACAGTTCAAGAATTACTGCTCTGATGGAAGTCAACAATTATAAAGTCAGATTTCAAATTGATAGTGCTGCAGATGTCAACACAATATGCGAGAAATATGTGCGGAAAGACCAAATTAGACCAACTACTGACAGTCTTGTGATGTGGAATAAAACGAAAATGAAGCCACTCGGTGAGGCAATTTTAAAGGTAAAAAATCCTCGAAATAATGAAGTCGCAGAGGTAAAATTTATTGTTGTCAAGAATAATTTCAACTGTCTTTTGGGGTTAATGACAATAAAAAATGGGATTGATTACAATAAACAGCGATAAATTTATTGCAGCAAATGTTGACCTACCGCAAACTTTGGGAAACTTGGGAATAGCGAAATTAAAAGTTGATCCTGAATTTCAACCTAGAGTTTTACCTTGTAGAAAAATCCCAATATATCTTTAAGATAGAGTTAAATCGGAAATAGATAACCTGGTAAAAAGGGGAATCTCAATACCGGTGGATGAACCTACCGATTGGGTTAGTCAAATGGCTGTAACTGTGAAACCCAACAAAAGGTTCGAATATGTATTGACCCTCAACCTTTAAATGCCGCATTGAAACGAGAACACTACCGATTATCTGTTCTTGATGATGTATTGCATAAGCTTCGCAATGCAAAAGTGTTTACTAAGTTTGATGTGAAAGAAGCATATTGGCACGTAATATTAGATGAAGAATCGAGTAAGTCACCGACAATGATCACACCTTTTTCTCGTTACAGATGGGCTAGACTCCCATTTGGTTTGAATGTGAGCAGCGAAATATTTCAGAAACGTTTAAATGAAGCATTGTTCATAGATGCATAGATTAAAAGGTGTTATAACAATTGCAGATGACATCATAGTAATTGAATGTGAAGACACTAAATCTGAAGCTGACTTGAGAGAGAACACGAGAAATCTCCAAATCAGGTGCCGAACTAAGAACATTAAATTAAATGATACCAAAGCAAGAATTAAGAAGGGAGAAATAACTTTTATGGGCCATAAGATTACAACAAGTGGGATAGAGCCAGATCCTGCTAAAATTGAGGCCATAGTAAAAATGTCATCGCTAAAAGATGTCAGTGATGTCAAACGATTTTGTGGTATGATTCAATATTTATCCAGATTTTTACCTAATCTTGCCAGGGATCTAGAGCCAATTCGAAACCTTACTAAATAGAATGTTAAATGGCTATGGGACGAAAAGTGTGAGAAAGCTTTTCAATTGGTCAAACGTAAAATTACGAAATCGCTCGTGTTAGCTTATTACGACCCTAACCTTGACCTAGTTCTACAAGTTGATAACAGCAAAGATGGTCTTGGTGCTGTTTTAATGCAGAATGAGAAGCCTATCGAATATGCATCCCGTGGTTTGTCAAAATCTGAAAGAAGTTGGGCTCAGATTGAAAAAGAAACTTTATCTGTTGCATTTGGACTTGAACGATTCAATCAATATACCTATGGTCGCAAAGTTACAATTCAAAACGATCATTAACCTCTCGAAACAATTTTAAGCAAACCATTAAGTCAAGCGCCCAGACGTTTACAAACTCTTATGATGCGATTGAACATATATGATATCCAATTCAAATATATGCCTGGAAAATCTTTACTGATAGCTGATACCCTAAGCAAAAATTTTATCGAAAATTCAAAACATTTTCCACGTATTTTGAAAGTAGACGCTTTATTTAGAGCAGGGGTCGGCAACCCCTGGCACGCGTGCCAATTGTGGCACGCGAGAGGATTTCTCATGGCACGCCAATTCAAATATTTATTTTCGTAGTGCGACAAACATTCTACAATTGAACAAAAAATAACAAATCGACGAATTCATTGAAAAAACACGCAATATTCAACTGCAATCGACGAGAGGCCGAAATCTGTACCTAAAATCGATGTAGATAAGCGTGTGCAGTCAATCATGCCCCTCCTTTCAAATTTTTGGAAAACTGAAAAAGTCGAAAATACCGCGTGCGATTGCTTTTTGCTAAAATTCCTGATTATTTTTATCAGCGTGACGTGTTATTTAGGCCGTAAACACTTTTAGTTGGTGTTTATTCTCCCTGAATCACAACAATTATTTAACGACAACGATAATAATTACTTTAGTTTT